TGTTTTGCGTTTTGGTCTAAAATCTTTAAAACTACAATAGATAGATAGATAGAAACTTTAAACAGCATAAGTGATCAGCAAGAAAAGTTCTACAAATAAGTCTAATAACTGATTTTTTTCAGTCAACTGGTTATTGAAGTTATTGCTCTTTAATTACGATTTTTACCAATTTTTGGCGTTTTTGCCTATCATCTTGAAAACTATAAAAGATAGATAGAAACTTTAAATAACAAAAATGATCAGCAAGACAAGATCTACAATCAGGTCAAATTCTGCCAAAAAAGTGAGTAGATAGGAGTGATTGCCCTTAAATGACGATTTTTTATTACCCTCTTTTGTGTTTTGGGCAAAAACTAAATAAGATAGAGAGAAACTGTAAACTGTAGTCTACAATGTTGAAGATGCACATAGACTTAGGTGAGTGACACAGGCTCTTTAGAGCCTCTAGTTTTAGGTTACTGTCTCATTGAAATAAGCCCTCATTCATATTCTAAAATTCGACTAAATTATGTTATTGGGTTGTTGTGTTTCTATTTTATTTTGTCAAGTACATTTGGCGTATGTACCTGGTGATTGATTGAATGTCACTAGAGTTTCAAGTTTTATCACACACAATAACTGTTGTTTTTAATTTCTTTTATATCATTCTATACTACAACACATCATCACTTCTTATCTTTATTATATTTTGCTGAAACAACACAACCAGCTCTTATTCCAGTAACAACATTTACCACCTCTTGAATATCAATTTTATCCCCAGTCTGCTTTTACATTATTTCAATCATTACGAAACAATACACCATGCCTATTGCTCTAACAAGTTCTATCATAAAAAAACAACAGCCCCCCTATGACCCATCAAAGAGTTATTGCAAGGGTTCTTATTGTGCAGAGATCATGACACACTTTCCTTTGGCCAATGAGTCATTTACTATCAGGTATACGTCTCTAGAAGAATGCTTTAAATTGTGATGCAGATGTGATTGGCAAATTTAAAAACTGAACTAAAATTTATACTCCAATAGAAAAATACTTGTACAGAAACAATGTGTTTGGAAATCAATCAAAACTTGATTATTTTTTTACCCAACTTCGATGTTCTGCTTCTCCTTTAAATCCACAGGTTCTTGGGGATAGGACATTTGTTTTCCTTTCTCCTTTTTTCCATAATAGGGTATTTGTTTGTTTTCTATAATTTCAATTCTTTTCGTGTTTTTCTGTGCAAGACATAAATATATTAGAAATAGCATGTGTTTACTATTTACTATCAATTGCTAGTTTACTTTCCAAAGCAGTGACTGATAATTTATATAGAGAGCTATTCTGTATACCCAATCTAGATCCTCATATTTTTTGTAAAATTTAAGGAATGACTGTAATATTTTTTCTGTCTATTTGAAATAACCTCAAAAATATGATGCACACTGAATAACTTGTGTAGCGGGTTATCTAAAAGTGTGCACCACATTTCTGAGGTTATTTCGAACAGACAGAAAAAATATTAGTCCTTCCTTATAATTTAATTCTAAATTCCGTTTTTAAGAAATAAATCATGAAAAAACGTTGATGACATCACAGTCACATGACAAAATTATGTCTATGAGCTGACAGACAAAAAACTTTCAGCCAATCGGAAGACGTGTTTCATCCAAATTAAATTAAATAGAAATGACAGCAAAGAACATCCTGAATGTGACGTATATATCCATTAGAGAAATATCATATTGCGGAACTCTGTCCACCTGTTATTCAAGTTTGGAATGACATACATGTTGGTGGTGGCTGGATTTTATTATATAATTTTCACTGCCATTAAGATAAAACTTAAAATCAAGTTCTTTTGTATTTATTAGCTACAAAAAATATATAAGCACATGATACATGTACATATGTATTACAGATATGGCAATAGGTAAATAGAGTTTATAAAAAATGTGCAAATAATTTGTGTAACAACCCTACAAATAATTATCATAGATATATCACCACAATATATTGTCCTTTCAAAAGCAAACTTATATTTAAATACACATATTCATAAGTTAATATGCACTTTAATACTATGATATCCTATTGTATACTTCAAACATGAGTACTGCACAACACGTCATTTCAATCACAATGACACTAGAATGATTTGGCAATTGCATTGATATCTAATAAGAAAGGTTAACAGAATTTTAATAATTAGAAACTGGAATGCTGTTTAGTGAAATAAGTTTTTTTTAGATTATGAATAAGGATAACAGTCATTAATACCTAAATCTGAAACAAAATGAAAAATTTCGATCATAACGTTTAAGTAAAATCATAATTGTTATCTTCTTGTTTTATTATGTGGGCTCCTCATCAATACAGTGTATCTAGATGATTTCAAGTGACAAAAATAATCACAATCAGTTCAGAATTATTGAAAAGAAAAAGAGCCTTGGAATTTATGGACGGAATGACACGATGTTTGGTTCATTTGACATACCTCCTTCTCTTCTAGCCAAAAAATGCCATTGATTGTATGGCATTGTCGTTCATATTAAGTGGAAATTTCTCTGATAAAGGCTGGTATCTGCTCTTTCTGCCAATAAAATTTCAAGCAAAAATCATCTTGACATTAACCTGTTTTTTGTAGTTTTAAGGAATTTTAAGTCTTGCCTATTTTTTTTTAATTTCAAATTGTCACATATTGCAGACTAAAAAATTTATTTTGTTGTTCTCATTTCTTTGTATTTTTGCAGTAAGCAGCATTGTAATTTTCTGTTCATTTAATTGTTAAAATTTGAATAAAAGTAAAAAATAAACACAACAGGTTTAAAAAAGTTTCAAACCATTTGGTTACTTATAATTACAATACGATATTACTTCTTAAATGCATATTTACCCTTTTGGAAACCTCAATGTCTAAATAATCATGATTTTTATTTACATTGGTTACACAATAGGATGTGTGCAATAAAATAGGTCTATTTTGCCACAGTCATATTCAAAGACTACAAACATAATGTAAGTGACTGAAATGTGTGGCATGAAACTATCACTTTTATATGAAAGTTACATAAAGTTTCTGGATAAGATTGGCTTACTGATACTTTTACCAAGTCAGTTAACTAATTAGAATTTAGTAATTCTTTAACTTTTTCAATAAGCTATAGTAATTAATTGAAAAAATTCAGAAAACTGGAATGTAATCAGAACATGCCATCTTGCATGTCTTCCTGTCTTGACAAAACTAGCAGTAATTTACGGAAATTCATTATTTTAAGTTTTTGAATCAAAGTGCTTCTACACACTGAGAGGTTTAAAGATTGCTTTGTAAACTAAGAATTAAGCATTACATTAAATTAAGCAAAAAAACATATTTGTAAATTAAATATCTGAGTAAATATTATCAATAAATTACAGGACATGGATATTACCTATCCCAACACATTATTAAATGAAACCCAGTCTTTGCTCTGACTCCTGAATGCTACATGCTTGACAGAGAAGTAGTATATGGTAAATCACCGTTTTTGGATCCAAAGGACTATTGGTCATTTCATTGTTTGTACCCCAAAATGAAAATAGCCTCAAATCATTGATTAAATTACCGTTGCTTAGGACATGGTAAGCCAATCAAAAGGTTTTGGAGCAGGCTTTTGAAAATATTACCCAGGATGCTATAAGATTCTGAAGCAAGACATTTTTTGTTATGTCTTTGGTTTGACCAACAAATTGGTAGAAGATTACAGGAGTGTCATCAAAACCACAAGCTCAAGAAAAACAGACAACACCATGTCTAAAATAAACAACATAAGCTTTGAGCCATTGCTCACTTTTATTATGCCCCTTCTCAGATATAACTTTTCTGCATACAAGAAGTAGAATATTGAAGGAAGTGAAAACAGGTGATAAAGCATGGCATAACCAGATGAAGTATGGTTCCATATCAAGAAGCTGCGACTTGTAGATGGGAAAACTGCAACAGTAATGTGTTAAAGACAGACAAAGGTAAAACAGAACACCTCTCCTTTTTAGAGGTGATCAGCAAGGTCAGTATTTTCTGTTCCTTCATGACACCTGTCATGTTGCTCTGTTAAAATCCAATGATGAAAAATATCTAGTGATAAGGCATCATACATCAATGCATTGATTAACATTTCTTGTCTAACCCTAAGACATTTATAGCCCATCAATACATTCTCTATTGGTAAGGAATGACTGTATTAACATTTCTTGTCTAACCCTAAGACATTTATAGCCCATCAATACATTCTCTAATGGTAAGGAATGACTGTATATGAAAGTATGAAACACAATTTTTCTGGACAAAGGACATACAAGACCATTACCAAGCTAGGAATTTGGCCTGTGACCTCCAAAGAATTAGGAGAGAAAAAAGTTTACCGACAAACACATAATGGATGATAAATTAAAAAGTAACTACTCATTTTGACCCTGATTGATTGATGGTTGCCTAAAATTAAGCTGCAAATTTTAAATGCATGTCTTTCAATCTGAATTTCAAAAATTCTAACTTTAGTTTAATTCTTACAGGAAGATGTAATTTGATAATTAGGCTTTCTAGTTCAAATGATAATGTAAAGTAAAAGTACATGATACAAACTAACAGTTATCCCACAATAAATGGCAGTTGTTTTAGTAATTAAGCAACTTATAACATTTTATAAAACAAAATGTCATCTGCTGTAGTTAAAAATGCTTTACATAAGGACACTCATCTTACTAAAAGTAAAAAAAACATATACAAAACAGGATTTTTCATGCTTGTGAAATTAACAAAATAGATTCACTTAAAAATGCCTTGTATTTCAGCATCTTAAATTACATGAAATATCTTATAATGAAAATAAATTATATTAAATGCCCAAAAAGGCTTAAACCAGGGCTGACCGCACAAGACCCTCATAGGTATCCTTGGCCAAAAAACCCAATCATTAACACCCAATAGTAGTAGTAGTAGTTTTCAGAAAACATTATATTTTGATTAAAAAAAAATTATAAGTTTAAAATAATGTAAAATATTCAGCAAATTATTCTCAATATCATTTTTTATCACAGTGCTTAAACAAGCATATATATTACTACAAACAATAATACTTCATACATGCCAGAAATAATATCTATGTGTGAGATACAAATATTTCAATTCTATAAATAAATATAACTTATATTGATCAATTTAAGTTAATTCAATTCTGTCATCTTGTTGTCTGTTTGACCTTAATTCCCTGGCCATTGCTTGACCATCTAATGACTGGACAGTATAATTAGCTTCAATTCCATAATCCTCTCCTTCTGGGTCATCAAAAATGTCTGCTGTTACATCTTTCATTAAAAGTTTTTCTTTCATAGAGCGTCTGCTTCTAGTAGATGAGAAATTTTCAGAAATTCTTGTTCTGCTGTTTAGTGAAACACTTTCTGGATTTATGGCATCATCATTATGATGAATTCTGAATAAAAAAGAGTATGAAAGATAATACATTGTTGAAGAGTGGTAGGAGGGGTGTCATCAGGAATTCCTGGAAAATAAACAATGAATTCCAAACGCCCCCAAAAAATTAAGCATCCTTTCCCAGATTACGAAAAAATCAATTATCAATTCCTGAGACCTGATAAGTGTAAATCCTGAATTCCCGCCATATTTAACCAATCAATAGGTTCTGATGCCCTCATTGTTTTCAGAGATACGTTTAATCCAATGGATGTTACTTTACATATATATATATATCAAGGGATGTGTATGTATATAGGATTAATATCACACATCAACAACTATAAAACTGGCCTAAATGTTGCAGAAGTACAAGCTTTCATTATCCTTATCATAAACTAAACATATGCGAAACATTCTAAGTCAATAATAGACTATGATAAAGAGGGCAGCACTTTACCATCTCCACAAAACTTTGATGGTACTGATGCTACAGCAATTGCACACAAAACATCACTGACTTACCATAATTGGTTCCTGTTAAACTAACTTTATCACAAACTTAAAATGTAAGTATTGAAAAGTCAAAGGACCATGGGGTTGAGCTTTAGTAATTTATCTTTGAGTAGGAAAATTAACTGAACACCTTTCGGTAAGAAATTTGACTCGGTATAGTAATTCATTTCAATATTAATATTTAATCAAATATGTGGAGGCAATTTTCTTACCCAAATTTGGAGTAAAAATAGACTAAAATATTAAAATTTCAAATTCACAAAAAACCAAACTTTTATGATGCTTTTATTGCAATGAAAACTTAACATCTTTTTTTCTTATTTTCATTGATAAAACAAGAACATTAATTACTGGCAGGAATTTAGTCTGTAATATATATTGTATATGAATGATATGTATCTTAGTGATATCAGTTAATGGTGGTTACTCAGTAAGCATGGTAAGCTTTATAGAACAAAGAATGAAAAGTGTGAAAGATATTAGTTAATAATGAGGAGTTTGTAGAAATATTTGAAACTTAGAAAAAAGTAAATTATTGATTTTCTTCAATGTTATTTCCAATTTGGAAAACTGGTAAACAAATAAACATGTTAAATTTGACAGCATGCAAGGAAGAAGGTTTTTATGAATACCTTGAAAGCTTTTATCAAAACAATAATGATAGGAATAGTATAAATGCTTTTTGCAAAATGAAATTATGAATTAATAATGTACATGTATTAAGCTTCCATGTAATTCTTGAAAAGTTTCAAATCAATTTAAAAACAAAATGAAAAACATTTCAACTTATCTGATGAAATAAAATTGGTACTGATTGTCATATGCATAATATAGAAATGACATTTTCCATTGCAACACATTTTTTTTCAAAGATTTAACTTATAATCAATAAATTTTCTCAACTTCCAGGGATGTTATTATGCATAGAAACAAAACATTATTTACAATCATGATGTACACAACATCAAAGGTGAGTTTAGACAGAAAGAACAGAAAAGAGACATGTGTTAAATAGTATTAGAATAGGGTGTTAAACAGACATGTACAGCTATTATAGGGATTTCAATAAAAAAAAATTTTTTTATAGCAAATTGTAATTTAATAATAAATCAGGTATTTTTATTATACTGTATTGTTATACAGTTTTTTTTATGGTGTATAGATTTTAAATCATAGGTAATGTTTGATTACAAAGTTTGCCTCCCTTATGCCATTGAAAAATTCAAAGTATGATCAAACATGTTAATGGTTGCATCTTTGAACTATGACACTGCATAGTAAATCATACAGTTCATGATAGCTTCACTCAAATATATACTATTAACAAAGTCAATGACATACTCTCTTAAATACACCTGCATGTAAGTTTAGATGATCTTACACTTTGTAGTACATGATAAGAGTTCTTCAGACTCCTACTGTCGAAAAAGAAGAGAGACCATAATTTAATAACAAAATAAATGGAAAAAACTAAAGCAATGGCATAAATGACTACATTTTGAAAATGCACATGATTTAAGCTTACTAGATATCAATTTTGAAAGTGGCTAGATATTTAAAGGCACATGCTAGGAATCGACACCTATTAGCCAATCAATGCATTTGCATAGGACAGACAAAAATTACTTGTCAGCAACATAAATGACATGCCAAGGTCGACTTCATTTAACATGTTTTACAGAAATACTTTTGCTTAGACAATTAAAAAAATTCCACTCTTGAGCACATGTTTTATTTCATTCATAAATAAATTGCTGTGCCGAGCACAGCTGGATACGACCACAGAGGTCCAACCCTGAACAGTTGGGGCAAAAATGGACACAATATTCATGCTTGATACAGGTCTGAATTTGGATTGTAATTAAATATTTGACACATAATAGGTTTCTGACACAGAATAACTGTAGTCAAAGAACTTAGAATTGGTTATTGGTTATATGATTTGAATTTATATTCAATTTTTTGCTTTTGTGCAATACACTATGCTGTTGCAAATTGACCCCCCCCCCCCCCCCAAAAAATATTTGAAGAAATTTTCTTTTTAATTTCTGAAATCTGAAATGAGAAAAAATTTTGTCCCTCCCCTCCTTTTTCAAAATAAAATAAATGGGGAATGTGTCCATGGGACACAGGTGATGCCCACGCTTGCATATAATATTATAAAGGGACATAACTCAAGAACTGTAAAAGTGACGCTACCCAAATTTGTACTTGATCTGAGTTTTGTGGTAATAAGTATTGTGTATACGTTTCATAACATTTAGTTGAGGCAAACTTAAGTAAGAGAATGGAAACGAAAAATCCAGCAATTTTCATTTGTAAAGGGCCATAACTCTAGAACGGTAAAAGTGACGCTATCAAAATTCGAACTTGATCTGTGTTTTATGGTAATAACATTGTGTATAAGTTTCATAACATTTGTTTGAGGCAAACTAAACTTAGAACTGTACATGTATACCTAACAACAAAATTATTTTCATTTACCTGTGTTTAAAGTAATTGCAAATGGCTGATATTTTTGTCAAGCATATTGTTTTTTTTAAATTTTTTAACATTTCACAGCGGTATAACATGTTACTTTTATTATTCTTCCCTTAGTTTATTTATTTTGTATTTACATTGTATCACAGATCAAATTTATTTGTTCAGTGTATGTTCACTGGTGTTAATATGTCTTTTGATAGAGTTAAGCCATTTCAATTGATATTTTATAGTGTGTCTTTCTATGTTGTGATGTTACACTATTGTTTCAGGTAAGGGTGAAGGTTTGGTACCATTAAAACGTTTAAACCTGCTGCAATTGTTTGCACCTGTCCTAAGTCAGGAATCTGATGTTCAGTAGTTGTCGTTTGTTGATGTGGTTCATAAAAGTTTCTCGTTTTTTTTATAGATTAGACCGTTGGTTTTCCCGTTTGAATGCTTTTACACTAGTAATTTTTTGGGCCCTTTATAGCTTGCTGTTCGGTGTGAGCCAAGGCTCCGTGTTGAAGACCCTACTTTGACCTATAATGGTTTACTTTTATAAATTTTGACTTGGATGGAGAGTTGTCTCATTGGCACTCATACCACATCTTCTTATATCTATTAGAGAATGGAAACAAAAAATTCAGCAATGTTTCCATTTATAAAGGGGCATAACTCTAGAACAGTAAAAGTGACGCCACCAAAATTCAAACTTGATCTGTATTTTGTGGTAATAAACATAGTGTATAAGTTTCATAACATTTGGTTGAGGCAAACTAGAGTTATAGAACGGAAACGAAAAATTCAGCAATATTTTCATTTGTATAGGGGCATAACTCTAGAACGAATAATGTGACTCAACCAAAATTCAAACTTGATCTGTGTTTTGTGGTAATAAGCATTGTGTATAAGTTTCATAACATTTGGTAGAGGCAAACTAAAGTCATAAAACGGAAAATTTTGGGATGTACGGACGGACGGACAGACAAGGGTAAAACTTAAGGCCCCCTCCTCTACGGCAGAGGCATAAAAAATCTTTCCCTCAAGATATGGTCATAATCTCAATTCAAATTTCCAATGGAGTTTGCAACCATAATTACCCATTTAAATACAAAATAACATACATGATCATGGCTAAAATTAATATTCCTTAATCAGCATTTTTAATAAACTTCTAAAAATAAATTGACAGCTAATCACCTCAAGACAATACAACATTTCTTTATACATAATTCAAAAGCAGTGTAAGGGAGGTAATCCAAACATAAAATTCTACTTTTAAGTAATTGTCCATTAACCAGGAAACCCTTGTTTTTCCCCTTTTTTTGCCCCTTATTCCTAAACGGTTTGAGCCATAACCCCCCAAAGCCAATCCTAACCATCCCTTTGTGGTATGGAAACTTGTGGTATAATTTCAGAGAGATCCATACATCTTTCCACAAGTTATTGTCTGGAAACTAGAAAAATGCTTATTTGGGCCCCTTTTTGGCCCCTTATTCCTAAACTGTTAGGACCATAACCCCCAAAATCAATCCCAACCTTCCTTTTGTGGTTATAAACCTTGCGTTTAAATTTCATGGATTTCTATTTACATTTACTTAAGTTATTGTTCGGAAACCAAACGTCTTCAGACGATGCAGACGACGACGACGTGATACCAATATACGACCACAAAAAATTTTGCAGTCGTATAAAAACTAGATCTGTTTAGAGTTGAAAGCCCTTTTCAAATGATATTACTTTCAAACGCATGCCTGACTTAAAAATTTTGTGTGTGTAAATTTGGATCAAGTAGACATGTGATGGATGAGGGTTTTAAGATAAAAATCTTTTTACTTGCTGACTTTTTTCAACACACTGGGAATCTGATAACAATATGCTGATTTGGCATGGCCTAATGGTAAAAAATTACACTGAGTAAAGAGAGGTGAAATGTTTTGGGACAAATGATATTTTTTGCAATTGAAAAAGGGGAGGGGTATACCATCTACACTCAACCTGAATCCAACAATGATGGTCCTCTCTCTTATAGTTTCAGAGTTACGGTTCCAGAAGCACACAAAAACATGAATGATTGGGGTATTCTTATAGTCTCCTTGAAGTTAAATAAAGCAAGCTATAAACTTGTTTTTTAATTCTACATTTTGTTGGTTTTTAATTCTACTTTTTATTTGCCACTTAATATAAGTAAATGAAAACAGAACAAACAATTCATCTTGATGAACAAAACTTACTACTAGCTGCTGAAAATGCCTCCAAAATTTTAAAAACAATTTTGTTTATATTTGTTAATTTAGCAGTTCAATGCACAGAGACAAATAACAATATGTATTATAAATTTTTTCATAGTCTATCTAATTACATATTTTTATTGAAAACCCTTTGAATGATACCTTACATCTTGAATTTCCTGGTCTTTTAGGACCAATAGTAACATCAGTAAAATATACTTGTTTAGGAATGAACGTAGATCTCAGAACTCGTCTTCTACAACCATCAAGCAAAAGTTCTTTAGATTTTATAAGCAGTAATTAGTGGTTTACGTTAACATGATTTGATATATGTAACAATTTTCAGTAGGATTTTTTTTAACAGGCTAAAATAAACACCAACTTTATGTTTTTCACACCAAAATATAATCCATTTTAAAAATTCATCAACAAAAAGATTTATTTTGTTATTTAAATACTATCATTTTTCTGTTTTCTTTTGTTTTTGTACTGTTATGTCACACTGTTAAATATGACTTTTATCACACATAAAGTAGAATGATATTTCAATATTTTTTTTCTTTGTATGATTTGCATATTTACCTTTGAACTATAAAAATTGTTATGACAGCTAATGCTGATAAAACATCTACGGCTATCCATAATATCAAATAATTTCTTGGTGGCTGCAAAATAGTAAGTATATAGTTAATGCAGATATCAAAGTTGGGTAGTAAACTATTATCTTTGTATTGAATATTGAACAATCTAACGTGGGAGAAACTTATTTAACGGTTAGATATTTACCTATTGTATCTTCTTCAAAGCCTTTCTATGATACTAGAGTGTAAGAATACATGATTTCTACATCAGATGACATAAGCCTATCTATGATACTAGAGTGTAAGAATACATGATTTCTACATCAGATGACATAAGCCTATCTATGATACTAGAGTGTAAGAATACATGATTTCTACATCAGATGACATAAGCCTATCTATGATACTAGAGTGTAAGAATACATGATTTCTACATCAGATGACATAAGACTTTATATGATACTAGAGTGTAAGAATACATGATTTCTACATCAGATGACATAAGCCTATCTATGATACTAGAGTGTAAGAATACATGATTTCTACATCAGATGACATAAGACTTTATATGATACTAGAGTGTAAGAATAAATGATTTCTACATCAGATGACATAAGCCTTTATATGATACTAGAGTGTAAGAATACATGATTTCTACATCAGATGACATAAGACTTTATATGATACTAGAGTGTAAGAATAAATGATTTCTACATCAGATGACATAGAGTGTAAGAATACATGATTTCTACATCAGATGACATAAGCCTTTATATGATACTAGAGTGTAAGAATACATGATTTCTACATCAGATGACATAAGACTTTATATGATACTAGAGTGTAAGAATAAATGATTTCTACATCAGATGACATAGAGTGTAAGAATACATGATTTCTACATCAGATGACATAAGCCTTTATATGATACTAAGAGTGTAAGAATACATGATTTCTACATCAGATGACATAAGACTTTCTATGATACTAGAGTGTAAGAATACATGATTTCTACATCAGATGACATAGAGTGTAGGAATACATGATTTCTACATCAGATGACATAAGCCTTTCTATGATACTAGAGTGTAAGAATACATGATTTCTACATCAGATGACATAATACTTTCTATGATACTAGAGTGTAAGAATACATGATTTCTACATCAGATGACATAAGCCTTTCTATGATACTAGAGTGTAAGAATACATGATTTCTACATCAGATGACATAAGACTTTCTATGATACTAGAGTGTAAGAATACATGATTTCTACATCAGATGACATAGAGTGTAGGAATACATGATTTCTACATCAGGTGACATAAGCCTTTCTATGATACTAGAGTGTAAGAATACATGATTTCTACATCAGATGACATAAGCCTTTCTATGATACTAGAGTGTAAGAATACATGATTTCTACATCAGATGACATAAGACTTTCTATGATACTAGAGTGTAAGAATACATGATTTCTACATCAGATGACATAATACTTTCTATGATACTAGAGTGTAAGAATACATGATTTCTACATCAGATGACATAAGCCTTTCTATGATACTAGAGTGTAAGAATACATGATTTCTACATCAGATGACATAAGACTTTCTATGATACTAGAGTGTAAGAATACATGATTTCTACATCAGATGACATAGAGTGTAGGAATACATGATTTCTACATCAGGTGACATAAGCCTTTCTATGATACTAGAGTGTAAGAATACATGATTTCTACATCACATGACATAAGCCTTTCTATGATACTAGAGTGTAAGAATACATGTCTTCTACATCAGATGACATAAGACTTTCTATGATACTAGAGTGTAAGAATACATGATTTCTACATCAGATGACATAAGCCTTTCTATGATACTAGAGTGTAAGAATACATGATTTCTACATCAGATGACATAAGACTTTCTATGATACTAGAGTGTAAGAATACATGATTTCTACATCAGATGATATAAGCCTTTCTATGATACTAGAGTGTAAGAATACATGATTTCTACATCAGATGACATAGAGTGTAGGAATACATGATTTCTACATCAGATGACATAAGCCTTTCTATGATACTAGAGTGTAAGAATACATGATTTCTACATCAGATGACATAAGACTTTCTATGATACTAGAGTGTAAGAATACATGATTTCTACATCAGATGACATAGAGTGTAGGAATACATGATTTCTACATCAGGTGTCATAAGCCTTTCTATGATACTAGAGTGTAGGAATACATGATTTCTACATCAGATGACATAAGACTTTCTATGATACTAGAGTGTAAGAATACATGATTTCTACATCAGATGACATAAGCCTTTCTATGATACTAGAGTGTAAGAATACATGATTTCTACATCAAATGACATAAGCCTTTATATGATACTAAGAGTGTAAGAATACATGATTTCTACATCAGATGACATAAGCCGTTATATGATACTAGAGTAAGAATACATGATTTCTACATCAGCTTAGATACTGTGAGATAACTTTTAGTAACTGCAAGCAATCCTCAATATAATATCATAAACCATTGTTTTATCTGTTGCTAATCTGTATTACCAACATATTAGAGTCAAATACTTTTTCTGACATGATTTTTATTGTGTATTTTTCTCTGTATCTTTTGTTATTACATGGATAATATAAGGGGGAAGATTGAGTACTGATTAACTAGTTCAACTTGGCCACATTTTAATGTGACTGTCCAAAGTCAAAACTTTGTCTTTTTTTTTTTATTTGAGTTTTCATTGTCCTTTAACAAGTTTTGTGTTGATAACAGATCTTTAGTACCGGTAGTCTCTGTTAAACTTAAACATAGCTTGTCTTTACTTATTGAGGACATTTCACACTTGGACAGACACTTGTCAGGATTATATTGTTGGCCTATACATGTCTTTGCTTGTTAAGTTGTTTGGCTGCTGTCTCATTGATGTTTAACCCATGAATCCATCTATGCATGTCAATGTTTTCAACTTTATGAAGTGAGTGCAAAATATTTTGAATCATAAAATCAAAACCTGTGTTTCCTATTCATCCTTTACGCATCACTTCATTTGTGTTTCTACACATTCATACTTACTAAATGCCAGATAGGTTCGTTTAGCCTTTGTAGAACATGACATTTATCTGTAGTGACAGAGGACAAACCCATACACCAGTACAAGGAATACAACCATACTGCGCTTACTTGAAATACATTTGTTGTAATGTTGTACTTCTGGAATTCCCTGTGGAGGTTCAAAAATTTCAATATGTAATTCAATAATAAGATGAAGTTTTAAATATTATAATCATTTTAAAGACAAAGAATAAATCTGCAGATCATATTGTTTCAAGACAAAAGAGGCTGTATGTGTAAGCCACATGGAAATGAAAAAAATATTTTTAACAGGAACAAACTAAAATCAGAGGTGTTTGTGAGCTCTGGAGGGTAAAGATTGTATTCATTTTGCAGAGGGAATAATAAATTAAACATAACATTATATATTAAGCATTAGATGGCAATACTATAAACCAACTAATTTTCGAGGATTTTTTATTTCGCTTTTAACCCTTTCTAGCTGACCTTTATTTTCTGGATGCATTTATTTAAAGGGAAGATGAAAGTTTCCTGCATTTGCAACATTTTTTATTCACGTTATTTTTGTACTTGGAAAAGTCACGAAAATAAGTTTGGTTTACATTAAATCTTCTAGTAGTTGGTTAATCTACAATTTAAGACAAAGGTAGATAACTCAAAATTTAAATATGACTTCAACATGCACCATGCACAAATTGTGCAATTTTCTTGACAAATATGGATATAAACATAAGTAAATTCTGAGTAAATATTTCAATGTTCATGGATAGGTAGTATAGAAAGTTGGCTTAATTCACTTGCTAGTCTGGAAAATTCAAACTTTAAAGCCAGCCACATATGGGTTTTGATTGCATGAATGCGATCTTTACCCCACAAACATCAAAGACCAAATTATTAAATGGACTTTTAAGTTTTTGTTCTTATGTTTTGCTGTTACATCACTGTACTAGGTTAGGGGAGAGTTGAGTGCTGCCAGATAAACCCCACCACATTCTGTGTGTCTGTCCAAATTTAGGAGCTTGTAAATTAGTTGTTGTTGTTGGTTGCTATTATATTTGGTTTTTTTTTGTTTGTTTATTGTTTTGTTCATAAATCAGGCCATTGGTCTTTTCTTTTAAATTGTTTTACATTTTTTATGTCTGGGTCCTTTATTTACTATATGGTAAGGTTTTTGCTCACTGCTCAAGGCTGTATAGTCACCTTTATTTTCTTATATCCATGTCAATTGGACTCTGGTGGATAGTTCTCTCATTGGTAATCATACCACATCTCCTTATTTTTACATTAATGCTTGTTGCCAAAAACAAAAAATTTATACAATGTACATTTATAATTATAATTAATAAAAAATTTTCCTCTATAAGTTATGAAATAGCAAGAAGAAACAGTAGTTACCTATATCATTTACTTACTTAATTTCATCTCCAGAGAGCATATGGTGCTCAAAATTGACATGTGTAAAGTTATCCTGCATCACATATTGTACAGGATTATTTGATTCAGGAAAAGGAATACTTGTAACATTATAGTCTTTGTGGTTACCTGTCACCCATACCTACAAAAATTGTATAAATGTACATCTATGTGAAATAAAGTTGATTTTTTTCTGATACAATAAATACAATAGCTTTCTGTGATCTCTTTTGGTCGATTAGAAAATGGAACTACTTCCACCACTGACATTATAATTCATTTCCATCCCATGTAGAAACAAAAATTTTCATTTTATATATGTAGGACTCTAAAGTGCGATGGGAACGCTAAAGTACGATGGTCACGCTTAAGTGCGATGGTCTGCGCTAAAGTGCGATGCCTCCATACGCTAAAGTCCGATGGTCCGCGAAAGTATAGATGTAAGAAATGTAGTTGGATTATGACGTTAACAGTCGTTTATATAAACCAAAAATTAACATGCTGGAAGATAAATTAAAAATATTTGATTAACAACTTTTAAACCAAATGTCCATGACTTAATTAATTTAAACCTTACCGTGCTTTGTCGGCTGAAGCAAATGTGTTTTTTTTTTTTGGGACGGAAGAAGGACTTGTATCCTGCAGTCGACCATTTTTGCTATATAGATACAAAATAGTATACCCATATGTATCCTGTATCCCGCTTCTATTGGAAGCGAACGGATACATTTAAATCATTGTTTACTAATTGCGGTCCCCGTAAAAATACTGTCTATTTTATTGAAAAGTAACGTCCGTAAAATAAAGGTACATGTTTTCAAGCGTAAATTATAAATGTCGGCTCAAACATTAGTTTGTACATTGTAGTAAAATATAGCATGTATTTGTACTCGCTACGAAAAAGGGGAAAGCTCGGCGAACACCGCCTTTCTCTCGCGTTTAAATTAAAGCTTGTACAAATAAATGTTACTTATACTGTAAGGGGAGGTGTTCACATTAGACGGTGTGTGAACGGCAAGCTACATCAATTATCCAATACGCCTGAATTGTTAAAAATTCATTTACAGGAAATATATTATTTTGTGACACCTAATTTACCTTTTTTTAGCAATTATTACGTGGTCAGTCTTCTAAATTTAGAAACAATCACATAACCTAACGGTAAATCATAAAGCCTATCACACTTTATGTTATACCTTAGCATACTAGCTTTTGCAAAAAGACTTGTTTTTAACATCCATGTACCTAAATGTTTTAAGCCCTCGAACCTTACCATATTGTTTAATCGCACTTTAGCGTGCTATACCATCGTACTTTAGCAAACAAGCAACCATCGCACTTTAGCGTGATATACCATCGTACTTTAGCAAACAAACAACCATCACACTTTAGCGTGAGACACCATCGTACTTTAGCGTAGACCATCGCACTTTAGCGTGACCATTGCACTTTAGAGTACCATCGCACTTTAGAGTCCTACATATATATGCATGATCCTAAAGTATCATATACCTGCAGCTTTTCCCCTTCATTTTCAAAAACTTCATTCTTTATATAAAGTATGAATGTTGACTTTTTCTTCTGATGTTCATGTATTTGTAAATTGTGTATGTAATGGAGAAGACAATACTTAGTTGTAAAACTTGTGCCTCATCCGTTCGTATAGTTTAAGAAAAAAAAATATGTTTAGACTAAGTTCTTACCAATATGAAAGCTATTATGGCAAAAAAAATGCAAGCATAAAGACAGATAAAGGCTATATTCTCAGATGATCTTTAAATATACATACTCTTGATTTTGGAATACCGCTGTTTCTAATCATTTCCATGTAAATTTCAATCGTTCTGTTGTGTTCTGGATGCCAATCAGCTGTTCCGAATACATCAATCATTAATATTAAATCTGTCTTGTTAACAAACTTTAACAACTCCTCAAAAGTTGGAATGCTCTGACTGCTGTAATTGTTTTTTTCTTCTTCAGACAAATCTCCAACAGTTCCAAAAGGATCCCTCTATGAATCAAATATAAAAAAAAAATCATATACAATATTTCATATCTTTGTTTAACCCTAATGATCATAAGCTATTAAATAACACTATTAAAACCTGCATCTTCAACAATAGCCACTTTTTAGTAAAAAATCATCATTAAAGGGGAATAACTCTATTAAGAGATAATTGATAATTTCAGTCATGTTGACATATTTGTAGATCTCATCCTGCTGATAATTTTCCTTTTTACAGTTTCTATTTATCTATTATAGTTTCAACATATTAGGCAAAAAATGCAAAAAAATGTTAAAATTTATCATCAAAGGGCAATAACTCCAATAACAAGTCAACTGCAGATTCTTGCCATTTTGGCTTATTTGTGGATCTTGTCTTGCTGATTATTTGTGCTATTTAAAGTTTCTATTTATCTATTACTGTTTTCAAGATATTAGGCAAAAATGGGAAAAATTATCATTAAAGGACAATAACTTCAATAACGAGTCGACTTAAAATTTTGGCCATTAGGCTTATTTGTAGATCTTGTCTTGCTGATCATTTTTGCTATTTAAATTTCTGTCTATCTAATATCATTTTCGAGATAATAGGCAAACATTTTTTAAAGTGGTAAAATTTATCTTTTAAGGGCAATAACTCCTATAAGCAGTTGTTTGACAGTTTTGATGTGAATGAACAATAGGTAGAGCTCAAAATTCTGAACATTTTTGCTGCTGTCAGATTTTCTCTATTTATAGCGGTTTTCAAAATAATAGGCAAAACTTGCATTTAACCTCTATGTTCTATTTTTAGGACGACGACGACAAATGCCAAGTGATGAGAAAAGCTCATTTGGCCTTTCGGCAAGGTGAGCAAAAAATACAAAAATTTATTACAACTGACAATGTGTTATCATTTCTGTTTATGTTTAAATATGATACAGTAATGCACACAATTTGAGGTATATGTTACAACGCAGGTATATTCTTTTTTGAATTTCAGGGATAATGAATTTGATTAAGTAGGCTGTAATAAAATAAATGGAGAATGTCCATGGGACACAGATGATGCCCCTGCTTGCATAAAACGTTATAAAGGGACATAACTAGAGAACTGTAAAAGTGACGCCACCCAAAAGTTAGAGAACGTAAACGAAATATTCAGCCATTTTTTTCATTTATAAAGGGGCATAACTCAGGAACAGTAAAAGTGACGCCACCCAAATTCAAACTTGATCTGTGTTTTGTGGTAATAAGTTTTGTGTATAAGTTTCTTAACATTTGGTCAAGGGAAACTAAAAACTAAAACTAGAGAACAGAAACTAATTTTGGGATGTACGGACGGACGGACGTACAGATGGACAAGGGTTAACTTAAATGCCCCCTCTGCTATGGCGGGGGCATAAAAAAAGTATGAAATTTCTATTCTTATTTTTTTGGGGTAAAAATCAGAAAAATTGAGTCAGAGGTTGTAAGTTCGAAACACACTTGGCAGTTGCGTTCTATTACAATCTTAATTTACTAAGATTGTCAGTTTTCCTTCCAAAGGTCATGGTTCTATCCAGACACTATGGCTTCCTCCACCAAAAAAAACTGACCGTCATGATGTAGCCAATAGTGCTGAAAGTGGCGTTAAACACCAACAATCAATCTATCCAAAATTGTGTTAGAATAACAGCATAAACTAAAGACAGGAACTAAATGACCTGGCTTCTTGCTGATTATATTTTAGTCAGAACTGAAATTAACTGAGGGGGGCAATAGGGGGTTGAATAACATGTTAACAACACCTCGATTTTGGCAAAAACAGTTAAAAACAAATATAAAATGCTGATAACAGTTAACACCAACTTTAATTGTGACTTAGGGATTTTTTTATGAACACCACAGGTTTCAGTAGTGAAGCAAACAATTCTTTCTCTTCTGGAGCACCTGAGTCCACCTTGGTTTGGGTTGGTTTCATCAATATTTAAGTTTTTTGTTGGTCTTGTTTTTTTTGCAGATTAGCACTTTTAGTCCCAGATGGTGGGAGGTGTACCCTGGCACTCCTTCTGAAGATCCTTCATTGTTTTCCCTTCATTAGTACCTTTAAAATGGATTTTTTTTTTTTTAACTCACCTGCCCCAAAGGGCCAAGTGAGCTTTTCTCATAACTTGGCGTCCGTCGTCTGTTGTCGTCCGTCATCGTCGTTAACTTTTTACATTTTGAACTTCTTCTAGAGACCACTAAATGGAATGAAACCAAACATGGCATGAATGTTCCTTATGAGGTGCTGACCAAGTGTTGTTACTTTGAAGCCGATCCATCATCCAAGATGGCCGCAGCGGGGGACTTCTTTTAACATAGGACCCTATGGACAATACATACAAATGTCTTCTTTTAGAGAACCACTGAATGGAATGAAACCAAACATGGCATGAATGTCCCTTATGAGGTGCTGACCAAGTTGAAAAACACGTCCTCCAAATTAACATAACAAATATGTTGTCAATCAAGAAATCAAGCATCTTGATAATGTCAATTTCAGAGAATTTTTTGTTTGTTTAACCCTGAACATTTTGGGCAAGTATGGACACAACATTCAAGCTTGATACAGCTTTGCATTTGGATTGTGATTAAATATTTGACACAGCATAGGTTTCTGACACAGAATGAATGTGGTCTAAGAACTTAAAAATTTTAAATTGGACATTCACCTATTATGGTCTAATATCCAAAATCTAAATACATGGTTAGATTCAGCATATCAAAGAACCCCAAGAATTCAATTTTTGATGAAATCAAACAAAGTTTAATTTTGGACCCTTTTGACATCAATGTGGACAAAGTTGATAACGGGGCCCAAAAATCAAAAATCTAAATACATGGTTAGATTCAGCATATCAAAGAACCCCATATATTCAATTTTTGTTGAAATCAAACAAAGTTTAATTTTGGACCCCGATTTGGACCAACTTGAAAACTGGGCCCATAATCAAAAATCTAAATACGTGTTTAGATTCAGCATATCAAAGAACCCTAAGAATTCAATTTTTGTTAAAATAAAACTAAGTTTTATTTTGGACCCTTTGGACCTTAATGTAGACCAATTTGAAAAGGGAACCAAAAATTAAGAATCTAAATACACGGTTAGATTTGGCATATCAAAGAACCCCAATAATTCAATTTTTGATGAAATCAAACAAAGTTTAATTTTGGACCCTTTGGACCTCAATGTGGACCAATTTAAAAACGGGGCCCAAAATCCAAAATCTAAATACACGGTTAGATTCAGCATATTAAAGAACCCCAAGAATTCAAGAATAAAACCCCATTGAAATTGGTCAAGAAATAAGCAATTTATACGAAGTATCTTCTTTTGCACAATACTTGTGCAATTAAATATTTCTTGCTATTGCGCAATACTGTACAATTGACAATTTCTTGCTATTGCGCAATATTGTGCTATTGGATATTTCTTGCTATTGCGCAATACTGTGCAATTGAAGATTTCTTGCTATTGCGCAATACTGTGCAATTGAAGATTTCTTGCTATTGTGCAATACTGTGCAATTGAAAATTTCTTGCTATTGCACATACTATTATATAATAATTTACACATCCTGTTTGGTGTGTATCTCCTACCATAACATTATTATTTGCTTTTAAATATAAATCAAAAATAACCAACTTAAAATGGAAAATTTTAAAAGAAAAAAAAAGGAAAAAAAAAAACCCCCCCCCCAAATTTTTTGAACCCCCTTATGATTCATCACCCCCAAACTTAATCCTCACCTTCCCTTTGTGGTATGGTACCTTGCAGTACAATTTCAGAGAGATCCATACACTTGAACACAAGTTATTGTCTGGAAACTAGAAAAATGCTTATTTTTGGCCCCTTTTTGGCCAACAATTCCTAAACGTTTCGGCAATTACCCCCAAACTCAATTCCAGCTTTCCCTTTATGATATGGAACCCTGTAGTACAATTTCAGAAAGATCCATACACTTACACACAAGTTATTGTCATGAAACTAGAAAAATGCTTGTTTTTTGCCCCTTTTTTGGCCCCTTATTCCTAAAATTTTGAAGCAATTACCCCCAAAATCAATCCCAGCATTCCTTTTGTGATATGGAACCTTGTGGTACAATGTCAGAGAGATCCATACACTAACACACAAGTTATGTCTGGAAGTTACAAAAATGCTTATTTTTGGCCCCTTTTTGGCCCCTAATTCCTTTACTGTTGGTACCATAACCCCCAAAATCAATCCCAACCTTCCTTTTGTGGTATTGAACCTTGTGGTAAAATTTCATAGAGATCCATTCTCTTAAACTAAAGTTAGAGTGCGAAAACCAATGTGTCTTCGGACGACGACGACGACGACGACGCCAACGTCATACCAATATACGACCAAAAAAATTTTTTTGCGGTCGTATAAAAATGCGAGTTAAGTTCCTTGTGTAATATTAAGGTATATAGGGACAAAATTTCAGAGACAAGTGCCAGTGATTATGATCTGTTTAAAAACAGTTACATATGTGCTGTTTATGTTACTCCTTTGAGGGAGAACCGTAAAGAAAGAAATTAACAGCAAATTTAATGTGATTAGTGTGAATCTTGAAAATTCTTGTAAATAAGTTAACAGAGATAAATCATGTTGAAAACAGTGAACACTTTAAGTGTCAAGTAACAGATAACAGGAATCCCATTTTCATATAAAACAGTTAACATCATTGCCAATTTTAACATAATAGATAACAGACAGTCGATTGAAAACAGTTAACGGTTTATATATATTTCAAATAACAGTTAACACCTTGAAATAGCCCAAAACAGGTTAACAGAAAAAGGTATTGCCCCCCCCCCCCCCACCCCCTCTTAACTAAATATCATAAGAATTAAATCTCTCATAAAAGAAATACTTGCCTTTAAATACCATGACCCAGCATTCAGTTGTTTTATTTCTGATATGTTAAATGCTGATACTGAACTATCGATGTAATCCGGAAAGACATCAGCAATGTTTGTTGTACGAAGGAATGTAGAATCATGAAATACAAAGGGCACTCCATCATAACTGCAAAACAAATGAAAAACTCAGTTATCATATCACATAAAAGGATACAATGAACACAACAAATTGACACAAGAACTTTGAGAAGTATAAGTATTCAGTAGACAAGTAGTTGGTAATCAATGGATGTGAAAATGCATCACAAGACATACATGTAGCATGCTCACAAAGAGGCTCGATTGCAATTCTAGAAAGTCTTGATTCATAGGTTAGAGAAAATGTGATTAACATCAACATAATCATTATGTGTAGGAATACATAGGTAGTTAGCAGGAAGTTGATGAGCCATGGATGAAAAGGATCACCAGTACAGCATACATAAGTAGTTAGCAGGAAGTTGATGAGCCATGGATGTAAAGGATCACCAGTACAGCATACATAAGTAGTTAGCAGGAAGTTAATGAGCCATGCATGTAAAGGATCACCAGTACAGCATACATAAGTAGTTAGCAGGAAGTTGAGCCATGAATGTAAAGGATCACCAGTACAGTATACATAAGTAGTTAGCAGGAAGTTGATGAGCCATGCATGTAAAGGATCACCAGTACAGTATACATAAGTAGTTAGCAGGAAGTTGATGAGCCATGGATGTAAAGGATCACCAGTACAGCATACATAAGTAGTTAGCAGGAAGTTGATGAGCCATGCATGTAAAGGATCACCAGTACAGTATACATAAGTAGTTAGCAGGAAGTTGATGAGCCATGGATGTAAAGGATCACCAGTACAGCATACATAAGTAGTTAGCAGGAAGTTGATGAGCCATGGATGTAAAGGATCACCAGTACAGCATACATAAGTAGTTAGCAGGAAGTTGATGAGCCATGCATGTAAAGGATCACCAGTACAGTATACATAAGTAGTTAGCAGGAAGTTGAGCCATGCATGTAAAGGATCACCAGTACAGCATACATAAGTAGTTAGCAGGAAGTTGATGAGCCATGCATGTAAAGGATCACCAGTACAGCATACATAAGTAGTTAGCAGGAAGTTGATGAGCCATGAATGTAAAGGATCACCAGTACAGTATACATAAGTAGTTAGCAGGAAGTTGATGAGCCATGGATGTAAAGGATCACCAGTACAGCATACATAAGTAGTTAGCAGGAAGTTGATGAGCCATGGATGTAAAGGATCACCAGTACAGCATACATAAGTAGTTAGCAGGAAGTTGATGAGCCATGCATGTAAAGGATCACCAGTACAGCATACATAAGTAGTTAGCAGGAAGTTGATGAGCCATGGATGTAAAGGATCACCAGTACAGTATACATAAGTAGTTAGCAGGAAGTTGATGAGCCATGGATGTAAAGGATCACCAGTACAGCATACATAAGTAGTTAGCAGGAAGTTGATGAGCCATGCATGTAAAGGATCACCAGTACAGCATACATAAGTAGTTAGCAGGAAGTTGATGAGCCATGCATGTAAAGGATCACCAGTACAGTATACATAAGTAGTTAGCAGGAAGTTGATGAGCCATGCATGTAAAGGATCACCAGTACAGTATACATAAGTAGTTAGCAGGAAGTTGATGAGCCATGCATGTAAAGGATCACCAGTACAGTATACATAAGTAGTTAGCAGGAAGTTGATGAGCCATGCATGTAAAGGATCACCAGTACAGTATACATAAGTAGTTAGCAGGAAGTTGATGAGCCATGCATGTAAAGGATCACCAGTACAGCATACATAAGTAGTTAGCAGGAAGTTGATGAGCCATGCATGTAAAGGATCACCAGTACAGCATACATAAGTAGTTAGCAGGAAGTTGATGAGCCATGCATGTAAAGGATCACCAGTACAGTATACATAAGTAGTTAGCAGGAAGTTGAGCATTGAATGTAAAGGATCACCAGTACAGTATACATAAGTAGTTAGCAGGAAGTTGATGAGCCATGGATGTAAAGGATCACCAGTACAGCATACATAAGTAGTTAGCAGGAAGTTGATGAGCCATGGATGTAAAGGATCACCAGTACAGTATACATAAGTAGTTAGCAGGAAGTTGATGAGCCATGGATGTAAAGGATCACCAGTACAGTATACATAAGTAGTTAGCAGGAAGTTGATGAGCCATGGATGTAAAGGATCACCAGTACAGCATACATAAGTAGTTAGCAGGAAGTTGATGAGCCATGCATGTAAAGGATCACCAGTACAGTATACATAAGTAGTTAGCAGGAAGTTGATGCCATAGATGTAAAGGATCACCAGTACAGCATAATCACATGAAGCTTGATAGCAAATTTTAAGGCTGGGTTAATCTGTTTTGTCCACTACTCAACCAATGAATTCTTTTATCACAAACAATAATAATTATGACATACAATAATACCTCACATTGTCTCATTTCCGTATCAGTTAGCTTATGTGGTATAAAAAAATATTACATAGAGGCATGAAAAACTGAACAATTTGTGATTTCTTTATTTTCTAACTACCTACCTTAATCTTATATCAGTCTCTATACCATATACATTGTATTTCATGGCAGTTTGGAATGAAATTAGAGTATTTTCTGGTGCTACCTGCAATAAATATACAAGAATGTGTGATGACAAACTGTAGTTAGCCTCATCAAAATCTGTGAGTGTGAGTATGTACCCTTTCTCAGGCCTGGCTTTCTGATACTGGATATTTTCTAGAATCACTTCTAGGCTGTAGCTCAAAAAGGTTAAGTACTAATGTTCAAATTTACACAAGCAAGCTTGTAAATGTATTTTTTACATGATCATACTGAATGTTTTGTCCTTGCAAGAGGCATTCATAAAGTATGTGAAAAGAACAAATCTTGAAACTGTCCACCTTTCAAAATAATAATTAGGATCAGTACTCGACTATTTAAAAATTTTTCTATTGATCTGTATTTTGTACAACTGCAAATTTAACCTTATAGATTTACTATTAAAGGAAAAGTTGAAATTATAACTACAAACTTACAGCTGGTGCTCCTCTATGGCCTATAATATTTGGTTTCTGAGGTATATCTTTAATAACCTTGACACAAGGTGAATCTATAAATAGTGGTGATATGTACAGTCCTGACATCACAATTAAATAAACTGTCAACCAAAGAAATTGCACACCTAAAAAAATAAAAAAACAGCATTACATTACATAAATGAACTATAAAAATTGTGACTACCATATATTATCACAATTGACTGATTTATGAGTGGGTCATAACTCTTAGTTTTATACACTACTGCAAATCTATCTTATTTCCTATGAAGCAACATAAATGATTTTGGTAACCTCCCTTTTTTCTTTTAATTTTCAAAAAATATTATTCTTTTTTACAAAAAGTAAAATAAAAAAAAATACCGAACTCCAAGGAAAATTCCCTTATCAAATGGCAAAATCAAAAGATCAAACACAACAAACAAATGGAAAACAATGTCATATTCCTGACTTGGTACTTCCTGAAAAAGTAAGTTGATACCACAATTTCCCCCCAATATTAAAAAAATAAAATGACATTGGAAGTCAATTTGGAATAGCATATCATGTTGAAATTCAAACACATAAAGATGCTTTCAAAATTTGTGATTTTTTTACCCCAAAAATAAAAGAGTTCTTCCTTCAATAGATATTAATACTGTGTATTAATCAGTTAAGGCAATCTGTACTTATCATACAACAAATAGAAATCCTGATGGACAGACAGAGTTATTACTATATACAGCCTGAATAATCTTCAGACATAAATTTACATTTTTATAAATACAATTAAAATCAGAGCAATGAAATCTTGAAGATTCTCTTTGCAATTTTACATAATTTTTCAATACTTCAAACCTCAATTTATTAACTGATGAAACTACATGTTGATATTACATTTACATACAAACTACCTTAAACAGAAGTAAGATGGACAAAAAGACAAAATAGGATGTATTTACCTATTTAATTGAAGACAAGGCAAAAGTAATTGAACAGAACTTACAACAAGTAGATAAAGTTAACCACTGTTTGGCTATGATCCATGTTAATGCAGTCATCATTGTAACAACTCCAATCTGAAGGAAAGGACCAGTAATCTGTAAACATAAAAAATATGACCAACACATTGATACTACCAACAAATATTATGGGAAAGTCTTTAGAAAAGATGATATTACAGATACAACATAAACTTAACACTTGATCAATGAACCTTGAAAATGATATCAAGGTCAGGTGAAAATGTACAACTTGAAATGATTCTTTTGACAAAATGCAGTTGTTCTTTTTCTCAAAGTTACCAAAAAATAAAGTTAGAGAACGGAAACCAACTTTGGGACGTACCGACGGACGTACATACAGACGGACAAGGGTAAAACTTAATGCCCCCTCCGCTACGGCAGGGGCATAAAAACCTTTTCAAGGAAAGCATGATGATTATTAATTTAAGAAAATGAGGGCAAGGCCAGGTTTCTCATGTCAGACAAACACATATATCTTACAATAATTCTCTTGATCAGATATTTTTTACCCATCACTCATAGAAATGGAGAAACTGACCTACTCATGACAACTTAAAACTGACCAAAGAAACATGAAAATCTTTGACAATGTGATTCATGTGATAATATGTGATGATTGTACATACTGTATCAAAATATCAAAGTTTTTATTACATGATGTATTGATATGTTCATTTAGTCACATTTGTTTCCATTAAATAGAGCATCTGATTTATTCAATGCAGTGATATTAATTTGTAAAGTTACAAGTAGCTAGCAAATTATAAAAGATACCTTTAAAGACAGCCAAACAACTGCCCATTCTGTTTTCCATAATTCATCTAAAACTATAGTTACTGCTATACAAAAACAAAGACACAACACAACAAACACTATATGGACAGGATGTGTATAAAGCTGATGGCCGTTAATCACATGGCACACGGATAAAATCTGTAATATATAAATTACACATGACAACATTGAAAAATGTTATATGAACATGATCATAGTTCACAGTTTTATACACTAAATATCTTTAGAGGCATTTTTATTGATATCTTAGTCTAAGAAATTTGGCTAATCTATTGAATTTCATTTAATGTTGAAATGTTAAGCCAATATCATTTCCTTGTTACATATCGCTAGGAATTTGTTTTATAATTCTTGTACTCCTGTGATTTTCCTTGGTAATTATGATATGCAACTGTCACAGGTTTGGAGAGCTCAACTGGTCACAATTTAGTTTTAGAATTACCAAGTATGTTCAGGAGCTCTGGACTAGGAGTCCAAATAGAAAAGGGCTACATCATTGTCCTATTTTCAACCCTACTGTTTATGAAGATACTGAAAATGCCCACATTTGTCAAGACCTCCCAGTTACAGCGCTCCAAAGAAGAGCTTAGAGTAGCATTTAATCAGTATCACTACGAAGGCTATATTTAATAATGTTACAATTCTAAGTCATTAAAAGTAAACAAAAATTCTTTCTGATATGAGTGGTCAAATTTAAACAACTTATAGCAGTATATTGTGTGTTTACAATTTAATCAGGCTCTTCATGTGTTGGTAGGTGAGAAAGAATTAAAGATTAAAAGCTTTACCAACGAAAAAATATAGTACCTACCATTAACAAAAATAAATAACAAAACAAAGTAACAACAACAGCTAACAGGATTGTGTGCATTGAGATCCATTTCTTAAACTCCCAAAATATGTACCTGAAAAACATTACAATAGTTTATCTGTAAAATAATACAAAACACAACACATTTAAAAAAAAAAACCTTAAAAGAGTAGCCAAAACAATCTAACGTCAACTTCCAATAAAAGAACAGAGTTCCAATGTCCCCGGCATTGCACATATTTTTATACTATTGCAATGCAAAAAGAGTTTGAACATTAATTTCTTAATATATTCTAAATTTATCAACAGAAAATTTTTAGATATATATATGTAGCTTATAAATAATGTCAGTGTGAAGCACTGATTACTGGGATTATGATTAACTCTGGATCCACCAGTATCAATCCAGTGGTTGAAAAAAAATAACACTATAAATTTGGTACACATATAAGAAGTGCTTTTTTTAAGATTTACCTTCATCAAAAATGATCACTTTATCAAAAAAACCTCTTTGAAATAAAAAATGAGGTCAATGTATGTTTTTCCATTTTTCCCAAAAAGAATATGTTCACCTAAAAATGGTACTATTTATAAAGACAAAAAGGCTTTTTGCTCACAGTATATGAAAAGATCACTATATCCTAACTAAAGGCTATAAAGAGTCTGTGTTGCTCTCCTGGATATATGTGCATTTTCAACATTTGCTGCTCTCCATCATTTAATACTAGAATATAATAATTCATGACTACAAACAATTTCAGCAATGTTGACTTATTTGAAGATCTTGTCTTGCAGACCATTTTTGCTATTAAATGTTTCTATCCATCTATTATAGTTTTCTAGATAATAGGTATAAATGCCAAAAAATTGGTAAAAATCATAATTTTCTCAGTAACTCAATAAGGAGTCAACTGACGATTTCTGTAAGAGAATAATTCACTTGACCCTTCAGGTCAGGTGAGCTAAAAATTTGTAAATCAGTCTTTCAAGTTCAAAAGCTCCAAAAAGGAGTCAATTGAAAATTTTGACTATGTTTGACTTATTTGTAGATCCTCTCCTGCTAATCATTTAACCTTACAGTTTCACTTTATCTATTATGGTTTTAAAGATAAATCGCCAAAATCTCAAAATAAAATGGTATGAATCATCTTTTAAGGGCAGTAACTACCATAAGGAGTTGTCCAACAATTTTGGTATAAAAAAAAAACTGTAGGGAGATCTTGACATTGAGAACATTTCTGCCCTGTCAGTTTTTCTCTTTCTATAATGGGTTTAAGATAAAAGACAATACTTGTATTTAACTCCCAAGTTCTATTTGCAGCCTTGGTGGCCATATTGGTTGACAGGTGAACTCATCGAACACATTTTTTAAACCAGATACCCTGTGATTCTGTTGAAATTTGGTTCCAATTGGCCCTGTAGTTAAGGAAAAGATTTTCGTAAAAGTTAACTGACAACAAAGGATGACATTGACAGATAAATGACTTCAAGTGAAGAGAAAAATGGGTAAAAATGGTCATTTTAGGGCAATACATTGTAATTCCTATAAGGTTGTGTCTGCTAATACAGGAAATTAAGCGCATCTTGGCATTCTGAGTATTTTTGTCCCATTAGATTTTCTCTGTCTTTTATAATTTTCAAGATATTAGATAATTACTTGCACTTACCCATATGTTTTATTTTAAGCCATGGTAGACAATGATTGGCAGGAACAAAACACATATATTTTATTCAAGATACCATAAAGATTATTTAGCCCAAGTTTGGTCGAATTAGAGCCATTAGTTTCAGAGAAGAAGATTTAAGAAAAGATTTATTGTGGAGGACAGATGCCAAGTGATTTCAATAACTAAACTTTAAATGGATTGTATTTCTCTTATTGTTTCTATATACTTTATACATGGTATAACACAGAAACTGCCTCTGTCTTGGCATACATATATCTTGGTTTCAGGAATGTTTGTTGCAAGCAAAACAATTATATATGACTGTGTTAAAAATCTTATCCTTTTTCACTGACCAAAAATAACAACTTACCAGTTCAAGTTATAAACATCATTCTTAGCTATCAGGACATAATACAGTAGAAAATCTATAAACAGGAATGTCAGCAGTACAAGGGTTAACACAACCAAATCTCTCTGTTAAAACAAAACATTTATATGATCAATTTAACATACACATAATTGATTACTTGTAAATCTCCTTTCCCAAAAAGATTATTTTTTCCTCATATAAATATTTTTTACCAAATAAAGAAACAATATTAAAAACAGCCTTTTTTTAATAAACATTTATTGATATATGAAGTTACCATTTTCAATATGACTATAGCATATAGTATAGAGGAAAACAAAGATACTATTAAAACCCAATAGTGGGATCTCTGTATATATAATAATAATAATAAATAAGTCTAAATTGAAAACAACGTTCAAACCTATGATTGCGTTGGATAAAAAAAAACATTTATCCTAAAAAGACCTTTAACACATCCATGATATCATTAGATATCTGTACTACAAAACAGTTCATATGTATTCTAAACTAATTTAGCCCAGCTACATTGTCCATTTTCATCTTCAGGAACCTAGTGTGTAGTCTTTAGTTTAATCTTACTGTTTTTTACACTCAGGGAAATTGGTGTTGATCTTTGATAACACCTGTTCATTTCAATCAGGCCTTTTTTTAGAATCTAGGTGATTTTAAAATTGTCTTTATAAAATCTTGTAAGAATACTTGAAATCTGTATTCTGTTCAGTTTTTTCCATACTTATGTTAATGACATTTTTTCTCTGTCCCCTCTTCACTCCAGTAACCTTATAATGTACTATAAATTCAGAAAAAATTGTGAGGTTTTTATTATTGCGAATAATGCAACTGAGTGAGTATTGCAATAATAAGATCTCGCATTCTAATATCTGATACATATATTTGCATGCATATTTTCCAAAAATCACAATAATTAATCTCGCATTTTTTTCCATTCTTCAAAAATGGCAATAATTTCTGAATTTACAATATGTTAACAACCTATCACAGAGATTAATGACCTTGCGACTGTCTCGTGTTGACTGTTTGTAACGATGCCATCTGCATCCCAGCAATCCTGTCATACAAACAAGGCAATAGTTCTGTTTGTAGTACTGTAGCTTAGCATGATTCACCATTCTCTTCTCAGTAACTGCATTTCTTTTTTACAGAAAATTGCTAAATCATTATGTCAGTATCTAAAATGTATTACGTATACATGTATATAAGAAAAGAACCATTATAACAAGCAATGTATATATTACATCTACACTTTGGTAAACATGAATATTGGTAATAGGTACAATAATTCATTTCTAATCAAACTCTAGGTATTATTAGAGGTTTTTATAGAATTGGAAAGTCTGCTTATTGTTGAGGGGCATAAGTGTACATACAGTTAGTTTAAGAAAGGAACAACTGATATTTGTGTTTTTAAAGCCTTTATTCAAACTTTTAATAAAAATGTGATCCTCCAAAAAATTACAAAATCAAAACACATCCCATAATGTACTTTTTTTCTTTCCTCAGAGAAAATCTTTCCCAATTTGAAGGTTTGATCAGTGAGTGATATGCTTGCTTAGCAAACTTTACAGTTCCCTTGGAGTTTGGTATTTTTTAAAACCTTCAATTGAATGTCTTAACATTTATATTCTCCTTGATAATTTGAATAATTTTTTGTCTGCTGAATGTTTTCTGATACACATGTATATACTACATTTATTTTTAATACTAAAGGTAACAGTATATTGGGCACTTGACAGTTTTTGGTATCTATTTAAAGTTCCACAATATTGTCACATGAACATTTACCCCATGTTTTCTACAAGAAAGTAAAAGAAATATAACATCTTATTTTTTTCAGATATATTGACTCAATTTAAATGATAAACAAAAACATTATTGCTAACAAGTATACATTTGACAATACATGTAATTAGCAACTATTTTTCATACACCTAAACTGATTAAAAAAGAAAGAAGCTGTTTTGTTTAATTGGACAGGGTAAAGGTAAATAATTTCAAATAAAGCAATATAAATCAAGGAATTGAATTGCACTAATACATTCACTTGTAACTAATGGACTCTAACAAAATATCTAAATGTGTGACTTGTAAGATTTTTTTTTCTCAATTTATATTTCAATTGGCCAAGTTCTTATTGCTTGTCTGTCAGTCTCCAATCCACAGTTCAATTTTGCAATTTTTGACAAATAATAGGTTTCTGACACAGAATAACTGTAGTCAAAGAACTTAAAATTGGTTATATGATTTGAATTTGTATTCAATTTTTTGCTTTTGTGCAATACACTATGCTGTTGCAAAATGACCCCCCCCCCCATAAAAAAATTTAACCCCCCCTTTTTTGTTGCAAAATGAGAAAATTGTCCCCCTCCTCACAATTACTTTTTTACCCCCCCCCCCCCCCCCCCCCCCCTTTTCCAAAAAAAATATTCTTTCTCTCAAGATATGGTCATAATCTCAATTCAAATTTCCAATGGAGTTTGCAATCGTAATTACCCATTTAAATACATCATAAAAGTCTTAAAAATAGAAAATGACATACATAATCATGGCTAAAATTAATATTCCTTAATCAGCAATTTTAAATAGTAACTTCTGAAAATAAATTGACAGCTAATCACCTCAAGACAATACAACATTTCTTTATACATAATTTAAAAGCAGTGTAAGGGAGGTAATCCAAACAGAACATTGTACTTTTTTTTAATTGTCCATTAACCAGGAAACCCTTGTTTTTCCCCCTAACCTAAAGGGTTTGAGCCATAACCCCCCAAAGTCAATCCTAACCATCCCTTTGTGGTATGGAAACTTGTGGTATAATTTCAGAGAGATCCATACCCCGTTCCACAAGTTATTGTCAGGAAACTAGAAAAATGCTTATTTGGGCCCCTTTTTGGTCCCTAATTCCTAAACAGTTAGGACTATAACCCCCAAAATCTATCCCAACCTTCCTTTTGTGGTTATAAACCTTGTGATTAAATTTCATAGATTTCTATTTACATTTACTAAAGTTAGTGTCTGGAAACCAAATGTCTTTGGACAACACTGACGACGTGATACCAATATACGACCGCAAAATTTTTTGCGGTCGTATAAAAATAAGTACAAGGTCCACATTTTCTCCACAACCAACCATTTATACGAATTCAATAACTATACTTTTGTATTAATCGTGTCATTGATATCCAGATTTGCAAGGGTTAACTTCATAGCTAATTTAAAATTGACAGTCATGACAATAGTTATTTTGCAAGGGGCTTTCCATCCTGCAAACCATAAGCATCTATCTGACTGTGATTGACTTCTAAAGGGTTGTTACTCTAGAGTAGGCAGGGTCCACAAGCAGACAACCCCGGCAAGAAAAACAGCTATTGCAACCATTAACAATAAATAATAAAATGCTTCGCTGGGCGCAGCTTGATACGACCGCAGAGGTCGAACCCTGAACAGTTGGGGCAAGTATGGACACAACATTCAAGCTTGATACAGCTCTGAATTTGGATTGTGATTAAATATTTGACACAGCATAGGTTTCTGACACAGAAAGAATGTGGTCTAAGAACTTCAATTTTTTTAATTTACCTATTATGGTCCAATGTCCAAAATCCAAATACATGGTTAGATTCAGCATATCAAAGAACCCCATATATTCAATTTTTGTTGAAATCAAACAAAGTTTAATTTTGGACCCCAACTTGGACAAACTTGAAAACTGGTCCCATAATCAAAAATCTAAACACATGTTTAGATTCAGCATATCAAAGTACCCGAAGAATTCAATTTTTGTTAAAATCAAACTAAGTTTAATTTTGGACCCTTTGGACCTTAATGTAGACAAATTTAAAAAACGGGACCCTAAATTAAAAATCTAAAAACACAGTTAGATTTGGCATATCAAAGAACCCCAATAATTCAATTTTTGATGAAATCAAACAAAGTTTAATTTTGGACCCTTTTGACCTCAATATGAACCAATTTGATAGCGGGCCCACAAATAAAAATCTAAATACATGGTAAGATTCAGCATATCAAAGAACCCCATATATTCAATTTTTGTTGAAATCAAACAAAGTTTAATTTTGGACCCCAATTTGGACCATCTTGAAAACTGGGCCAAAAATCTAAAATCTAAATACATGTTTAGATTCAGCATATCAAAGAACCCCATATATTCAATTTTTGTTTAAATCAAACAAAGTTTAATTTTGGACCCCAACTTGGACCAACTTGAAAACTGGTCCCATAATCAAAAATCTAAACACATGTTTAGATTCAGCATATCAAAGAACCCCAAAAATTCAATTTTTGTTAAAATCAAACTAAGTTTAATTTTGGACCCTTTGGACCTTAATGTAGACCAATTTAAAAAACAGGACCCAAAATTAAAAATCTAAATACACGGTTAGATTTGGCATATCAAAGAACCCCAATAATTCAATTTTTGATGAAATCAAACAAAGTTTAATTTTGGACCCTTTTGACCTCAATATGAACCAATTTGATAGCGGGCCCACAAATAAAAAATCTAAATACATGGTAAGATTCAGCATATCAAAGAACCCCATATATTCAATTTTTGTTGAAATCAAACAAAGTTTAATTTTGGACCCCAATTTGGACCAACTTGAAAACTGGGCCAAAAATCTAAAATCTAAATACATGTTTAGATTCAGCATATCAAAGAACCCCATATATTCAATTTTTGTTGAAATCAAACAAAGTTTAATTTTGGACCCCAACTTGGACCAACTTGAAAACTGGGCCCATAATCAAAAATCTAAACACATGTTTAGATTCAGCATATCAAAGAACCCTAAGAATTCAATTTTTGTTAAAATCAAACTAAGTTTAATTTTGGACCCTTTGGACCTTAATGTAGACAAATTTAAAAAACGGGACCCAAAATTAAAAATCTAAATACACGGTTAGATTCGGCATATCAAAGAACCCCCAATTTTTTGAACCCCCTTATGATTCATCACCCCCAAACTCAATCCCAGCCTTCCCTTTGTGGTATGGTACCTTGCAGTACAATTTCAGAGAGATCCATACACTTGAACACAAGTTATTGTCTGGAAACTAGAAAAATGCTTATTTTTGGCCCCTTTTTGGCCCCCAATTCCTAAACGTTTCGGGCAATTACCCCCAAACTCAATTCCAGCTTTCCCTTTGTGATATGGAACCTTGTAGTACAATTTCAGAAATATCCAAACACTTACACACAAGTTATTGTCATGAAACTAGAAAAATGCTTGTTTTTTGACCCTTTTTTGGCCCCTAATTCCTAAAATTTTGAGGCAATTACCCCCAAAATCAATTACAGCCTTCCCTTTGTGATATGGAACCTTGTGGTACAATGTCAGAGAGATCCATACACTTACACACAAGTTATTGTCTGAAAGTTACAAAAATGCTTATTTGTGGCCCCTTTTTGGCCCCTAATTCCTTAACTGTTGGTACCATAACCCCCAAAATCAATCCCAACCTTCCTTTTGTGGTATTGAACCTTATGGTGAAATTTCATGGAGATCCATTCACTTAAACTAAAGTTAGAGTGCGAAAACCAATGTGTCTTCGGACGACGCCGGACGACGCCGCCGACGACGACGCCAACGTCATACCAATATACGACCAAAAAATTTTTAATTTTTGCGGTCGTATAAAAACAATTTACTATTTAAGCACAAAAATACCATATTTGTATTTCAATAAATAAATTACATCATATGGCAATTACCGATCGTATTCATTTTTTTACACATGCACATATGTAATTTGATAGATGCTGCTTATGGAATATATAATGAGGTAATTACAGAGTTACCACCCCAGATCAAAACTCCTCAAAATTGCCTTAACATGACTAACCATAGACAATGCACCTGAAAAAATTTTAAGGCATGGCTGGACCTAGATATATAAAAGTTATATGCATGCACTTTGTGTTTTTCAGAAAATTAAAACTTTTGGGGTTTTTAATATTCATTTTCACACATTACACAGTTAAACCATCCATTGTTGTACAGAATATACTGTACCTCTTTTGTCCATGCCATACAGTTCACAAGAGGGAAATTTCTCAAACTATTTCCCAACTTATTTTATTTTGGTATCTCAAAATCCAGGAAAGTTTTTTAATTTTCTGAGACATAAATGCATTTTACAATTTATATATCCTTTTCCAAGTTGATCCTGCCAATACTTTCGGTCAATTCTTCCCCCTATTAGAAAAATACTTGCAAGGGATACAAGTGATATATATTTGACTTTAGAGTAGATGTAGGTTAATGAATTTTATGAGTATCAGCAATGGTGGTGATCAAACATTGTGGCTTTCAAGCATATTCAAATATTTTAATTCCATTAGATGAGACATTGATTCAAATATTTAAAAAAAATATTAATCTTACAATTTTGCTTTGACACATAATGAAATACATTATTTTTTAATGTGAAATATTTTTATCAAAACCATTTTGTTATCTTTACGGAATAGAGATGATTATGCAGTATAAATATAGCATTTATGTTGATTACGATTTTTTTTCAATCAAGACTATTGTGTATGCATAATTATTATACTGAAGATAGATAATTATAATAAAAACATACATCACAGAAATTAATACCATCAACATTAATCAGCAATTGTTCATGTCACTTTATCTTAAAAAGTCTTTTTAACTTGTGTAATAAATAATTGGTTTGAGAAATGTTTTGCTATGGGGCGTGATTAACCTTGATGAAATCGACTTGGGCCAGATACTGAGATAGGTTTGGGGCTTGAAAATCCTGATCACTAATCTAGCAACTTCTAAATTTGCATGAAAAGTAGCTAACCAAAAATTGCAACTGTTGATTGAAACAAAAGAATTATTTTTTGCACTGTAAAACTTTATCCTATAATTTGGGCTATTCATATACCATGCAGGTTACTTATAACCAATTTGTGTGACTAGCGACTGGTTCCAACCTTATTTTTCCATACCTTCCGATTAACATTCATAGATGTTTGAGATTGAGTGTTAAATTTATGTTACAATGTAGGTATCTATGAGAGTGTCATGATAATTTATATTATTGTATCCTACTGTAACTCGAGTCTCTACAGAAAAGGAAATTGAAATTACACAATTTTTTAACAAATTAATGCGAATAATTGATTTAAAAGACAGAAAATGTTATCGTTAATGTAAAGGCTATGTTCTCATTAAACTAACAGTTGTCAGATTATGGATTTTTAGTCTCTAAATCAACTGCAAAGTTTATGTTGATAAAAATTGCAAAATCGCCATATTATGGAATCCCGGAAGTACAATAGTAAAAGCAAAATCGAATGACGTCGTTTGAATTCCGTAAATGTACTTCCACCACTTTAAATAAACCGTGATTTTTTTTATAGGTGATGTTAAAGGTTCTAGGTCGATTAACCAGTCTTAATTTTCACAATGTTTGTTTTAAGTAAATACGATTTGTACACAGGAACTTGTCTTTGGAAAAATACCTATATATACCTTAATGAATACTGAGTAATTTAATTTTTAAATATACTATACCTTGCTAAGATATATAGGGTAATTTTGTTCAGAGACAAGTGCCCGCGTATCTGTATATGTATCAGGATTCGATAGCGGACATTTATGATTTTTTTTCTTCTGTCTTATGATTTCTTATTGCATTTGAATGATTGAAGTCACTAAAGTTTTATGCTTTGACCTGATGTTTATTTTTGGGGTAAAGATTGCATTCGTGAAATTGAAAACTCTAAACTGATTGGCTTGAAAGTTATTGATTTAAAAGACTTTATCACTACTTTTGAGATAAAAAAAAAACATAGTGCATTGAGCACAACATTCTAGATAGTCAAGTTAAATGATGTGTATGTGTATTGAAGGCATACTTGTCATGAAAATCATATAAATTGTGCATGGTGCACGAATCGAGTATCTGTTCTCAAAATATCAATGATGTCATTGTTAAAGTAATATTTAAAAAAAGCGATATATTTCTTTTTCCATATTGTAGTTGAATCGTAGTATTACCTTCCAATTCTTTACGCACTTGTCTAATTGTTGGTTCCCACTACAAGATGAATGTGATCTTTACCCTTCAGTGCTCACGAGCACTTTGATTTATTAGTGTTAAGAAATCAGTTGGATCAATAGCCAGCACCAATCCTTCATCTATTTGTAGAACAAAATTAATCTTTGGTGTTTCCTCCGTTCCTGGAGAGATGCTAGTTCTAGCTTGGAAATCATATATGTGACACATCCTGTTTATCTGGGTTTGTAGTCGTGCAGGATGAAGTGTGTCCCTCTTTTCTGTATGTTTCCGATCTTCTTCATTTCCTTGATGGTAAATGAATCCAAAATAACAGCATTATATTCAAATACAGATCGTATCATGGCTAGGTAGGCTACTTTGTCTTTTGATCTCTTTGGAGCATCGTCGGGAGTTTCTGCTCGGCAATCCAAGCGTACATCTTGCTTTACTAGTAATTTTTCTTATATGTTTGGTCCAATTTAGATCATCTGATATATTAACACCTAGGTACGGGTTTATTTGAACTTGTTTCTTATACGTGGTTATCTAGCTGATAGAAGACAGAGAAGCTATAAAATGCCTGTTACATTGGTATAAGACTGAGTGTAAATAAAATATCTCCAGATTTGACACTTGTTGAAAATTCTAATTATTCTTTAAGGTATTCAAATATACTGCATGTGTCTCAAGTTAAAACCTCGCGGCACGGTTAAAAATCTTTAGAGCTAATTTCCAAATGCTTGTAGGTTAAGACTTTGGTTGACTTGCTTGCTTTGATTGTATAAACTTTTCCTCAAGCATTGTAATAAAGATTGACATCTGCAAACAATATAGATTGGGCGGCGTTTAACCTTACTAACATTGTCTTGTAATGTTTACATGTACAATTGGGTGCTCCTAACCTCCAGGATAATATCCAATCAAGTTTAAGTATAATGTATACAGGTTTAACTCCGCCTATTTTATATTGTTTGCAGATGTCAATCTTAATTACAATGCTTGATCAAACGTTGATACAAAGCAAGCAAGCCAACCAAAGTCTTAATCTACGAGCATTAGGAAATTAGCTCTAAAGATTTCAACAGCTACGCAGGATAGTTGTCCAAATAATTTTAAGAGGGAAAATAGTTTTTCACATCTAATAGACCATTGCCATCATAGAATGTTTTAGAATGCCAGAGTCCGCGTGAAGGTGATTTCCAATTATGCATTGCCATGACTGCTTTTAGTATCTTGCCTTTAATATGCCCAAAAGGATTGACTATGTATGTACTAACTTACGATATAAATTTATTTTTCTTGTTATTTTTATTTTGTCTGTTACATATATGTATTTTTCCTATCTAAAATTGTTTTTTAATGTTTGTATTGAAACGCTATGCTATGATTTATAATGGTAAACTTTAAATTACTTAATACATAGTGCATACTTTTAGTTAATTGCTTGCAAAATTGTCACAAAAAGCAATTACACAAAAACACTATGTATGTGCTATTGTTGGTCTCTTTTAGCGTGCTGCAGTTGCCTTGAGTGTGGGAGATGGTGTGTTCAATCCTCAGTCGTGTCAACCAAAAACTTGAAAATTGGTATTTTCTGCTTCTACGCTAAGCACGCGGAATTTAGTAGTAAAAGCAACGAAATTTGTTCAAATTGTTTTAATATACTATAAGAGGGCATCCCTTTGAACTACCATTTGACTGAACCTCGGTTGATTTTCACATCAAGAAGTCTACATTGTGTGTATTTCATATGAACATGCAAGAAGTCTTAAAATTGCTGGAGAGCACCCTAATTAGAATTTTACAATTTGTGTCAATCCATACTTAGCATGGAGAATAATTCCATAATATATTCATTAATATACGTCAGAAGTTGTCGTTTTTAATATCTTTATCTATTTCGTTTTTGGAGAATTGGATTATGATTGTTCAGTTCAACATAACTGTTTTAACTGTTTTAGAATCGGGACGATTTAGAGCTTGACATATTGTATAGACACCGTCTAATCTTGAAAACTATACCCTATATTTCTGTTGGTTATTGTTGGTGCTGGGTTGCTGTATCATGAGCCCACATCTCTTTTTATTCATCCACGTATTAAGTCAACCACAATGAACTGAAATGTAAAGTCCCCATCACTTTGTACACTCTATCGACATTTTGTTATTTGTTGCTTGCACAGGAATGGACCAACACTATAAGTTAGACAGCTGCACATTATAATATTAACTCAGTGGAGAAGCAATTTCAAATACCATACTCTTGCATATTTTGTTGGTTGTTGCGACCAGATAATAATATCGAGATGCAAGAACAAATTCTTGTAGGTCCATAGTGGATAGACTGTTCGAAATGGTCATTTTTAGATGGTGACGTTCCCTTGTCACCATCTTATGGTGTTTATATATCTCAACTTGTACGATTCGCTCGTGTATGTAACAACGTATTAGATTTTAGCGAGAGAAATTTATGTATTACTGAAAAATTATTACACCAGGGTTTTCGATATCATAAACTAGTCAAAACATTTACTAAATTTTATCATCGGTATAAGGACATCATTCGTATTATAACTCAACATGCAGACATCTTATACGTTCGGGTATTTCACATACAATCTTTTATGGTAATATACTTTACAAAGCACAAAAATGTCAGTATTCACCTCAAAAGCTAACAAAACCTTTAAACAGACTTATTAAGAAGGGATATAGTTACGATACTGTTGTCAGGTCATTAAAGATTGCATATTTTGGCTTTAATATTGATTCCCTTATAGGGTCTTTGCTTCGGAATTAAACATATTTATTCTAAAACCAGTTGTTGGCATGACACGGGTTATGTTCTTCTCATATATTTTATGATGGTATAATACTAAACCGCTAACAGGAGGGATTGTGCCTGATATTCATATGATGAAGACATAATCTTTCAATCAGTTTAATTGAGGTCTGGAGCTGGCATGTCAGTAACTGCTAGTAGTCTGTTGTTACTTATGTATTATTGTCATTTTGTTTATTTTCTTTTGTTTCCTATTCTGACATCGGACTCGGACTTCTCTTAAACCGAGTTTTACTGTGCGTACTGTTGTACGTTTTTTTTTTACATTGGCTAGATGTATAGGGGGAGGGTTGAGATCTCAAAAAACATGTTTAACCCCGCCGCATTTTTGCGCCTGTCCCAAGTCGTCAGGAGCCTCTGGCCTTTGTTAGTCTTGTATCATTTTTAATTTTAGTTTCTTGTGTATAATTTGGAGTTTAGTATGACGTCCATTATCACTGAACTAGTATACATATTTGTTTAGGGGCCAGCTGAAGGACGCCTCCGGGTGCGGGAGTTTCTCGCTGCATTGAAGACCCATTGGTGGCCTTCGGCTGTTGTCTGCTCTATGGTCGGGTTGTTGTCTCCTTGACACATTCCCCATTTCCATTCTCAATTTAATGTCATTCATGAACATCAAATTAGTAATAATCCCACAAACCACCTTTTCATGAAAATGGTTAATATTTGTTTGAACCCGGCAATCAAATCATTATCACATATTGGGAAAAAATGCTTTTTTTTACAAAACGACTTATTAAGACATTTTAACGAAATAAAAAACTAAAAATACAGTACAACAGACCACATCAACTACTAATGACACCCGACTTCTATGACGAAAAAAAAGATCGACACACAAACAAATAACAACGAACAAACACATGGTTCAGAAAACCTGACTTGGTACAGACACAATAATCATGTGGTAGGATTAATCCAGTTTCCGTGCGAACACTCCGACTTTTAGCTATTTAGGCAGTCAGCTACCACCAGGACAACCAACGGCCTGAACAAGGACATAAAAAAACGGTACATGATTTGTGGTCGCTACTATAGGAAGCTAGATAAGGTTTCTAAATCTTTTGGATGGATACTGCAGGTCAAGAACGAAAACTACAAACAACACTCCTCCGAACAGGTATCATCAAATTTAATTGAAATTGAGAGGCAAGTAAGCATTTAAAATCGTCGGTCGGTCGAAATAGAGAACCATTTTACTGAATTAGTGAGTATAATTTAAGAAATTTCCGCGATTTAAAGTATATATTGTTTCAGTGTTTAAAAGTTTTATTAACGACATCACAATAAAGGAGTAAAGGTAAATACTATAAATATTTTTAATTTTTCAAGTTCACAAGAAGTTTTATCTGTACAAATCATTTTGACTCTACGGTTCCAACTTCCTAAGACAAAGTTAACCTTAGTTGGATTTGGATATTCCTTTTAATCCGTTTGGTCAGTTTGTTCTCGAGTATTTGTGTGGGTTTTTTTGGGGTCTATTTTTTAAATTTTGTTTATACCATTTTTCTCTATTCTGTATTATTTAGGTAATTTTTCTCTATTCTGTATTATTTAGGTAATTTTTCTCTATTCTGTATTATTTAGGTAATTTTTCTCTATTCTGTATTATTTAGGTAATTTTTCTCTATTCTTTATTTTCTTTAGGCCATTTTCTCTTATTCTCTATTCTATATATCTTAGCACCTATCTTAGCACCCCCACTATTCTCTATTAATTTTTTTTTTGCCGATTGTTCTCTAATTCTTTTTTTTTTTGCCTTTTATTCTCTATTCTGTAAACCCCTTCAGACCCTCGTTTACCAATCCTAGCTTTGGATTCCTGGTGAACGGAAATTCAGAAAAAAAAGCGCTTCGGAGACACCAAATTTATTAAGTGGTATTTTTCATTTACAGATGCTGATAACAAATGTAGTTGAAAGTAATAAAAAATCTGTTGTATCCAAAAAACCTGTAGAATTTCAAAAAAATAAAAAGATGTGGTATAATTGCCAATGAGACAACTTTCCACCACAGACAATATGACATAGAAGTTAACTACTATGGGTCACCGTACGGCCTTCAACAATGAGCAAAACCCATAACGCATAGTCAAGTCATTTTTGTGTTAATGCAATGTTACGTTCATTAAAGTCTTTACAACAAACACATTCTAGTAACACCGTACAAGTTGTGAAACGTACACGACCAAGGAAAGTTTATTTCAACAAAGAATGGGTATATAATTAGGAATTCGAAGATGCTCATAGATGACATCTAACTAAAACGTACGAACAAACAAAAATGCTATATGTCAACCTATCAAACCCAACCAGTCTGTGTTGACGGAATAAGCATATATGTACATTCATTCACGATATAAAAGGGGGAGAGTGTGTTCACAAGGAAGTCTTGCTGGAAGCTTCTTAAAATATGAACAAACATATGCTTCTCTAAGGGTGTGAGTTAAGAATATATAGTTTTGTTAATTGCAGAGATCAATATCATTTTTCTTTCTATGCATTTGTAATGCAAATTTCAAACCTTGAAGGATAATCATGTGTTCATACGTGTAATTCCCTTGGGGTCTTCCACTAAACAGTTCAATTCAAAAAGTATTTAATATCAATTGACGTTTCTATTACACTATAAAGTGCGTTTTAACATGTTATATAAGTTCTAACAGTTTATACGAGAAAATTCATAAAATCCCAACTGTTTCATCATCTGTGCATAAAAAATCGATGAAAAAGCTGAAAAAGCTTGTTCAATTTGACAAAAACTCATAAACAGTATTAAGAAACTTTATAAGTACATCTTTAAGCAGCAAGCTGACGACTGATTTTTTGCCAATATCCTCAATATCTTATTCAAGACACTCTTTTGTGGAGTAGAATAATCGATTTGCTAGCTTATACAAAGCAATATTAGCTGATTCTAAGTAAGACTATAAGCCATCCATCAATATCATTTTATTCACAAGCAGACGACTAGGTTTCCGCGTGTTGCCTTGGGGCCAATCAACCGACTGTGCGCAGTACAACAGCATGATTTGATATAATGCCAAGCTAATACTTGTACACTCTCAGTCTACTTAGCTAGTGAGAACGATATAGGTGAATAAAGTGAGAACAGAGCAAACACTATTAACGAAAAAGTCGGTCAGCAGAGTTCACTACTAGATCCATCAACGGTAAGATACTTTTTATAACATATTTTGTTAACTTTACACACTTTTTGTTGTTTTCAGATACTTTAAAAAGATTTTTTTTAAATAAGTAAACAATGAAGTTCTGATGTAGTTCAGATAGGTAAAGTTGTAAAGTACATTAAAGTCTGCTCACTAATTCATGTGTTGTACAAAGTATTTATTAAGGTCGATGTATTACAATATTTTTATATAGATCAATGTGCTTCGAGGACATTATGTATATTCAAGCTATTTGTTATTCATTTCTGTAGAATTTTGAGCTACTTTGTCTTTATTATTGACTAAACATTATATGGGATAAGACATATATATTCAGAATGATACTTTAGATAAAAAGTTTACAGCGTGCACTGATAAAGTAATATGATCTGGCGCGTTAAAGCATATGGTACGTCTGCTGTAAAGTTGATTATAAGCAGACATATCTCTATACGTCACGACCTCGCCTTTGAATTTGTGAGTGTGTAAGCTGCTTAAGTTTTATTTTTGGCAAAGAGGCCGTTTTATATTGATTCGACAAAGGTCATTAATAACTTTAATACGAAGTTGTCAACAAGTAATGCGTTTACAAATACAAGTAAATGCAATTGTTATGTTATAATGTTTCTAGAGGCCTTAAGTGTACGTCTTGAAAAATTATATTAATTGCAGCATAATATGCGAATTCAATATGCAAATATAAGCGACAAGAAGTCAAACATTTACAAAAGCAAAACTTTATTGCAGAAATATGTCATCTTGACTTTTATGTTGTCGAATAGAAATGGATTATTTACGGGCCATTACTCATTGTTCATTAACTTAAGAAGCCGATCTGTTTTCTTTCGTGTATAAACTACATTGATTTATAAATATGTTCATCTATATGTGTATTGTTATTGTGACAAAGGTTATTAAAGATATCAAACACTTAAGAACATTCACTAGGACCAGCGATTAATATCACAAAAAAATCGTAAGAGAAGAACTACTCATAAGTCATGAACTTTTCATGCAGGGTAACATCTTCAAAGATTTGAAATTAAAGATTATTGTGAAAATAGCCCCAGTGCTTTGATTTGAGATTTGCTTTTATATATATTTTGTTGACGATAAATTTTCCTCTATTATTTGTATACGGCAGCTTCAACTGTGTTATTCATTCGAGTTACCTGTCCTTGCGAGGTACTTTAATTTGCCTGTCGATTTTCTTAGACAACCAGTTCTAAAAAATTAAACTTGTTTTTGCAAACTGGAAATTTCCCGAAGCGAGATCGATATACAACCAATACCGTCCATAAATTGAATTAGATACCGTAGCCCTCAAGTAATGAGTATGTAAAAAAAGAACATTTGACCACGGGGTGTTTATAAATTATCATTTTTATGACATAACAAAATAACTTCCGACATTATGATTTATTTCATTTATTTTACGACAAGTTGTCATTTAAGACTGTTCCTGATATTTCAATCAAATTATATACACCTATATAACTAGTGATTACCAAATAGGCTTTAAGCTATGTCAAGATCATTACTCTCATTTTGAATATTTTCTAGTTGCCTTAATATTAAGATTTATAACAACAACTTAGCATTTAATTTTCTCATAAACCAGTTTCACAAAGGTCTGGACATATAACCAAGATGAAGTTAATTGCATTGACGCACAAAGCGTAAGCCCCCTTTTATTTGGAAAGTATATCTTTTTTTTTTTGGGCATAAAATCGTCCAATTATTTTTACCCGATCCACTCGGCGGATTATTAACGTTTTCGTCAACTACAATCCTGGATCAGTTCCTGGTTCATATAGATTTTGTTACTACTTGTTGTCAAATGAAAAAAAGCACTGATCCATCCTATAAACAAAAACCAAAAGGTTCGTAATCTGAATTGAAATAAGATTACCAAGGCATGCTTTTATGAGTGTTAACGTGCTTAAATGTGCTGCAGATTTAAAAGAAAAAGGAACTAACGTGATGAAATCGTTTCAAAAACATACGTAGAACTGTTAACTGACGTGAAAATTAAGTACTAAAAAAAAATATTTCGACGTTAAATCTAGATTTTTTTTGCGAAGAGAGGACTGAGTATGCAATACTAACTTTAAGTCTGTTCATAGGCATTCTATTTTTTAATTAAAATTTCAGATTTTAAATTTACTTTTAAATAAATTGTTAAACTGGATTTTTTTTCCTCATTATGCTCGAACGTATGATTTATGTTTTATTTAGTTTTGACATCATGTCAGATGATTTTGTTTCATATGTTTCAATTGAATTATGTCTATCTATAAATTAATAAGACTTTAGTGTCTCTTGTAATGTTATATATCTAATTCGTTTGTCAGCCGTCAGTAAAAAAAAACTAAGAATTTTATTTTTTTTAAATTGTTAAGTTTGTTGTTACAAAATAATTTGAAAGTAAAAAGGAAAAAAAAAGAAGATTTTATTACAATGTAATATTTTAAAACTAAGAATTGTTCATGTGTTTTTGAAATTTAATTTTGCGAAACACAACATAAAGCTACAGCTCTCTTGGAAAAAAATTGAATTCAGAAGGTTTGGGGCTTTTTTTTCGAACTCATTTATTCATATCATCATATTGCATGTACCCTCTTAAACGTTTAACTTAAACTTACATTTGAAACAGTAATAGGGTTAGATATACGATGTGCTAGCTAAAAATAGATTAGGAGACAATTCAGAAAACGAACAGACGGACAAACACAAAACTATGATACCATGTTTCCATTTAGTATCATTATCTATACTTTTCCACATTCTAACGTTTTGAACAGCTCAATCATTTTCCACGTTTTTGTTTTCTTTAGCAAGGGCTCAAATTTTAAAAACGTGACTTATTTGACAATTAAGACATATAAGTGTTTCTTTTACGAAACCATAACGTAGTGGCAAGTAGCCCCACTTGAAGAGCTTGTCTATATTAAGACTTACTGAATAAGTACCTTGAAAACGAAGTACATGTAGACGTGTGCACATGTTAAACTTTGTGTCTTTAAAACTATCCATTATCATAAATACTTAAAATGTAGTGTTAATGAATTTGTTTATTTGTTAACATAACTTTGATAGTGGTCTGCTGAACAATGGATATAGATATAAATGTTTTGAAATAAGTAAAAAGTACGACATGTTTTTCTGGAGTCATCAGGTACATTCACTTGAGACTAATGTTTTGAAACGTAATATGATTTGAAAAAAGATGTCGACAAGGAATTTTAGTTCGAATCTTAAGAAGAAGAAGAATAAATTAGCAACCAAAAGCGGGCTTATATATAGAAATCTGTACTTTGGGTTTGTTCCATGTTGAAGCCAACAGGGCGGTAACAGAGCCGTAATTCGGCTGAAAAAGCTTCCAAATTCGATTTAAAATTTGAAAAAAATACATGCCGACTAGTCACTTTAGTACTATATATAAAGTGTGTATACACAGAAACTATGAAATTGTGCAGAATAAGGAGAAAGTCAGGTTGAAAAAAGATACTTAATTCTAAAAAAAAATGGACTTGTGATAACAAAACCAAAATGGTCACATATATCTGGACACAAAACTACTAAAAACAAAACCAAAATGTAGGGCCATGGTCACATATATCTGGACACAAAACTACTAAAAACAAAACCAAAATGTAGGGCCATGGTCACATATATATGGACACAAAACTACTAAAGCTATGTAGCAAACAATGTTGACGAGACAAGGACAAAAACATCAACCTCCTAAAAATAGCGAGGTTAGATATCGATAAATTTTTAACACTTTTGGACTGAATCGTAAGACCTAAGTAAAATAGGATCCCTATTATAGTACTTGTACCTACCCATTGTGTGTTTTGTTAATTTGTTGTCGTCCTGAACATGCATGCAATATTTGCCACTGGACGTAAAGCAAACAATATCAATCAATCAAACGATAATCGACCAATAATTGTCGTGAATAACATCGAATTACCGAACGGACAAGGATATACCATTACCATTCTCGAAGATGATGACTGTAAAAATTTGGTGTTCCCGTGGCAAATAGTACATGGAAAACGGAACAGCTACAAAGTTATGTAATATGAACATCATTCTACTCTGTTCTTAACCCACTCAATGAGCCAGACTAATAACATGTGCTATTTCACAAGGTAACAGTCAAACCGGGTGTCGAACCCACGATCTCCCAAACTCCGCCGCATCATCAAGGAAAATAATTAAAAAAAAACCGACTGTCTTAATACAGACGGAATGATCGATTCGATTAAAAAAATAATTTTATGTCAGTTGTTGGAATTTTGTTGAATATAAATTATTAATTGTCTCGCCATCGACAAACGTCAAGAAGCGAGGCAAAGGTGTTTCAGTTTTTGTGGCGTTATTGGGTCAATGTTTTTTTAATATCTGTTTCAGGATAATATTAATATTTGGTATACATATACGTTGGCATTCATGCAGCTCAAGTGTGTGCAATGAAACTCTCTTACCTCAGTCATTATCATAGTTCTTTTTTTCAAATGACTAAAATCTTTATATTGTTCCAACGTTCGACTTTATAATTAGTTTTGACACAAAGTACATCACATGTATTTTATTTATAGCAAGTTTAGATTTTGTGCTCCTTCTCCAAGGACGTGTATAACGAAATTCGAAGTGCATTACTATCAAAACAGCTAAGAGGGTCTTGATGGGCGGTCCTTCATTTCTTTAATTTTTGTCTCGCCTTGACGGAGTCAAAAAGCGAGACATAGGTCTGCTGTTTCCGGCGTCGGCGGCGGCGGCGTCAACAATGTATTAGTTTGCGATTAGGTCTAGATTATGGTGAACCACTAGTGGTAGGTCAATGATATTTGGTATGCAGTTGTATTAGCATTGGCACATCTCGTAACCATGGATATTATTTGGCCCCGTCCCCTCAGTCATGGTCTATTGACTTTGAAACTTTGCTTCGTTTACATGTATTAGTTTGTGATTAGGTCAGTTTATGGGAAAATACTAGTGGTAAGTCAATGATATTTAGTATGCAGTTGTATAAGCATTGGCATATCTCATTTCCATGGAGAATATTTAGTTATTAACCCTCAGTCATGGTCTATTGACTTTGAAACTTTTGCTTAGTTTACATGTATTAGTTTGTGATTAGGTCAGTTTAAGATGAACCATTAATGTCAAGTCAATGATATTTGATATGCAAATGTATTGGCATTTGCAAGTTTCATTTCCATGGAGATTAAATAGCCCCACCCCTCATCATGGTTCATTGACTCTGAAACTTTTACATAGTTTACAAGTTAATGTTTGTGTTTAGGTTTGTTTAAAGGGAACGACTTATAATAAGTTAATGGTATTTGGTTTGCAGTTGTATTAGCATTGGCACATCTCATTTCGATGGAGATTGTTTAGCCATGTACCTTCAGTCATGGTTCATCGACTTTGAATATTTGCATAACTTACATGTTAAAGTATTGCTATTTTAATTTCAACATTTGCATTATCAAAATTACAAAAAGGCGAGACATATCTCTGTGATAACAGTTTATCTTTATTTTTTTGTCAATTATCTCTTTTCTTTATTTTTTTGGTCCATCATCTCTTTTCTTTATTTTTTGGTCCATTATCGCTTTTTTATTTATTTTTTGGTCCATTATCTTTTTCCTTTATGTTTGGTTCATTATCTCTATATTTTTGCCCATTATTTTCTATTCTGTAAACTCCGATCCACACCCTCATCGAAGACAGTGAATTCAATATTATAGACCAGCCATTTAATACATATGCGGTTATAGGAAACATCAGTCCCAGCAATCACGGTTGCATTTAATGGAAAAAGGGGATTTTGTGACAACCCCACTTAAGATATTTTTTACAGGTTTTTTTTTATAACATTATGAATACAGATTACTCACTTTTTTTGTTGACGGAAACCTAAATTTTAATAAAAAATAAATCTCGTACATTATCACTAAAGTTGAGAGCACCCTAATTGATGTACTTAGATGGTCCATATTTGTACTTGATTTTAATTAATAACTGTATTCAAAACATGTTACAGGGGGGTCATATGTTGCATTACATGCAGTTACTCTATTGATTAGGTATCGAATTTTCAGTTTGAGCTGGTGTAGTGGGAAAGACTTTAGATTTTCTATAAAATTTTTTAATGTTTTAGCATTGAAACAACTACTAAAATCTTGGGAAAATTTATACCAATATAGAATAAAGATAAGAAGATTTGGTATGATTGCCAATGAGACAACTCTCCATCAGAGACCAATTGACGTAGAAGTTAAACCAACTATAAGTCATTGTACGGCCTTCAACAATGAGCAAAACCGATACCGCATAGTAAGCTATAATATGTCCCGAAATGACAAATGTAAAACAATTCAAACGAGAAAACTAAAGACATTACTGTTATCTTTAACTCATACTTTAATCGGATTCATTTTTTTCTCAATCCCGAAGGTCGACTAACTTTGCAGAGTGTCAATTTTGGTCTCGTCCTAAATATGCTGGAAATATTTGTCACTGAAAATAAACAAGCAAAAATCAATAATTTTTGTCTTGTATGTGACGAATGTCACGACTGCGAGACAAATGTGTGCAATACATCCGATAGGTGGCGACGGCGGTGTTGGCTTTTTATATAAAGCTTCCCATTTTAGCAGGTAGAATGTATAGATTATCGGGTTTTCTACACATTGATATCGTAAAATATCAGCCGCGAGCCACAATGTGAACCTTTTTGGCGACTGAGCGCAGCGAACGAGCTAAAAAGCTTCACATTGTGTCGAGCGGCTGATATTTTACGATAATATCTATACGAAGAAAACCCGATTATCTGTTTATCGTTCTATTACTGCATGATCTTTTTTCCCTCCCTAAGACAGTTTTATACTTGACGAAAGCAAGCTTGATAACGTCTCCTCACACATTGTGACGTTGCTGATAACTTCTCCTCAGACATTGTGACGTCACTGATAATGCCTGCTCTCGTCTCAAAGCTGTGATACGAGAATTACAGAGCGACTGAGCAGGGTGATATAGGCGTAGGGAAGGACGATAAATACTTAATATCTGGTATACAAATGCCTAATAATGTAAAGTTGACCGTTATTCTTAACCTTGTTTGATGGTTCAACCGGACGCTTACAACTGTGTTCTTATCCCAGATTTCTTCCCAGTTATCATGAGTAATAAGGCAACTTTATTTGATAAATAGAATCATTGCAATGTATACACCTACAGGGTCAAAAGTGACAAAACGCCTGTCCACTCAATCCGTTCACCTTACCTTGACCTCATTTTACATTTTTCATTTTAGAAATGGACGAGGACTACCCGGAGACAATTAATGGAGTTTGTATTAAAGTAGAACCCCACAGTCCGGCAGTCATGTCAAAAGATACCAGATTCGACGAAAGTTTCTCCCGCCAAAAGTCCTCTTTCGAAAATGGAACAAGTGAATATTCGTCATCAGGCCACAATGAAAAAGTTGCCATAGATTTAAATGGACGTCAAACACCCTCATACAGCCATTCATCGTCTGAATTTTCGGGATCTGGTTTTGGTTTTGGTCAGTCGACTTGTTATGATAATCTGAGAAAACCTACATCGCCAGCATTCTCAGATGAACTTAAAGGTGGAATGTCTTCATTGGATTCTAATTACAACACCTCCACACCGTCGATAAAGGATTCCATGTCACCGCGCGTTCCACTGTCATATCATATGTCGAAAGGTGCACCGCCATCAATGCTTGGTGACAGTATATATAGCTACGCCTCTTTTAATGAGAACAATTACTCTAAAATTAACATGAGGTTAAAAACTCAAACAAATGGGAACGATTTTGATGAAACAGACTCTAAACTTAATTTGACATATCCAGGAACAGCTAGACCGATTGGCAAAAAAGCACATCTTCCAAAACGTTACAAATGCGCAATGTGCGCCTATAAAACTAGATATAAATCTGATCTGAACCGTCATGTCCGGAAACACGCAGTTGCAGGATATAATTGCGACATATGTAACATGCCATTTAAAACAGTTGGAAATGTAGAATTCCATAAAAGAAGAGAACATGCTGATACATATGTTGCTGCAAAACAGGAGAAAAAACCGAAATTTAACTGTAAATTGTGTACTTTTGGAACCATGCAAAGTTCTGAGCTAACTCGTCATGTTCGAAAACATTACATTGCAAAGTTCACATGCACTTTATGTAATCGTCCTTTCATGTCATCTGGTAGTCTTGTTCATCATGAGAGATCTTATCATAATATGAATAACAAAGATACCCCTCAGACTGGCGAAAACGGCGATCAAGCTGCTGAACAAAATGGCGATCACACGGAACCGATAATAGAAAGTGATGACGAGAACTACCAGACCAGTACAAATAAAGAACAAAGCCAAACAGATAACAGTCAAAATATGCCAATGAATAATGAATATGAAAAATCAAATGGAGACACCAATAGTTTGTCCAAAACTATTGCAGCGGTATCAACAAACGGTAATACTTTCCCAAATGACAACGATTTAGAAAATAAAGAGGATGAGATGGAGGTTAGAACACAGGACAAACCGTTAACAAATGGGTTCCATGATGAATCCAAATGTGATGATGGTATTGCCAAACACAAATGTCAGTTTTGTAACAAATCTTTCGGGCGGAAACTTGTATTGGACTATCACTTGAAAAACATTCACAAAATGAAAATAAGGGAAGACGACAGTGCTTTCTTAGAATATGATGACGACTATGACTTGGCACTGGATATGTCTATCCAGGAACTTGAAAACAGTGAATCTCCTACACAAGATGCAAAAGTTCATAGACATGTTGATCGGGAAGATTACAAGCACATGCGTCATCAGTGTCCATTCTGTGCATATGCAACCAACTATAAAAGTACATATGATCGTCACGTGAAAAAACATGATTTAGAGTGTCATATTTGTCACGTTTGTAGAATGCCGTTTATCACATATGGACACATGCAGCGTCATATCCGTGACAATCATCCAGAATATCACCTTAGTCTGATAAGTCAGTCCAATTCCGAAAAAGGTATTTCATCAGCAAAAGATGAAATGAATAGCAATGGAAAGCCGCCGCTTAAAATGGCCTTTAAGCGAGATATCGATAGACCTTTTCAGTCCGGTGTAGCTAATTATCAGGCCGTATCATTAAATGGTCACGCAGACGTCAATAAAAACTTTTGTCCCGTAGTTCCTTCGAAACGAAAGAAACATCCACCAATCCAACGTCCAATGGAACCTGGAGTATCGATAGAACGGCCTACAACTGGAAGGTTTGCAAAATTAGTTTCGGATTTCGACGATTTCGCTTCCCGTCCGTTTGCATGTGCTTTATGCTTCTTTAGGACACGTAGTGTTGATGAGTTGACAAAACACACGCAAAACCATTTAACAGGATGTAACCCGCAGCCAGTTCCAGACACAGCGCGGTTTAACATGGCGTTTATGCAACAGTTCCAGAACAAACTGGCACCGAAGATAGAGCGCCCTGAACCTATACGACCGACTATACAACACAGTGCAAGTTTTAGAAAACCCAATAACAAATTACAAGATGTAATATCAAAACTTTGGAATGAACCAAAACCAGCTGTCAAAATGGAAGAAGAACCAGAGGAGGAAGAAGACAGTACTCATAACATCTCAGATTCTATCGTTCCAACTTTCTCTGTCCACTATCGAAAGGACAAAACCAACCTCACTCGACCATACTTATGTCTGTTGTGTCGAAAAAGATTTAGATTATTGACAATTTTGAAGCAGCATTTCCGACAAACCCACAGTGAATCACAAATAAACACAAAATCGTATACATGTAGTATCTGCGGCGAGCTGTTTCATAGTCCTGTACTGTTGCAAGAGCATCATGATTTTCAGCACAAAATGCAATCATAGAAAATTACGTATTGATTCCGACTGTCATGTTAGATAATGGTTAATTTACATGCTAAAATACACTTAATTGTTTGTTCATATAACTAGATGGAACATAAAATAGCAATACTACAAACACTTAAACTTGAGTTGGAGAAGTTCAACTTACCGTGTGGTGAACTCCGTTTCCAAGGTTGCTACTTGAACATCAATAGTTCAGCTTCAATACAATGCTGGGTAGATCGTTTCCAAAGCATCAAGAATGATCACTAAAACGTAACCGATTTTGTTGCATCAGTTGGTTAGTTGACACAAGTTATACGGTAACGTATTGGCACATAACATATGCACTCTCAAGTCATGCGAATGTAAAATATTGTTCGTTGAGTCCTCTAGTATTCAGTGTATAAATGAATTGTGATTGTATATATATAAATAATATGTGACAAAGCTTGTTTCTTATGGTGCTTTCGTAACATCTCGCATGTAACGTGCTTAAATTAACAATTAAAATCACTTCATTTTGAATTGATAATGTGGTAAAAATGTAAAGTATACATATAGTTGATAAACTCTCTGTACAAATGTTGAATAATTTTGTGTTGAAATTTCTGTAAATAAGTTGAATATTTTTTTGTTATTCCGTCGGATGCATTTGTTGACAAACATAGCCAGTATTACATGTCTACAAAATATATATTCCAGTGTATATATGTTCGTTTAAAATTAAAACTTGTTAATAATTATCTTTTATTTGAAATCAATGATTCGTGTTCATCTAATTCATCGAAGACCAAATGAAACCATCTCGTAGTACTAGTATATAACGTAAAAGTGTGGTTATTTATCCTGAGCCCCTCTATATATGAATTGCATGAGATGTGGCTTAACCACCAGTGAGACAGCAATCCAACATAGACAGCTAAGTTTTTCCAAATACAGCTAAACGACGATTCCCATTAGTAGAGCAAGAACCACGTCATACCTTCTTGAACACTGAGATTAACCCAAGCTTTTACCGTAGGTTGTTCTTTGTGATCTATTATTTTTCAGTGCCTGTTTTGTTACGTTGATCATTGTCATGTCTGACATGTCTATCCCTTGCCTTGAAAAAACTCCATACTTTCATCGCAAGTTTTCGCATTCTGTCATCTTATAGGGTTAGATAGTTTACATGTACCAATTGACATCTATATAGTGAAGTCTTTATCGACGACGAACTACCGGATGATAACTTGGGTAACACGACGGTCGGATGTCCCGAGTGGACCAGGAATCGATAACCCTTTGGGGTATTTGAGTTTACATCCGTTTTGAGTTGGGTTTGTGTTGCTCATTCTTTAGGTTTCTTCATTCTTTAGGTTTCTGTGTAATGTTATACTCTCATTCTTTAGGTTCTGTGTAATGTTATACGCTCATCTCTTTTTGTCACTGTGTTGTCTGTTCTTCGTGGACTAATTACACTGATTGTTCTTTTTGATATTCGTGATTGGTGATCAACAAACAAACAAACAAAAACCACATTAACATTAAGGTTTTATCACTAGTACGATGCTAAGATACCGTAATAATTGTCAACAATACTCATTGTATATAATGACGTATACGTGTCCGTCTGACAAGATTCATCGGACCTTGACCTGATTTTTATAGTTCATTGGTCTATCTTAAGTTTTCGTGATAAGGTTCGTCTATCAGACACTATGTGAAATAGGTCAAACGTATTCCGTGTATAAAATGTCGTAAGGTGTAGATTTCCGCCCGACAGAGTTCATCTGACCTTGACCTCAAATTTTTGTTTTCCTTGGTCCGTTTATCGGATAATTTAAGCACTAAAGGTCAACTAAATTTGGTAATGAAGTGATTTTAAGATGTTCATGCATGTATGGCAGGGTTCAACTGACCCTGACCTCATTTTCATGGTTTATAAGTCAGTGTTGTTTGCAGGGTCAAGTCCATATCCAAGATACAAGATTGGAAACGGGGAATGTGTCAAAGAGACAACAACCCGACCTCAGAGCAGAAAACAGCCCGATGCCACCAATGAGACTTCATGAACCCGGAGACCGGCTTCAGTTGGTCCTTTGACAATAATGTATACTAGTTCAGCGAAATGAACGCCACACTAAATTCCGAAACATATAAATGAATCAAAATCAAAACAAGAGGCTCGAAGCTCCCAAGAGCCTAGGTCACTCACCTGGAATTATTTGTGAAGATCATGCCTCCATGGTTATTTTCTGTTTAATATATATTAATGTGTGTTTAAACATCTATCATAGTTTCTGCAGAAAACTAAAAAAAAGGTAAACATATTTTTTCAATGGCAATAACTCCTATAAAGATTCGATTGACATTTTCGGTCATGTTTGACTATAGACTCAGTTGATATTTTCGGTCATGTTTGACTAAAGACTCAGTAGATATTTTCGGTCATGTTTGACTAATTTGTTGGTTTTACTTTGTTGAACATTTTTGTTGTTTGAAGTTTCTCTCTATCTATCACAAAAACTACAAAAACTGGTAATAAACTGTTATCACAGAGATATGTCTCGCCTTTTTGTAATATTGATAATGCAAATGTTGAACTTAAAATAGCAATACTTTAACATGTAAGTTATGCAAATATTCAAAGTCGATGAACCATGACTGAAGGTACATGGCTAAACAATCTCCATGGAATGAGATATGCCAATGCTAATACAACTGCATACCAAATACCATTGACTCATTATAAGTCGTTCCCTTTAAACGAACATAAACACAAAAATTAACTTGTAAACTATGTAAAAGTTTCAAAGTCAATGAACCATGATGAGGGGTGGGGCTATATAATCTCCATGGAACGATACTTGCAAATGCCAATAAATTTGCTTACCAAATATCATTGACTTAACATTAGCAGTTCATCTTAAACTGATCTAATCACAAACTAATACATGTAAACTAAGCAAATGTTTCAAAGTAAATAGACCATGGCTGAGGGGGCGGGTCAAATATTCTCCATGGAAATGAGATGTGCTAATGCTTATACAACTGAACACCAATTAACATTGGCCTACCACAAATGGTTTCCCTTGAACTGACCTAATCACAAACTAATACATGTTAATTTAGCAAAATTTTCAGTCTATAGACCATGACTAAGGAGGTGGAGCCAAATAATCTCCATGGAAATGAGATATGCCAATGCTTATACAACTGCATACCAAATATCATTGACCTACCACTAGTGGTTCCCAATAAATTGACCTAATCACAAACTAATACATGTAAACTATGAAAAGTTTCAAAGTCAATAGACCCTGACTTAGGGGGCAGGGCCAAATAATCTCCATGGTAATGAGATTTGCCAATGCTAATACAACTGCATACCAAATATCATTGACCTACCACTAGTGGTTCACCATGAACTAGACCTAATCATAAACTAATACATTGTTGACGCCGCCGCCGCCGCCGACACCGGAAACAGCATACCTAAGTCTTGCTTTTTGACTCCGTCAAGGCGAGACAAAAATCATCTTTCAAGGGCAATAACTCCTATAAGGGATCAACTGACAATTTTGGTCACGTTTGACTTATCTGTGGGTCTTTCTTTGCTGATTTTTTTCTGTTTGTAGTTTCTCTTTATTTATCATAGTTTCTGCAAAAAACTAACAAAGGAGTAGGGGCATTAAGGCATGGTTTTGGCCCAAGAAAATAAAATGTTTGATAACTATTTCAAATTGGCACATAATGTTTGGAAATACATAGGGTCAAGAAATATAAGTGAAAAACAGAAAGATTTTTATCTGATGAAGTCACAATTACGTCATAATATGTACCGTTTTCACAAGAACGATGAAAAATACAGAATTTATGCAGTTTTCCATCGTTATTTCCATTGTGGAAACATCGTGCGCAGCCAAGAAACAACAAAATAATTTAAGAGAAGCTTTATTATAACTATTGACATAATCTCGCCAAATATAAAGTTGTTTCTTGGGTGCGCACATACGTTTCCAATCTAAAATATACTTAAAATTTGATGAAAAACAAGTAAAATCAAGAAATTTTACAAAATATGCAAATTTAGTCATGGTTTGTTGCCATGGTGCATTGTAACTCGTTCAATGTGAAATTTGTTTTTATTTTCTGAGTATCTTGTACTTTAGTCTAGTTTTGAGTAATTTAAGAATATGTATGATAACTTTTAAATTTGCAGTAATATTTGGGCCAAATAAGGGCCTTATTGCCACACTCCTTTGGTAAAAATTATTTTTCAAGGCCAATAACTCATATAAGGGATTAATTGACAATTTCGGTCATGTTGACTTATTTGTAGGTCTTACTTTGCTGAACACTTTTGCTGTTTGAAGTTACTGTCTATCTATCATAGTTTCTGAAAAAAACATTAAAGTTTAATAAAAATTGTCTTTCAAGGGCAATAACTCCTATATTGGATCTATAATAGTTTTCTAGATAACAACCAAAAACTGAGAAATTTTTTAGGGGCATTAACTCCAAATTGGGTTGTAGATTCGTCTGAAAATTTTCTCACTTATAGATCTTGACCTTGTTCATTTTTATCCCTCTCAGTTTTGCTCTAACTGCTTGAGTTTTTGAGATACAATGTATAAGCCAATAAAATGCTCCGCAGGGCGCAGCTTGATACGACCGCAGAGGTCGAACCCTGAACAGTTGGGGCAAGTATGGACACAACATTCAAGCTTGATACAGCTCTGAATTTGGATTGTGATTAAATATTTGACACAGCATAGGTTTCTGACACAGAATGAATGTGGTCTAAGAACTTAAAAATTTTAAATTGGACATTCACCTATTATGGTCCAATATCCAAAATCTAAATACATGGTTAGATTCAGCATATCAAAGAACCCCAAGAATTCAATTTTTGATGAAATCAAACAAAGTTTAATTTTGGACCCTTTTGACCTCAATGTGGACAAAGTAGATAACGGGGCCCAAAAATCAAAAATCTAAATACATGGTTAGATTCAGCATATCAAAGAACCCCATATATTCAATTTTTGTTGAAATCAAACAAAGCTTAATTTTGGACCCCGATTTGGACCAACTTGAAAACTGGGCCCATAATCAAAAATCTAAATACATGTTTAGATTCAGCATATCAAAGAACCCTAAAAATTCAATTTTTGTTAAAATCAAACTAAGTTTAATTTTGGACCCTTTGGACCTTAATGTAGACCAATTTGAAAACGGAACCAAAAATTAAGAATCTAAATACACGGTTAGATTCAGCATATCAAAGAACCCCAATAATTCAATTTTTGATGAAATCAAACAAAGTTAAATTTTGGACCCTTTGGACCTCAATGTGGACCAATATAAAAACGGGGCCCAAAATCCAAAAACTTAATACACGGTTAGATTCAGCATATTAAAGAACCCCAAGAATTCAAGAATAAAACCCCATTGAAATTGATCAAGAAATAAGCAATTTATACGAAGTATCTTCTTTTGCACAATACTGTGCAATTGAATATTTCTTGCTATTGTGCAATACTGTACAATTGACAATTTCTTGCTATTGCACAATATTGTGCTATTGGATATTTCTTGCTATTGCGCAATACTGTGCAATTGAAGATTTCTTGCTATTGCGCAATACTGTGCAATTGAAGATTTCTTGCTATTGTGCAATACTGTGCAATTGAAAATTTCTTGCTATTGCACAATACTTATTATATAATAATTTACACATCCTGTTTGGTGTGTATCTCCTACCATATCATTATTATTTGCTTTTAAATATTAATCAGAAATAACCAACTTAAAATGGAAAATTTTAAAAGAAAAAAAAAAGGAAAAAAAGAAAAAAAAAGAAAAAAAAAAATCCCCCCCCCCCAAATTTTTTTAACCCCCTTATGATTCATCACCCCCAAACTCAATCCCAGCCTTCCCTTTGTGGTATGGTACCTTGCAGTACAATTTCAGAGAGATCCATACACTTGAACACAAGTTATTGTCTGGAAACTAGAAAAATGCTTATTTTTGGCCCCTTTTTGGCCCCCAATTCCTAAACGTTTCGGGCAATTACCCCCAAACTCAATTCCAGCTTTCCCTTTGTGATATGGAACCTTGTAGTACAATTTCAGAAATATCCAAACACTTACACACAAGTTATTGTCATGAAACTAGAAAAATGCTTGTTTTTTGTCCCTTTTTTGTCCCCTAATTACTAAAATTTTGAGGCAATTACCCCTTAAATCAATTACAGCCTTCCCTTTGTGATATGGAACCTTGTGGTACAATGTCGGAGAGATCCATACACTTACACACAAGTTATTGTCTGGAAGTTACAAAAATGCTTATTTTTGGCCCCTAATTCCTTAACTGTTGGTACCATAACCCCCAAAATCAATCCCAACCTTCCTTTCGTGGTATTGAACCTTATGGTAAAATTTCATGGAGATCCATTCACTTAAACTAAAGTTAGAGTGCGAAAACCAATGTGTCTTCGGACGACGCCGGACGACGCCAGACAACGACGACGACGACGACGACGACAACGACGCCAACGTCATACCAATATATGACCAAAAAATTTTTAATTTTTGCGGTCGTATAAAAACTGCATTTTACCCCTATGTTCTATTTTTGTCAATGGTGGCCATGTTTGTTGACTGACGGGAATAAAAAACAATTTTTATTTTACTAGATACCATGTATCATTTACCCTAAATTTGGTTGAAATTGGTTCAGTAGTTTCAGAGGAAAAGATCTTTGAACAAGTTTCGAAGACGGACGACGACGACGACAGTCCCCATGTGATGGCAATAGCTCACTTGGCCCTTGGGGCCAGGTGAGCTATAAACACACAAGACTAACAAAGGCTACAGGTTCCTGACTTAGGATAGGCACAAAAATGTGGCAGGGTTAAACAGGTTTTGTAAGATCTCAACCCTACTCCTATACCTCTAGTATAATATGTATTAGCACTAGGTCAAACTATATTTGGTGTATGGAATGATTGTAGGGTGCACAAGGTTGTCTGACCTTGACCTCATTTTTGTGGTTCATTGGCCAATGTTAAATTTTCAGAATTAGGTTTGTTTCTCATATACTATATAAGCAATAGGCTAACTATACTATTGCATGGTATAATTGTAAGTTTGGTTTTTTTTTTGTTTCTTTAAAATATTTTATAAATATCTTAGGGAAACGAAAGCTTGAGAGCAAATGCAATGCAATTTCTGTTATAATCAATATTTCCAAGAAGCATAACTCTTTTAAAACTAATTGGTTGGCACTGAATTTCAAACTCGTCCAAGACATTGCTGATATAAACCTATGATATAAGTTTCATAAAAATCTGGCAAGAATTGTACATTAGAGAGCCTTTACAATGCAATTTTCCATATAATCTATATTTCCAAGAAGCATAACTCTTTTAAAAATAATTGATAGGCACTGATTTTCAAACTTGTTCAAGACATTGCCGATATAAACCTATGATATAAGTTTCATAAAAATCTGGCAAGAATTGTACACACGAGAGCGCTAACGATGCAATTTTTCATATAATGTTTCCAAGGGCCATAACTCTTTTAGAAATAATTGATCGGCACTGATTTTCAAACTCATCCAAGTCATTGTTAATATGAACCTATGATACAAGTTTTATAAAAATTTGGCAAGAATTGTACAAATGAGAGCACTAAGGATGAAATTTTCTATATAATTAATGTTTCGATGGGGCATAATTTGGCCCCTGAAATTGCAAAAATAATTAAAATTGTTCAAGCCTTTCAAATTTATTTTAGCTTTATTGATAAATGAACAGTCTGAATTAATCTACACTTTAGTGCAGAAAGGTCACTTTTGATTTCACAATGACGTCACAAAAGTATTGATATTGACATATTTAACCTAGATTGTCCATTTTACAACATTACACTTTAGTGCAGAAAGGTCACTTTTGATTTCGCATTGACATCACAAAAGTATTGAAATTGACATATTTAACCTAGATTGTCCATTTTACACAATAGATTAGATGAGCAACAGATTTACCTAAAAAGATATTTTACATACATTTTCATCAATGTTAAATAAACCTTGTAGGAAAATATATTTTTGGGTAAATAAAGGCAACAGTAGTATAACGGTGTTCAAAAGTCATAAATCGATTGAGAGAAAACAAATCTGGGTTACAAACTAAAACTGAGGGAAACACATCAACTATAAGAGGAAAACAAAGGAACAACAGGAACACTGAATTGCAACAAAACCAAATGCCAACATACATAGAAACAAACTATTTGATAACAACTGCCATATTCCTGACTTGGTACAGGACATTTTAAGAAAAAATAGTGGATTGAACCTGGTTTTATGGCTAGCCAAACCTCCCGCTTATATGACAATGTTAAAACTATCGCAAAAATGACAACACTGCGTGACAGAAATACAGCACAAACATACGCAAGAACACTCATCACAGAGAAACACACAAACAAATAATATAATAGTCGCCACAATATGCAAACCGCAGACGAACAAACGAACATCTTCCATCAACGACAGACACCACAGGACATCACAAGCACTGGTAAAGCTGTTGCTCATATCTAAAATATTAGTGACAAGATCTCAAAATTAGGCTATTTTGGCAATTTTGCACAAAATGCAAGGGCTCTAATGTAAGCATGTGAGACTAAATATAAATACTGATGTTTGATTGTCTTATGTCCTGTGAACATTTAAGGTATCTGGGGTGTCTAAATGTTCGATGATAGATTTTTTCTTAAACTTCTGTAAAACACTTCTGAGTCAATGTACTTTCAAATTTAAAATTTCAATATAAAAACTGGGGGTCACGGACCTTGTTTTTTCGTTAAAATACATTGAAATTAACGAAATCAGTTAATTTATATGGGTTAAATAGGGGAAACTTAATTTTTCCTTATTTAGGAAACATTAAACAATAGAATTGGTTAAAATTCAATTTTTTATAAATACTTCCCAAATTCTGAATAAAAATAGGGGGTCACAGGCCTTATTTTCTTGAAAAATCCAAAAACACAAATTGTCCTATCAAATTCAGTATAATTATCTGTCCTTGATTTTAAAAGTTTTTTCTCAAAATTTTAAATTCACTTAACACTTAATTTTTTGATAGTTTAATCTTAAATATTCAAGTTTTAGATGTTTCTGTTGTATATTGAATAATATTTGGTAAAATATTTTTAAATTAAAAGAGTATTTTTGCAACATGCACAGAAAGATGCTCAGAAAAAGACATACAATCTTCTTTAAAGCCTGTTATTTGGTTGATTTATAATTCAGGGGGCCAAATAAGTGGCCTTATCATACCTTCTCCTTTGTTTATTTTGAAATAATTTTTTCTTCAGTCATTTTTGTTTTCTCTTGATGTACACATGATGATCCATGATATACTTTTATATTTCACCTTTAAAATCTGACATTTGAGGTAAACTGCACTGTTTTCTATATAAATGACTTTTGTATGGTTATCTTAGGATTTTCCTCAGCTTTCTGTTGAAGTTTTTAAAAGTGTTATTGTGTATGAATAAAAATGAGAAGTAGGATAAACTTAAACAAGAAGACGGCGACCCAAGGACAAAAGACATACACAGGACAAGATACAGTCTTCAACACAGCTCTAAATCATCCAGTCTAAAACATCTTAAAAAAATAAACAGTAACTATCAGAGATCACCAATTCTACAAATAAATAAAAACTTTAGAACTGACAAGACAACCACTGACAATTTTGTATCTTTTTAGTAAAATGTAGTTTCTTGCTGCACATTTTTGTATTAACCATCATATTCACTGCCTTATACTCAGGATATAATATATAAGCTTTAATTTACATACATGTTTTCACAGTGCTTCTATGTAAAACTGAGATAATAAAAGGTTATATTTATCAGTGTAGCTAATCAACTGCTTTGCATTCATGAACACTGTTAAAATAGAACAAAAACAAGATTCTATAATATCACAGTTTATTTTAAACTCCAGGTCAATTATTTTCAATTGCAATTAGTAGATAATTTTAAAAATTGAAGATTAAGGAAATCTTCACATATATATGAGGCTCAAATTTAGTCAAAGTTAATTGTATTTAAGAATATCATGAAATATTTCATAATTAGAATTCAGGTTATCCATGAATCATTGAAGGCCTCCTGAAATATTTCTGGACCTCCATAATTTGATTTCAGGACCTCCACAATATGATTTCAAGACCCTCACAATTTGATTTCAGGACCTCCCATTTCATTACAGGACCTCCCATTCCATTTCAGGACCTCTTCAATTTGATTTCAGGACATCCATAATTCCATTTAAGGACTTCCACTGTTTGATTTGCGGAGCTCCATAATTCTATTTCAGAAGGTCTTCAATGATTTATGGATATCCTGAATTTCAAATATGGAGGTCCTGAAATATTTCAAGTTCTCCTTAAATACAATAATTTTGACTAATTTAGCGCCTTATACATAAGAGTTATTTTTCTTGATGAGATGCTTAAAAGTCATAATGTCATACTACATAATATCGATCATCATTTAAGATGAAAAACACATCAATATGAGAAAAAGTAATATTTGAAAGTAAATATATAACAAAATATTCACAACATATACCAATCACAAGAAAGAAGGAGATATTATAAGAAATATGACTGAAATGGCAAAAAAAGTAAAATTATTCAATCATTTAAAAAATATGTCAACTATATCACTAAATGAATAGGATGACATAGGTGGTCACCTTTAAAGTGCAGAAATGTCATTTGTGATGTCACTGTGACACCATAAAGATGATCATAATTGATATATTTGACTCAAAAATGGAATCTACTTAATAGTTTTTGGTACTATGAAATATTAGAAACAGCTTAACCCAAATTGAGATTTTGCCACACTTTAACTTTAAACAAACAAAAAGATCAGATGAATCAAATATCTTTTTGTTTAGGGCTGTTGATCATACTAATGTTAACGTAGAACTCTCAAAATGAGGCAATTATGGTTATTTCTAAAGGTTTTCTTTGAATGCAAGAAGAGTATAAGACAAATATGTTAAGCAACATTCAAATGTATCAACAAACTAATGTCTTGTGAAAACATGAAGGATGTTATAAGTAACTTGTAATTTTGTAACTCAAACGGTCAAACATAAGTGGCCCTTATACTTTCTCCTTTGAAGTATATAAATAAAAATGAATATAACAAATGACAATAAATATTTGTAAAGGTTTCCACAGAACCTGTGTCTTGCCTGCTATTGCTACTGTCAGAATAATAGTGTAATGTTGACAGCCAAAGACTAAGTCGATTGATCAGTAAAATACAGAAGAAAATAAAAAATAAATAAAACCTCTTTCTTGATCTGGAAGAAGCTTCTGTCCAAGTTTCATAACATTCCATGAAGGTTTGACAAAGTTGATGTCTAATAAATTAAATTCCAGACTGTATTTCAATGTTAACAGCAAAAATAAACAAGTCCTTTAATCAGTTAAATATGGAGAAAAAAAATGTTTGCCCTGTATACTTTCTTTTGATAATAAGAAAGTTTTTGACCAACTTTTCATAAAATTCCAAGAAGATTTGAAAAAGTTTTTGATGTTTGGAAAACTTTAACCTTACACTGTATCTAAATGTAAACTGCAAAAAAATTAATAGTGAAATACTGATAAATGAAAAAAAAATGTTTTCAAAAGTTTGCTCTTGGGAAAAGCAGACATTAATCAATAATCAATCTTTGTACTAAAAGTAAAAGATCAATGTTAAATATAATACATAAATGGTTGTCTGAGAATTACTTTGTTAAACACTTACTAAGTGTACAGAGACAAAAGCATGTGAAACAGAAGACAATGCAGCAGACGAAGTTACAAAGTATCCTCCATATTAAATGGAAATAAAAATTGCACTGGTTAAACAATAGGTTTTAAACAGTCTGTGCAAAAAAATATTATCCCTAAGCCCATAACTAGTAAAAATTGGTTCGGGCTAGTGAATATTTAAAAAAAATTGGTAAGACAGATAATAGTATTTTCTTGAAATGTGCTTTCCTGCTAGTAGGTAAAAAAGTTTTTGGCACAGACTGAGTTTATATACACTGTAATGCATAAGACTGGTAAAAGGTTAATATTAAAAGGTAGTGAAGACTTAAAATGGAAATAAAAGTATATGAGAATAAATGGGAACTGATTTACATAAGGTATAATATTTATACAGTAATACTTATAAATCTTTGAAAAAGAAAAAGACATATCCTTCAAGTTAATATATAAAACAATGCAGAATTTCTGTAGAAATAAAACAAATGCTATTGCACTCAGCATATAGTTGTTAGGTGTAATGTTAAAATTCATGAAACAACAGCTCTGGTACCGTTTCACATATAACATTTAGTATATCAATTTTGAATGGTTTCTTTTTCTCTGCAATACTGAACATATGAGTTGAACATTAAGCAGTACTTATAAATGGACTAACCCAAACCAAGGAAGTTCTAATTATGTTATACTGTTGTGTTTCTTTATCCGCTTAAACAAATTAATGTTTCTTTATTCACTTAAAAAAAAAAAAATGCTGCTATTTTTTTATTGATTTGGTATTAAAAAAAAACCAATTATCCTAAATGAAATATCAATTATATTTATATTGGTATACACTATACATACTATACCTAATATTCATAATTACTTATGAATACTGACTTGCAGATGTTACTTAATTGTGAAATAAATTATATTACAGTTTATACATTTACATAGGAATTAATATCAAACTGTCAACTGTTAAGTATTGTTAGTTAGTTCCTCTATATTTCACATTGGATAAATATAAAATGACTGTTTTCTTCAAATTCTGTAAAAAAGTGACACATTTCTTTTTCATGTTTTGACATACATTGGAAAAAATGTTTTTTAAACTAATCCTATCATTAGTTCAAATATTAGTGACAAACAAGATGATTTGTTCATTGTTGGGCATATTCTAACTAGGATGCTGTTCACTTTGGTTACTTGAAAAATATTCTGATAAATAGTCATAATGAAAAGAAAAAAAGGAAATAAGAGCTATCATATAATCTTTTTTTTTTCTTCTTTAAAATACAAATAGAAGGTGTTATGCATAAATAATTAAATAAATAAATAAAACAAAAATAGTTTAATCTTTTATGCAATGATTATTTCGTTGATAAGTTTTCATAAAATTTTTGTTAAACTCTATAAACAAACATCATTTTCATCTATTACTCATACAGAAACAATATATCTTTACTGAATTTTATCCTGACAAAGAATTGACCAGTGTGCTTGGAATCTCTATTATTGAAAATTTGTCAGTTTCTGAAATGTGACCTGTTCCTTGGTAACAAGAAGGTCTACAAGAATGAAAATTTGTAAGGGTTCCGCGGAACCCAGTGTCTCGCCTACTTTTGCTGCTATCTATGTTTTCAGTGTGATAGGGGAATGCACATAATAGATTTACAGTTAATGAAATAAAACGTTTGAAATGTATGAAAAAAGTTATGCTCGTAAAAATGAATACAGTATGCAATCAAATCTATAGATTTATAAAAGAGTTGAAACATAAATTTATTGAATGAACAAATGATAAAGAAGATAATTTTTACATTGTTTGATGATTTATCCCTTAATTCAGACGACGACGGAATGTAGGATCACTATGTCAACAAAAATGGGGAAAAAATTATTAAAAATTTTCCTCTTGATACTATCTTTTGATTGAAAGAAGCTTCTGTCCAAGTTTGGTAAAAATCCAGGATGGTTTATGAATTTAATAAATGTTTTAAAAACTTTAACTGCAGACTGTATGTAATATTAACTGGAAGAAAAACTAAGTCCATTTATAAGTAATATACGGAAAAACAGGAAATAAATTTTTACAAAATTTCCTTCTAGATACTAGTTTTTGATCATAAACAAGCTTCTGTCCAAGTTTGGTAAAATTCCTGGATAGTTTAAGAAAGTTATTAAAATTTTAAAAACATTAACCACAGAGTGAATGTAATGTTAACTGGCAGAAAAACTAAGTCCATTTATAAGTAAAATATGGAAAAACAGGATTTTTATTTTTACAAAATTTACTTCTGGATACTATCTTATGATCATAAACAAGCCTCTGTCCAAGTTTGGTAGAAATCGAGGATAGTTTAAGAAAGTTATTAAAATTTCAAAAACTTTAACCACAGAGTGAATATTTGTGGACGACGCCTAAGGAATGTAGGATCGCTATGTCTCGCTTTTTCGACAAAAGTCGAAGGCTAGACAAAAATGGAATTATTCATTACACAATTACTTAACACATCTGCTATTGTTGTGTGACAAGAAGTTCAACTGGAACAAAACAAATATGTAATCTTACATACTCATCATACATGCACATACCCAATATTAAAAGGGATGATATAAAGTGTGTTTTTTTTATCTCCTTATCATAGTATAGAAGCACCAGCTCTAATGATTTGAAAGTTAAATAGGCAAGGTCAGGTAATGATAACAACTACACCAGGTGAGCTAATGATAATAACTACAGATTATCAATATACTTGAACTTACTTGAAAGACAAAACAACAGGTGGACCACAGAACTAATTTCAAACACCTAGACCTAAAATTCCTTTTTTTCACAAAATTCTGTATGATCTATTTCTTAAATAGTTAGATATATTCAACTGTTTCACATCTATAACAGTAACAATATTTACTTTTTATATATTTTTTTTCAAAGCATATGTGAGATTCAAACATTAAACATAAAAGTATACCCATAATTTTCATCTAAATAATTTCATCTGAAATAAAGTTTGGGGTTAACCAAACTATTGGCAAACTTGGGAACAATTTGAAAGTCTTAATATGTATATCAATAACTGTTTTTTTATTATATGCTTGAGTTTGTTTTATGCTTTGTTTTGAGCATTTTTATCTTGATGATTAGCATCCTTTACCTTATTTCTTTATTTTGTTTGTCCAAATTCCAGGACTGATTAAAGACAATTTAAGAGTAATAGGATTAAACACTTACTCTGTTCACTATTAATACATTTTATTTTGCTAAAGGATGAAAATTTCATTTAAAAAAAACTTGTGGTAAAATAAACAGACATGGACAAATCAAAAAAGAATTTTAAAGCTGACAAACTCTCGAAAACATGAAATATTCACAACTGAGTATAAAATTATACAATCATGGTTTAAAAAATAAATTAAAGTTGAATGTAAATATGAAAAATAATAATCTGTAACAACTTTCAATCAGTAAAATATGAAACATCATGGATGCTGCTTGAGGGCAAAATCACGAAAACTTGTTCTTATCTGTTGTTGAGAACATTGAACACATAGTCTCATTATGTCCTAATATAACATATCACAGACATTATCATCAACCTATCAGCTCAAATTCATCATCTGTTTCACAACCTGTGCCATCCAATACAGCAAATTCTGAAAATAAAATAACAATAGAATTATATAAATGGTGTATTTAATACAAAAAAAATTAGTTTGATAGCATTCTGTTTTGTCAAGATCAAAATCAAAAAAGGGGAATGATGAGATATCACAAACTAGTTAAACTTGTCAATGTTTATGGGCCTGTCTCAAGTCAGGAGCCTCATCAGTGGTTGTCTCACTTGATATCAGTCCGTTTTTTTTTTGTTATTTGGCATTGATGGCAGACTTTCACAACTTTTTTAGACTAGCTGATTTAGAGGTTGTTATATAGTAAAGACATTGTTGAAGGCAATTGTTGACTCTAGATGTTTATTTTGTTATTTGTTTATTGCAGATTACTTGTGTTGTCAATTTAAAGTTGCATTAGCTGCCAAATTCATGTTCACCGATTTGACTTCTATTCTCATATTTGATTTATAACATACTAAAACGTATATCCAAATTACAAAAAGTCTAAAAGAAACAATTAACAATGCATGAACTCGATAATATGTATCAGCATTTTGTGTGTATTTTGGTCTAGACACTATCTAATTATCCATTGAGATGACCTCCGAAGACTGCTGACTGTCATTTTACCCAATATCAACATAAATATAAATAGATAGCAACCACGTGCAATTGGATTTTTCTAGGTCTGTTTGATTTCATAATATAGGTTAAAAAATTTTATCATTCATCATTTTTACATGTATAAGAATGATTTTTTTGTGGATTGAATCAGTCAACAAAATGGTTCACCCTTGTTTCACTTTCAATGTTTGACATTCTTTCTTTTTTAATAGCTGAACACGCCTAATACATGCGTAACCCATCTTTAGCTAGCTAAGGGGTTAAGTTGAAGGTCACATCAATACAGATTCAATGAGGTTTAACTATTGACTTGCAAGTCAATTATACATCAGCGATGTTCTTGAGCTTATTTTGTCAAATTTGGTCCAAACTGACTGCTTATAACGAAATATTATTTCAAAATTCCGCTTTTATTAATACTAAAAACAAAAAGAATCGTATTCTAAATTTTTGTCTAAATCATAGCTAATGCCCCTTTAAGGTCTGCTTACTTTAGAGCAGATTGTTTATGCTATATAAATGCCATAATTCGATGGTATCTAGGAAGACCATAGATATTACTACAAGTTAACATGTTTTGTTTACCAGAAGAAGAAGGAAATTTTCCACTATATGGTTCATATGGTGGCCAGTGCGGTGGTCTGTCTTTGTACAATTCAAACATTGGTGTTCGACTTTCACATGTTATAAACTTTCTTATAGTTGTACATAAATCATCAAATTCCGATTCTGTTCCACAGTAAAATCCCTGAAAATAAGTCAAGTAAAAAATTCCTATTCTGTGCAATAGTTGAACTCTGAAAATAAGTCAAGTAAAAATTCCTATTCTGTGCCATAGTAAAACCCTGAATAAAGGTCAAGTAAAAATTCCTATTCCTGTGCAACAGTAAAACACTAAAAATAAGTCAAGTAAAAATTACTACAATAGAATACCTGAAAAAAATGTCAAGTACAAGACACAGTAAAATCCCTGAAGGAAAATTACTCTAATTTATTGACAAAAAACTGTAAGTTCTATGGAATTCAATAAAACTAACTGAGAACTGTATATTTTGAATTTGTTGGATATTTTTTTTATACATACCTGTTTGCTGCATAAAAATAACATAAATTTAATTTTCAATGTATTATGATTCAAAAATAAATTAATATTTCTTGAAAGTCCAGTATAAAATTAAATTTTATTTTCCAGGTAGCAAACTTATAGAATTGAGAATGTTTTACGCCATGTATTATAAATTTGAAATGTCACAGCTTTTACCAATGGACATTGAACTATTTGAAATTAATAATTTCCATGTCTCTTGAAATTGGTCCAAAAATATGCAAGGTGAGACTCCCATTGTTAGTCACCTAATGGTTTTTTTAAATATGGAAATCTTCAAAAGAAGACCATTCTCTAGAATAGGAAATGAAATCTCAAACTTCATCATTCAAAATCTAAAATTTGCCCAATGTTATAATATTTTGTACTGGAATTATTAGTTAGTTGCTGATGATGGAGAAAATTTATGTAAACAAAATGATGTTAAATTTGTTATATTTTGCAGTTATCTTCTCAGTACACAGACATTAGGTAGTTGGTTTTTGTCATCTTTCTGTTATTTTTGGGTGTAATGCTCTTTAATTTTTAATAAAATAACAACATTAGAAAGGTTCTATACCAAATCTCCCTGTAAGAATTTGTTTTAAAGTAAATTTCCACATTGGTGGTTATAAAAGTTGAAAATACATAATATCATAATGATAGAATTTTATATTTCATGGTTTGATTTGCAGGATGCCATTAAAAGCCAAATTATTTGCTAGTATTGAGGAATAAAGCCAATTTAGATAATGTTTGCTGTTGTCCTTAAATCTGATCTCATTTACAGTCAGGTTATTGTTTTAGTGAAACATCATTGGTTAGAGTACTGTTCACATCAGTCTATTGGCAATCTTATTCATAAATCAGAATGTTGCTGCTTTTTCTTCTAGAACCCCTTTTACATTAAATAACTTACAACTGCTATTGAAGGATCCAGTTCTAAAATATTCATCATACAAGGGTGAGGGCAATGGAAGCTGTCATCATTACTTAAGTGTTCACTTAGATCTACAGATACTTGTGTAGTGTGTGGATCTAAGTAAATCAACTTGTCTCCTGAAAAATACAGATACTTGTGTAGTGTGTGGATCTAAGTATATCAACTTGTCTCCTGAAACATACAGATATGTGTGTAGTGTGTGGATCTAAGTATATCAATTTGTCTCCTGAAAATTACAGATATGTGTGTAGTGTGTGGATCTAAGTACATCAATTTGTCTCCTGAAAATTACAGATATGTGTGTAGTGTGTGGATCTAAGTATATCAACTTGTCTCCTGAAAAAATACAGATACTTGTGTAGTGTGTGGATCTAAGTATATCAACTTGTCTCCTGAAAAAATACAGATACTTGTGTAGTGTGTGGATCTAAGTATATCAACTTGTCTCCTGAAAAAATACAGATACTTGTGTAGTGTGTGGATCTAAGTATATCAACTTGTCTACTGAAAAATATAGATACTTGTGTAGTGTATGGATCTAAGTACATCAACTTGTCTCCTGAAAAATACAGATGTGTGTGTAGTGTGTGGATCTAAGTATATCAACTTGTCTCCTAAAACATACAGATATGTATGTAGTGTGTGGATCTAGGTATATCAACTTGTCTCTTGAAAAATGTCATTGTAATGCAGTAAATATATTAAACATTCTATTTTATACAATGTAATTAATGAAAATGATGACATTTACTTTATAAATCACTTTTATTATTATTCTTATACAAGTTTTACATTCAACAATGTATTAAATAAATTCCAATTTTATATTGTAAATACATTAAGACACAAGAATGTGTCCATAGTACATAGATGCCCCACTCGCACTATCATTTTTTATGTTCAGTGGACTGTGAAATTGGGGTAAAAACTCTAATTTGGCATTTAAATTAGAAAGATACTATCATAGGGAACATGTGTACTAAGTTTCAAGTTGATTGGACTTCAACTTCATCAAAAACTACCTTGACCAAAACTTTAACCTGAAGCGGGACAGCATTATTTTCTATGTTCAGTGGACCGTGAAATTGGGATCAAAACTCCAATTTGGCATTAAAATTAGAAACATCATATCAAAAGGAACATGTGTAATAAGTTTCAAGTTGATTGGACTTCAACTTCATCAAAAACTACCTTGACCAAAAACTTTAACCTAAAGCAGGACAGACGGACGGATGGACAAACAAATGGACGCACAGACCGAAAAACTTAATGCACCTAGGTGGGGCATAAAAAGTGTTTATGAATTATTTCTTTTCATTAATTGAAGAAGGCATTCAACTGGATGATGATATTGTTAAACTCTGGACAATAGTACTAACAGTTATGTTCTGTTGAGGACTGCATGTCTTTTTTGGTATTGTTTTGTAATTTTAAGTGTTGCTGTCTCATTGATATAATATATCCTACATCTTATTTTTAAAACAAAAAAGAAAGCTTAAATTAAACCTGCAAACAAATGAGCCTGGTTTGGTTTACCTCCTATTATACCTACAAAGTTGGTAAAACTTATGAGGCCCTATTCTTATACATATTCTATCCTAAGTAACAAACAAACCAGTGAGCCTTGTTTGGTTTCCCTCAATTTATACCTGCAGAGTGGGTCAAACTTACAAGGCCCTAATCTTGGGATATTTACTTACCTACATAACCTATTAACCAATGAGACTGGTTTGGTTTACCTCCAATAATACCTACACAGTGGGTCAAACTTTAATATGAAGCCCTAATCTTAGACATATACTTACCAATGTAACTTACAAACCAATGAGTCTGGTTTGGTTTACCTCCAAATATACATACAGAGTGGGTCAAACTTACAAGGTCCCAATCTTGGACATATTCTTACCGATGTAATCTAAAAACCAATAAGCCTGGTTTTGTTTGCCTCCAATTATACCTACAAAGTAAGTAAAACTGATGATGCCTCAATTTTGGACAGATACTTACCTTCATAACCTACAAACCAATGAGCCTGGTTTGGTTTGCCTCCAATTATACCTACAAAGTAAGTAAAACTGATGAGGCCTCAATTTTGGACAGATACTTACCTACATAACATACAAACCAATGAGCCTGGTTTGGTTTGCCTCCAATTATACCTACAAAGTAAGTAAAACTGATGAGGCCTCAATTTTGGACAGATACTTACCTACATAACATACAAACCAATGAGCCTGGTTTGGTTTGCCTCCAATTATACCTACAAAGTAAGTAAAACTGATGAGACCTCAATTTTGGACATATACTTACCTACATAACCTACAAACCAATGAGCCTGGTTTGGTTTGCCTCCAATTATACCTACAGAGTGGGTAAAACTTAAACATTTCTGGAAAAAAAAAATGACACAAGTTAATTATATACAATCTACACAAGTATAAACGAATGTAAATATCAAACTTTGTATTTTATGCTGTTCATGTTTATATACTATTATCTGTATTGTATTGTATATTGTAATTGTATCTGCTTATGAATTACTTTTGGTATAAACTTAAAGGGAAAAATTTTCAGATATGATTGACTAGTTGACAGACTTATCCACTCCTATTTTTGGGTAATTTCATTGACAGAACAGGGATTGTTCCTTGTTATCTATTTGGCTAGGTAATGAGAGTTAATCTAACACTTGTTGTCAAATCTTATATCGTGTTTTTTGGCATATACATTGAGCCTGTAACATTTAAAGAGATTAAAATGGTAATTTTCTAAACTTCCCTTACACTGATTTTTGTACAAATTCATTTTTAAGAAAAGTATACTTTAATTTTTTATTTGATTTTTCACGATTTGTAAAGAAAAGATATTTACAAGTATTGCATCTTATACATGTAATATGTTATATTGTTGATGATGTCAACCATGTTGTTTGGGCAATTGGGAAAATTTATTATAACATTATGGAGTAACTCAAACAGATGATTCAAAATTGTTTCTGAAAAGGAGATATAATTAAACATTTATTGATAAGGGGAGGTCAAGTGATAAGAAAACATAAGGCTTAGAGCCAAGGATCCGGAAATTTTTTCACACAATTTCGGTCATTTTGAGATGATTGAAAAGTTGGTGCCCTGTTCAAATTGTTGATGTCAAACTAGATTCATAGCATCAACGAACTTGTATTGATGTTTCATTGCATTTATTAAGTAAATTTCTTACCATTTTTCTAAAAACCTTCAAGAACAGTTTAGGGAAGGCAACAGCTTAAAATTGAAATGATTTTAATGACTCAAAATGGTTAATTTCTCAGACATTGCTCAAGTTTCTTTCGATTTGACAAAATTAAAACCGGGAGTTTTGCCATAATATTAAAGTACTAATAATTCCGGATTCATTTCCGGGATTCGTTTTGTTTATCAAATTGACAGGAAATCACTGGCTTCTATTTATTTTATTACCTTTAAAAGTGTTTGAATATAACAGATTATAGTTGCACTCGTTTATTTTAGCATGAAATCAATTTGCATTTTACGATTAAATATTTAATTTGCTGAAGACAATTTCACCATGCGTATTACATAGTAAATAAAGTACATGTGTTACTCATGAAAAAATACTTTTTTCTACGTCAATTAAAGTAAGGTTTATTTTTAAATCAGAATTGATGATTGTCTTTGCTGAAAGTAATTAAATAATGAATGCACTTGTCAGGGAATTTTAATTTCTTAAAGATATTATTCTGAGCTTGTGATCAATGTAACCAATTGTCAGGTGTGAATTAAAACCACAGGTAAAAAGTGATTAGCGATCATTAGCCAATGTTTCCCAGAGGCATTGATATAGATATTAGGAGGGCCCTCAGGACTATCAAACTACTGGAGTGGCAGTTTTATTACAGGAAAGGGATTATAAACAAAAACAAGTGATCACAAGTGGTAAATGGCGATTAAAAAACCCGATTTCAAACATTAAGTCAATGAAAAATGACCGAAATTATTTCTGTTAAACAATGAAATTTGTCCTAAATCCCAATTACTCGTTTAGGACATATAGCTTTCATCTTAGGACATGACTGGCAAATATGACCGTTTCCGGACCCTTGCTTAGAGCCATGTGAGCTAAACAAAATGCTTCATTTATGGTTCTATCAACCTCCTGTACATGTAAATATATGCTACTGACCTTTAAACTTTCTATATAAACAGCATTAATATCTGTTAAACCAAGTCGTAAAGGTAGAATCAATAATAAAGGTTTCCATTTTGTAGGATCAACATGACTAGATTTATTTTTTTCTTGTGGTTTTGCACGACTACTACAGCCTGTAGCACCAGCTTTCATACTGTTCATTCCTAATATATCACAGGTTGTCTTCTCATAACCAGGTTTACATAAACATTCTGAAGTAAAGAATAAACTTCAAATATATTTTACATTTATAAACGGTATGTTTGGACTTTTTCACAAATTCATCTCAAGTTTATATAGGGTGCTATGTGCACACCAAAAAAATTTATATACTAGTACACTATTATTTTAGGATGAACAACTACAAAAGTAAGGTTTGACCAAAACTCCAGATTTCTGCCCATTAACATAATTTTGGAAAATGACACCCATACAGCAAGAAATATGCTGTAAAACAGGCACTTACATAAAAATAACTAATTTGAATGCTTTGTCTTTTTTGTTATTTGTTTTTATACTAAGTACCAATCTGATGATTTAAGCCCTTTCCAACTTATTTTTACAGTTTGTTCTTATAGTTTGTTCTAATAGTTTGTTCTTATATTGTGTTCTTACACCACTGTCTCAGGGTTGAGCACTCATAAACATGTTAAACCCCACAACTTTATTTTTGAACATGACCTAAGATAGGAACCTGTAATCCAGTGGTTGTCATTGACTGCTGTCTGCCATATTTGTTTCACGTTTATTGTTGTAACATAGTCAGGCTGTTGGTTTTCTCTTTTGAATTGTTTCATATTTTGAAGCCTTTTATAGCTTACTGTATGTGTTCTGCTCATTGTTGAAGGTTGTAAAGTAACAGTAATTGTTCAAACATTTGTCCTTTGGTTTATAGTGGATAGTTGTCTCAATGGCATTCACACCGAATCTACTTATTTTATATTTTTTAATGTAATAGAAAAAGAGATAAGAGCCTTTTTCACTCTTTCCAAAGATATGTTGTATATAACTGTGATAATAATGCACTATGGTATTGAATACATTACTTATATCATGTTCTATAACAGTGTTGTCCATAGCAACATGTATCACCAATGAACTCCATTCATCAAACACCACTAATTTTCTACAAAAAATTAATCATAAGATAATTTTAGTAAAATCTAAATTTCTTTCAAATTTAAAAAAAAATGGCACAAAAAAGTAACTGATTATGTTCCATCTTAATAATCTAATTCTTAAGGTCAACATTTGGAAAAATATATGAACATCTTAAATGATATATTTTGTTAATTTAATTTTCATTCCATGTAATGTTATACAAGAATCACAATATTTGTACTTCATCATATTTCTCAAATATTTGTTTGTTATGAAGTTTATTCTTTTGTCCATAAATCAGGCTTTTCTCATTTGAATAGTTTCACATTTTGTCATGTCAGGGCTTTTTATATAATTGCTTACTATAAGGTATGGTTTTTGATAATTTTAGAAAACCCTACAGTGAGTGACCTATAGTTTCTACATCTACATCATTTGGTCTCTGTGGATAGTTGTCTCACTGGGAATTATACCACATCTTCTTGTCTTAATAATGAAACAATTGAGTTATGTCCCATTTATTGGAAAAGTCTAAACAAAAAATAATTCAAATGTAAAGCATGTTTAACTGCCCATTGCAAATGCATTAATATGTATATCTGACCTGTCCAATACTTTTAGTATCATTATTCCCATAAATGGTTGTATCCAATGCAAATTTCATCAGTTGTAAAAAAAAAAAGTGAAATCCCTTAGTATTAATCAATTTACAATTTAAACAATTATACCAGCTTAATATGCAAAAGTGAATCAAATCAACTTACTTTAAAACTTGTGCCACTGTATTTGGACCAAACCACTGACCAATATTTTTACCTTCAGATACACCCATGGAAGCTGGCAAAATAAAAACATTGATGTTATATAATAAAATAAATACTATTGAAACATTTTTACAAGTACTAAAATAAATCAAGCAAAATCACTATAAATGAAAGATAATTTCCCTAAACAGCAATTCTAATATTGCATGTATCTCATGTAAACTAGAACCAGGCATTTATTGATCCCTTCAAAGTTTTTTTCATGTTTATCTGGTCTAGAATAATAAAAAGTTAAAAACTATACAGACAGTATACCTATTTGATGAATTGAATAGTATGCATTCTTTTTATCCAGAAACATTTCCAAAACTTTTCTATATTTTTCATCATATATTTTTCTTGTCCATCTCCAATCTGAAAAATAACAACAGATGTTAGGAAATGAATAAACTTTATTACAAGTTTTCCATATATTTTAATCGCATTCCAAGAATTACATAAATGCCCTTATTGTAAGTCAAAAATCTGATTTATGGTTAAGGGATGATGTTGGGATTGATATGGAAAATTATTTCATATACATTTCTGAATAAATAAATAAATTTGGAAGTTTAAAAATGTATTTTCAACAATTGTATTAGTGCAATTGCTTAAGAAATGTGTTTTAGCTTGGAATGTTTAATATGTAGAGTTTAATAATCTGGATTCTGCATCCATTCTTGTACATAGAACATATACACATTTATGGATCTAAAAACGGCTGAAACTTCAATGAGATGCATTTATTATCAATTATTATGGCTTATAAACTGTGATAATGTGTAAATGCATTTGAAATGGATAACTTGAAGTATGGAAAAGAAATAGGGATAATAATTAATAAATATCAATTGAATATCATTGGTCATTCTTCAACTCCAAGAACATTAAATTCAGAAAAATTTGCAATGTTTTTATTTTTTTAGAAAATTGCAACTGGATAGGAGTGGCAAATAAAAAATTTTGCATTTTAAATTTCGATAGCATTATTTGTATGCAGCATTTCCAAACATCGCAATAATAAATCTGGCATGTTTGTCCATCAATGTTCAACAATCACAATAATAAATCTGGCATGTTTGTCCATCAATGTTCAACAATCACAATAATAAATCTGTCATGTTTGTCCGTCAATGTTCAACAATCACAATAATAAATCTGACATGTTTGTCCATCAATGTTCAACAATCACAATAATAAATCTGACATGTTTGTCCATCAATGTTCAACAATCATAATAATAAATCTCGCATGTTTGTCCATCAATGTTCAACAATCACAATAATAAATCTGTCATGTTTGTCCATCAATGTTCAACAATCACAATAATAAATCTGTCATGTTTGTCCATCAATGTTCAACAATCACAATAATAAATCTGTCATGTTTGTCCATCAATGTTCAACAATCACAATAATAAATCTGTCATGTTTGTCCATCAATGTTCAACAATCACAATAATAAATGGACACAAACAAATACTAAATCTATAGTACCTATACAGTATCTATACTGTGGCTTCAGATAAACTTAAACATCTCCTGATTTGAATAAGCAGATATTAAAGCTCACAAAGACACTCAGATACAATAGAATATTTTATCCTACCTCTACCACAATGTCTATTTAATAAAGCTTGGGCTAGCATCATCTGACCACATCTCAACATACAACCCCATCCTGTGTCTAATGTTGGTCCAGTTCCACCTAAAACAGTTAAAACATCGATTTAAGGTTCACACTACTTCAAAATCATTAGTTAAAGTCAACTTTCTTTTGGAATCTGCCAGAGAAAATAATAATTCACACAAAAGATATGGTACAAGTGCTTGATGTCACAATTGAATTTGCAATGTCGGGTAATTTTGGAGGACACACAAGATCAAAATTGACATTTCTGTGGGAGTTGCACCGACTCTATGAAATTCAATAATATCTTTTCAAAATTAGTCTATATGTATTTGCACACTTTAAATAGTATAACACTTTGATCTTTGTTTCATCAAATTAAAACGTGTCTTCTATGTTTGCTTTCCAATGTTCTGAATTTTTCAAATAGAATTAATAAAAAAAATCACGACATGGTTTATTCCAGATTTTAACATGGGCTATGTTTTATTTGCAAAAATTTAACCCCTGGATACACATGGGGTTAAAATTTTGAAGCAAACGATGCAACTTGTATTAAAATCTCTAATAAACACTGGCCACCATGAATTATTTCTGAAATAAATGTGTCAAACATTAATTAAGGACCATACTAATAATTCCTTTTATGTATACTTGTGTGACAATAGTGGAACTGTATCTTTGGTTTCCACAAAATGAAGTTCCTTTGAAAGAATAGAAAAGCAGCCAACTACATCAATAATTTAACAATGTTCCTAAATAAAAAATCCTCTCTGCATATAATTAATTGTTATTGATACCATTTGTTTTTGACTGTCTTGTGGTTTACAAAGAGTTGATTAAAACTTTTTGTTTCAAGAATAGTAGAGGACATGGTCATCATTACTCTAGAAATACAAAAGTAATTTTTAACAAATTTATCACATGTAAACTTGAGTAAGAAAAATTAAATTATATATTACCTATGGCTGGAAAGTTTTTCCTGTATGTTAACCAAATTCTTGACAAGAAATCAAGTTTTAACTCATTTAAATCTGAAAAATAGGTAAAAAGAAAGCTTGCAAAATTGTTGATAAAATATGCCTTTTAAACAAATAATAAATGTTATATTATATAAATAACACATAGCTGAGAGGGTAATAGAGCAGATTGTTACCCGAGAAAATATTGTCAACCACGGCGAAGCCAAGGTTGACAATGTCTTTTCAAGGGGTAACAATCTGCTCTATCACCCTCTCAGGTATGTGTTATTTAATTTTTTATACTGAATGTTCTGTTATTAATGTCTATTAAATTCAATAAGCTATAACATCTTGTACATAACAACCATCTGTATTTAATAAAGCGCACAATTGATCAAGCGTCTCTGTGAAGGGTAATAGAGTATTTGCCATGGGATAGAGTAAATTGTCTTCCTCATATTAACCAATCACAATCTGGCATTTTGACATGAAGTATAATAAAAAATAACAATCTAAAGGTACATAAAAAAAAATATGTAAAAATTCAATTGATATTTGGATAATAACTGAACTTAGTTAATTCAGTAATTTTAGTGAATTGATAAGAATGTCTTAAATGATGCAGTGTCTGTCTAGATTTTTAATGCAATTTTACAATAAATTCAGGCACATCTTAATGTAGTTAAAAATGTAATTCCATATCATCAACTACCTAGATATTGTAATTATTAATAAACTTTTAAATAATGTTTCATATTAAAAGATGTAGAAATAGAATGAATGATTTCTTGTTGAGTCGTAACATAATGATTACCATATAGAGTACTGTATGGGGTTCCCATTAGGTATACAGGTTCTTCTGTTGGTGGGAATTCATCATACGTCACAGGTCCAGCTTCATAGGTAAATGTTGAGACTAAAACAGTCAAGTTTTCTTTTTGTAAAAGAGAGGTGAAAGATACCAAAGAGATATTCAAACTCATAAATCTAAAACATGCTGACAATGCAATGGCAAAATACGAAAAAGATCAAAAGACAAATAACAGTATACAAAACACAACATACATGTAGAAAACTATAGACTGAGCAACAAGAACCCCATATTGTAACAATATATAAATATAAACTGATTACTAAAAGTACAGAAAGTCTCGGTTCTCATATCACTAAAATTTCAAAATTCAATCTCTGATAAACAAATTTACTAAGGTACAAAATACATGAACAGGTAAATGGTATGTTCATGTAGGAATGGTTATGGTTTCTGCCGGCGATTGGCATTTTTCGCATATTGTGAAAAAATAAGATTGTGGCTATCATGGCTATTAAACAAAAATTGAGAGTGGTGAAAAAAGTTGTTTTGGCAAAAGAGGTGGCCCAAAAAATATTGAACCATTGGAAACCCTGAGTGGTACTTATTCAAATGTTATTGGTGTTTGTATGAGTTTGCACCTGTTAATTTGTTCTTCGTTGGCTAAGTTGGTTTTCTTTGTTTACTTCTATGGCCAATACTTACTATGACATAACATAAGCATTGTGTCATATGAAATGTACAGGAAAGTGCATGAACTTGAATGTCATCTAAAGGAAACAATTACTACAGATATCTGATGAAATGCCATAACACTATAGGATTCATTGTCAGGACTATTCCTGCGATTTTATACCATAGGGTGAAAATAATGCTTAGATGAAGTAATATAATTGACATGTCTTAAATTATCAAACCATCATTCTATATAAAAATAAAGAGATGTGGTATGATTACCAATGAGACAACTATCCACCAAGTTCAAATGAAATGGTTGTAAGCAATTACAGGCGACCGTACGGCCTTCAACAATGATAAAAACCCATACCGTAGAGTCGGCTATAAAAGGCCCCGACATGAAAAATATGAAACAATTCGATTGCGAAAACGGCCTATTTTATCCACGAAAGTTCAAATGAAGTAGATGTAAGCAATATATGCAACCGTACGGCCTTCAAGTTAAGTTCAACAATGCAAAAAAAAAAAAAAAAAAAAAATAAATAAAATATAGTCAGCTGTAAAAGGCCCAGACATGAAAAATATGAAACAATTTAATTGAGAAAAATAACGGCCTGATTTATATATAACAAAACAATTTACGAAAAAAAATTATTACAGACATAATTCATAAACCATTTTTGAAAGAGATGTACCAAGAAAGCATGATGTTATTAAAAAAAACACGATTTCAATTGTAGAACGGCCTGTAGAACTGCAGAAAACGGACTGTTAAATTAAGCACCTTCTGTTAGAAAGTCCATTTCTGAAGACTATAATTTTACAGCTTTTCAATTTGCCATTTGTCATATTTTTTCTAGATAAAGTCCGAGACGACCAAAACGAATCATAACATTGAAATTTCCGAAAATTTTGTCTCGCCTTCAGCGATTGGCTTAATTTCAACATTCCATCCAATCAGCCTTTATGACACATTTATTCTCATAATCATATGATTACCGGAAGTAATTTTTGACAAGCAGTCGACAAGGCTATTTTGACAGACTTTTATTCCTTTCATCATCTGAATGGATGCAAATGGCAGTGGCAGTTCCACTCAAGTAAGCTTTGTTTGTCAAAGATGTCGACAGCCTCTGAAGCTTGATTATTCGTTCAACACACTTGACCCACAGCTTATCCAAGAGTTGACCACCCCCTTAGTTCATAAGCAAGATGCAGATGAAACAATAAACATTTTTAAAGACACACAGCATGAGAATGAGAAGGAAACTGAAGCAATATCAAGAAGAACAATTTCACCAAATTTTCCTGTCTACGATGAAGAAGACACCGATTTTTTACTGCTTGGAGAGACTGGACCAGAATCACTTGGTGTTTTGGGACACAAAATTAAAGTTTCTAGCATACTTTTTGACATTATGTCAGGCCAGTCTGAGGTTGATCATCCTTTATGTGAAGAATGTACAGATACACTGCTAGACCAGCTTGATCATCAACTTAAAATTACAGAAGATGAATGCAAAGATTACAAGGATTTCTTAGAAAATTTGAATACAAAACAAGAAAATATTGATGATAATGCTCTTGATGATGAATTGAAACAACTTAAGTCTGAAGAAGAAGCACTGAGACAGCAGCTTGAAGATGTTGAAATAGAAAGAATTAAAATTACTGAAAAAATAGAAGAAGAGAAGAAAGTTTCAAAAACATTAGATGATGAAGAAGAAAAATATTGGAAAGAGTATAATGAGTATAAACGTCAAGTTCTTTCTTTAGAAGATGAGCACAGGAGTGTAGATAATCAATTGAAATATGCACAAATGCAGCTAGATAGACTCAAGAAAACAAATGTCTTCAATGCAACATTTCATATTTGGCATAGTGGACATTTTGGAACAATTAACAATTTTAGACTGGGTAGGCTTCCAAGTGTACCTGTTGAATGGCATGAAATTAATGCAGCTTGGGGACAGACTGTCCTACTCTTACATTCCTTGGCAAAGAAGATGAACTTGACATTTCAAAGATACAGATTAGTTCCATATGGAAATCACTCATACATAGAATCCTTGACTGACAAATCCAAAGAATTGCCTTTATATGGATCAGGAGGATTTAGATTCTTTTGGGACTCAAAGTTTGATCAAGCAATGGTTGCTTTTCTTGATTGTCTACAACAGTTTAAAGAAGAAGTAGAAAAAGGAGATACAGGATTTTGTCTTCCTTATAGAATGGAAAAAGGAAAAATAGAAGATAATAGCACAGGGACATCCTATTCAATTAAAATACAGTTCAATTCTGAAGAACAATGGACAAAAGCCTTGAAATTTATGTTGACTAATTTAAAGTGGGGGTTGGCATGGGTTTCATCACAGTTTGCCAGCAAGTGAAAACAATGTAGTTATTATTAATTATGTTGACTATAGGAAAAAAATCATCTTTAAAATGTGTATTATTTGGTTAGGTTGATAAATCTATATCTTCAGTTTGTGCTAATATACATGTACAAATGTAGGTCAATCTGGCTATACAACTACAAGACTGAAGCTAAATCATGCTTCAAAAATTTGTTAATGAAATTTCAGTTTATCACTTATTATTAAGAAGTGATATCTCAAACATTACAACCACTTGATGTTAAGCAACCAACAATCAATCAATCAAACATTGCAGACATGAATTAGAAGTGCTGCAGCATGCTGAATATAGTGTGCAATAATTTTTGTGTTTAACCCACAAGGACACAGTTAGCAGATTAAATTTTTTTTAATCAATGTTTTTTTTTTTTTATTTGTGTTTACTGTCTTGGGGATTTTTCAGGATATGGATACTATCCATTGGATAGTAAAATGCACATTCCTAGAAAACAGAAATATTGATGCCAACATAAAATATGTTAATAATGTAATACAAATAAACTGTAAATACAAATTAAAAAAAAAATTGATTAAAAAAACTTTAATCTGCTAACCAAGTCTCTGTGATTTTACCATGAACAAAATACTCACAATAAATCTCAACTACAATGTATTTTTCTTTAAAATGTTTTAAAGTTTTGGATTGCACTCTCAAATATTATATGACACAAATGTATGGGTAACTATATTCAGCACAACACGTTTTATCTACCCTGAAAATTTGGGGAAAATCTGCTAGTCTTTTTTGGAGTTATTGCCCCTGAAATATTGAATTTTTAGCTCACCAGGCCCGAAGGGCCTCATGTGAGCTTATGCCATCACTTGGCAGTCGTCGTCCTTCGTTGTAAACTATTTCAAGAATCTTCTCCTCTGAAACTACAGGACCAAATACATATGTACCTTCAAACTTTAATTGAATGTTCCTTAGGGTATCTAATTTATCAATTGTATCCGAAGTTTTGATCCATCAACAAACATGGACGCCATGGCTAAAAATAGAACACAGGGGTCAAATGCAGTTTTTGGCTTATACATGTATCTCAAAAACTAAAGCATTTAGAGAAAATCTGACAAGGGGTAAAAATGTTCAATAGGTCAAGATCTATCAGCCCTGAAATTTTGCGACGAACTGAACATCCCATTGTTGGGTTGCTGCCACTAAATTGGTAATTTTAAGGAAATTTTGCAGTTTTTGGTTATTATTTTGAATATTATTGAAGATAAAGATAAACTGAAACAGCAAAAATGTTTAGCGAAGTAAGATCTACAAAAAAGGTTTACATGACCAAAATTGTCAATTGTCTTATTTAGGAGTTATTGCCCTTTAAAGACAATTTTTTACAATTTGTTTATCTAGTTTGCTTGCCTTACTTTGAAAAATCTCCTCCTTTGAAACTGCTGAATCAGTTTCAGCCAAACTTGGGCTGAATGAGTTTCAGAGTATCTAGTATAAATTTTGTATTTTATTTCCTTGTACGTCAAGATTGATTGATTGATTGTTGGTGTTTTAAAGCCACTTTTAAGCGCCACATTTGGGCTATTTTGTGGCGGCCAGTTTTTATTGGTGGAGGAAGCCGGAGTGCCCTGAGAAAACCACGACCTTTGATAGGAAAACTGACAATCCTATTCAATTAAGATTGGAGTCGAGTCCACCCGCACGGTCGGGGTTCTAACTCACAACCTCAGTGTTGACTGGCTAGTGATTACAGTAGTAGAACTACTTAGACCACTTGACCACCGAGGCCCCTTGTACGTCAAGAAACATAGCCACTATGGCTATAATGGAACATATGGGTAAAATGCATTTTTTTGCTTTTGAAGAAAATATGAGATACAAAGAACATTGAAATGGCATTTTTAAGCCACTCATTAATATATATTGAAAAGCAAAAATAATCATTGATGAAAGATTTAAGCAAAAAATTACAGGTGAGCGATTCAGGCTCTTGAGAGCCTCTTGTTATTTTTTGGGCATTTCTATGGAATTCTTTCAAAAACCGTAGGAGCTTGTTTAAAAGTGTAATTTGCCAAAATGATCAGCCAGACAAGATGTACCCAGACCTGAAAATTGGAAAAAAATCTGAACTAATATTGAGTTATTACCCCTGAAATATCGCTTTTTCCAATTTTTAGCAGTTATTGGCTGTTATGTTAAAAATTATAGAAGCTGGGTTAAACATGTAAGTTGCAAAAGGAATCGGCATGTCAAGATGTAGTTGTTCCAAAATGTAGAAAAATCTGGTGACCTGTTTTGGAGTTATTGCCCCTGAAATAATATTTTTTTACTATTACCATGAAAAACATAGGAGTAAGATTAACAATGTAAGTGCAAAAATTGCCATTAGGACAAGATCTTTGAATGCTGAAAATTTCAGAAAAATCTGTCAACCTGTTTTTTAGTTATTGCCCCTGAATTATACATATTTTTTTGCATTTGTTTGCTGTTATCTTGAAAACTGTAGGAGCTAAGTTAAAAGTGTAAACTGTATAAATGATCAGCATGACAAGATGTATCGACTCTGATATATTTGACAATCTGTTTTGGAGTTATTGCCCCTGAAATGTGTTTTTGCAGTTTTGGCTGTTATTTAAAATCTTGTAGGAGCTAGGTTGATATAAAAGTAAGAATATGTGGTATGATTGCCAATCAGACCAAATGGCATAGAAGTTCACAAATATAAGTCACCGTACAGTCTTCAACAATGAGCAAAACCCATACTGCATAGTCAGCTATAAAAGGCCCCGAGATGACAAATATAAAACAGTTCAAACGAGAAAACATGTTCAAAAGCAAGTTAATTGCAAAAAATGATGAGCAGCACAAAGAGTAACTATAGTATGTGCATGTAAAAGTCTTAATTAGCCAACTGGCGATTTTTAGGGATACAGGCACAGGTGTGCCTTTTGTTAATGTATAGTATGTAAAGTGGACGTACCTGTCTGGCAGTGCTTATTTTACCCTGACCTTTTTATGCCCCTGCAACAAAATGTCGAGGGGCATATTAATTTACCCCTGTCCGTCCGTCTGTCGTACTTTCTGTCTGTCATACCGTCTGTTCGTACGGATTAGGATACATTGTTTGTCCGGCAATCTCCTCCTACAGTTTTGGAGGTACAACTTTAATATTTTGTAGGAAAATCATACACATAATGAAGGTGTACATGTTCAAAGGATTTTGATTTCTTTTAAATATTCTGAAAATGACAGGTAGTTGGACTTTAGTCATTTTTTTTGGGTACTAGCTGCATAAAGAGATCATGGTTTGTCCGACTATCTCCTCCTACAGTTTTGGAGATACAGCAGCGCTTTAATATTTTGTAGGATATTCATATGTTCATACACATAATGGAGGTGTGCTTTCGGAAATTCCTATGGTCAGGCGGGGGCATCATTTGTGTCTTGCAGACAGCGTAACAATTTCAAGTTGTATGCCAACATCACTGTTTGTCAATTCTAAAATATATGGAACTATACTCATGCATATGGCAGAGCAGAAAGGGGAGGGGGGCATTGTCCATATCTAGTTTATGTTTACATCATATCCTGTTACCTTATGTTAAATATAATAATCTTAAACTTCTGACATGCTTCATGTGACCTTGACCTCAATTTCATCGGATAATGAATATGACTAAAATCTTTTTTCAAAACTTTGATTTCAATTTATTAATCTAAATCATTTTGATATTAATCTTTAGCTAGAATCAAACTTCCACTGTTTAAAATTTTTGATATAAGTGGTTTCCTTGCTTCTAATTATACGCGCCCGTTTACTGGACGTATTATGGTATACCGTTGTCCATCCGTCCGTCGTCCACATGTTTCACTAATTTGCAAGAAACTTTGGTGAATTGTTTATAACTATTGACATGGGCTCCCTTTCGATTTTATGTTTCCGAGTTGTGGGGTTTTATTCATTAAAAAAAGGGGGATTTTCCAGTTTTCAGACACTGATAACTCAAAAACAATTTCACCAATTTGCAAGAAACTTTGATGAATTGTTTATATCATTGACATGAGCTCCCTTTCCATTTTTATAAATTTTTGATTTTATGTTTCCAAGTTATGGGGTTTTATTCATTAAAACTTTGAAAAGGGGGATTTTCCCGTTTTCGGACAATAACTCAAAAATGCTTTCAGCAGTTTTCATGAAGCTTTGGTGAATTGTTTGTATCTATTGACATAAGCTCCCTTTCGATTTTTATAAATTTTAGATTTTACTTTTCCGAGTTATGGGATTTTATTCATAAAAAGGGGTGATTTTTTTTGTCAGACAATATCGTTAAAGTGCTTTGAGCAGTTTTCGTGAAACTTTGGTGACTGGTTTATATCTATTAAGATAACCTCCCTTTATTTTTTTTTTTTAATTTCTGATATGACATTGAGAAGCTCTTGAACTTTATTCTTTGACGGGCATATTATGCGCTCATGGCGCAGCTGTTTATTTTTCACATACCAGGATAAAGTGTTCAACCGCTTTATTACATTACTTACAAATTGAACTGATATATTTCTTTGAAAATGAGGCTTTATGGGTTTGTAGGATATAGTTCCCAGTTGCAATTTTAAGACGTACAGGAATTTTTCTGATATTTTTTAGATATGCACTGGCCGAAATTGCTAAAGGATGTATGGATCCAATGTTATATTTATAGTCCATGAATTTTAGTATTGGATATCCTTTTGATTCATCACTAATTTTTGAAGTCCAATAGGCATAAATTTTGGGTTTAACTAACTTTTTCCATTGAAATTTTGATAAAGGGATGTTCAGATAATCATATAAGTCTGTAATGCCATTCAAGTTCACAGATATAAGTCACCGTACAGTCTTCAATTGAATCACACTCTAAATATATTTCCAAATAGATTAATAGCTTTAATATGGATTTCAGCTTCAATAAGATCTACGCTTGAAGACGTGTACTGTAGTCCAGCAAATGGGTTCATGATTTGGATAATTTTTTGTTCATTGTTTGCACTGAATATTTTAAGTGTTCCTGGATTTTCTTTTTTTTCTTTACCGCAAATTCAAATTCTTTATTTTCCTAATCGATAGGGCCCTTTCGGGCATTACAAAATTTGACACGATCATTCACACTTCCATTCCAACCGAACGTCTCTCACTCCGCTCACTCTGATTATGTTAATTAGATACAGTACAGTAGAACATACATATATACCACACGTAACACTCAGAAACGTGTCCATCCCCCCAAACGCGTCCTATTCCCCACAACGTGTCAATATGACGTCGCTGAACTGCAAAACATGTCTAGTTGCTAAAGGGCGCCAAAACGTGTTCTGTTTATAAGCGCCCAATTGTGTCCATTTAATTAAAAGAACATATATATACATATATATAATAACAAAATCGGGATACTAAATGGACTTTCGTTTTTCTGGCAGCAGATTTATAGATCGAAGCACCTGCATACGAATCGTTGACATATGATCTGTATTTCTTCAAATTGTCTTTCCACATTCCTATTCAGTCGGAAAGCAAGCCCTTAGAAACGACCGTTGTTGCTACTTTCTTAAGACAACAATGGGACTGATATTAAAACCCGCCATTCTGGAATTGCGTTAATTTCGCGGAAAAAATAATTTGGCGCCAATTTGGAATTTTTTCTTTTTCTGTTTCTTACTTGCCATTAGGGTCAGAAATAGATTTCTTTCGATTTTTCAAGCATGGTTCTTATTAACAAAGAAAATAATACTTAAACATGTTATAAATTGACCGTCTTCTAAAAATAACGTAATGCCTTTGATCGTCGTTTAAGAATTATGCGAAATTGTCTGTTATTTTTTCTTCTTTTTTTCCCAGATAAACAAAGAATATACAAACTATATAAAAAATTAATAATAAGTATCTCAAAGTTAAAACAAAAATCAAGTCTAACGTTTTATCACCCCTTAGGAAACCCCGTTCGAACTAAATTCCAAACGAAAGACATTTTTTGACATTGTAGTTTTTTTTATCTTACACATCGATGTCAACTTGCATCTTTCCACAATGTACACACATTTAGTGTGTTTGTTTGAAAAAGCAATGGCGAGTTCAGCTGTGAATATTTGACTGGATTAATTATTCTCTTTAAGTCAGTGAATTGTTTGACTTAAAACTAAAACAAGGTAAGGAAATCGTATACTGTCTTTACACAACCTTAACCAAAACTCACTCATCGTTTATAATATTATAAAAAAAAATTGTGATGAAGTAATCCTGCAAAACTGCCAAAGGTAAATGAAAAAGTCTTGTCCTAAATATGAACTTAAAACAATCTCTTTCAGACTAGCATTTTAATCACTCTTATTCAAAGCATGTTCATACTGACATGAAGTGTGACTTACTTATGACTTGTGATCTTAAACATAATATAGTTGACTTAGCACTCAGAATCTGCTCTGAAATACTTTTATATATATAAAAATGCATAATTGTTAAAAAAAATTAAATAGAAGAAGAAAAATATTAGACCCAGTCTTTTTTGTTCTTATTTATTTTCAAGTTCATGATTAGAACCATTTATTTATTGGTTTAGTGTTTTTTTTATAATTTGAGTCCATTCATTAGAATCTGCATGGAATCAGTGAGACAAAATTTATTGTTATATTTAGTTTGTTCATACAAGAATTGCAAACTAATTTCCTTTTATTTCAAATAATGAAAAATTTACATTCAGAATACTTTCATTATGGTATCGTTTAAGTTTAAATGAAAAAGGTAGGATCAGGTATCAGTAATGAAAAGGAGTTCCTGTATTTGATCATTTTTATCCTGTCTTGATCCATTATTCATGAATATTTTGGCTACCCCTTGTATGATAAAAGTAGAAATTTATTTCTGTGTTGAAATAATTTGGTTACAGCAGTATAAATACTTACCAAAATATAAATATTAAATTAACTCTTGGAATAATAATATTATGGCACATACTGACATAGGGCCTATTTGAGTATTACACTGAGACTGAGTTCTGAAAAGTGATAAAATGTGTTTCGCTAATTTTTAAAAGTATCAAATATATTCAATAAAATTATTTTAATAATATCCTCATGTAAATAACAGCATATGGTGCTTAATATAATAATAGTTTGATCATGAAAGTGTCAAACAAAGGGACGTAACTCGTAAATTACTATCTGCCCCGCTTCGTCAGAAATATCGACACATCGAAGTGGCACATTTGCGTATTACAGCGTATTAAGTGGCACAAATTTGACATATCATAGTCAAAGTTATGTTACATAACATAATTTAAATTCAGCATAGCTTCCCGAGAAGTTAAGAAAGAAAATTACGATTTTAATTTCCAGTGACCGATTTTTTTGGTCAACACCTAGACTTTGAAGACACATTTTGAGAGAAAAAATTAGTTTAATCCATAATTGAGTGGATCAATATATTTCTTATATACTCAAGAATGTTCACTTAAAAGCAAATTAGTTTTAATTCATGCAAAAAACTACAAATTCCAAAATACGGGCTTCACTTTTTTTGGTAAAAAAATGCCCATATATGGTAATCACATGACTTCCATTGTTGCTTTAAGAAATGGGGTCAAACCGGGGTCAGCTTTCCGACTGATTTGTCAGGAACAACAAGACGGATGACACATACTATTGTTTAGCACCAAAATTCATCCTATTTTTTCTCTCGCCTACGACGGATGTCGTAGAATGTGATATATATATATAGGGACTAAACCGACAGCAGCGGTGGCTTTATAATTCAGTAGGTAGAAGGCCTGGAAGCCTTTTACCTTGTATACTGATGAATGTTGCGAAATTTTCGTCTGTCATATGTCCATTGTCCTCGACCTCATTTTCATGTTTCAGCGACTGCTTTTTGAAATATAGATTTTTTTTTGTCATGTGAATCTCTCACTTATGATGAGTAAAATGAAAACTATATTTGGTAAGTGAGTTTTTTTGTAAGGTCTACAACGTGTCTGTCAGACAGTGTTACCTGACCTCAACCTCATTTCATGGATCGATGCATGGCAAAGTTATAGTTACGTGATTAGGTCCGTTTCTTAGATACTATAATCAGTAGGTCAACTATATGTGGTGTATGGAATGATTATAAGATGTACATGTCAGTCTGGTAGTTATATAACCTTACCTTGACTTATTTTTCAAGTTTAAGCGGTCAATGCTAAGTTTTTGTGTTTTGATCTGTTTTTAAATTGTAAAAGCAATGGATCAACTATATTTGGTGTGGGTAATGATTATAATGTCTGTCTGGCAAGTATCCCTGTCCTTGACCTCATTTTCAATTTTCATTGGTAAATGTTAAGTTCTGTAGTTTATATAAATAAGAAGATGTGGAATGAGTGCCAATGAGACAACTCTCCATCCAAGTCACAATGTATAAAAAGTTAACAATTATAGGTCAAAGAACGGCCTTCGACACGGAGTGGCTCACACCGAACAGCAAGCTATAAAGGGCAACAAAATGACTAGAGTATAACAATTCAAACAGGAAAACCAAAGGTCTAATCTATATAAAAAACGAGAAACACCTATGAACTAAACCAACACACGACAACCACTGAACACACAGGCTCCTGACTTAGGACAGGTGCATAAAAATGCAGCGGGTTTTAACAGGCGCCAACCTTCACCCTAACCTGAGACAGTAGTGTAACATTACATCATCACCATCGTTCATATGCAGTCGTCCTTGTGTAGGGGTATGTATTGTGAGTCTATATGCTAAAGGTCTTGAGTTCGATTTCCAGCATAGACACTGGATTTGTTCTACATGAATTTTGATAGTTAGTCCTTTTCGTATTAATAAGTTTTATTGTAAGTTTTGTTGTGAATTTGACATTTCCGCCAAAATGTTACAGAACAAAGGAAAGCATGCAGAACAAAAAAACTCAAGCTAGGGTGATCCGGCTCAGATCACCCCTGGTAGAACAAAGGAGCTGGGATGTAAGAACAATTATTACATTCGGACTTGGTGTGTCAGTGTAAGATCACCCTCTGGCCTCCGGCCATCGGGGGGGGGGTCTTACACTGACACACCGCGTCCTCATGGGATAACTATTACATATTGTATTGATATGTTGCTCAATAAATAAAGTTTTAAAAGTTCAAAAAGACGATTGCTTGAAGCTATGTTGATTCAGTGAATCAATAAATGAATGATTGATTGTTTTTGTTTAATATTCATTGGCAAATTTACAAATCGGTAGAATTCAAGGAAATACATATTTCAAACTATTTTATTTTGACACTTTGTTTTCATCTGTTCTGTACATGAACCTGAAAAATAGGATATAAATTATAAAGGCTGTATTTAAATTTTTTTTTAGCTTGGACTGAATTATCCTGACAAATTTGAAAATAAATAATATATATATATCCTCCTTTCACCTAAAAATAAAGTGACCGCCTTTCTTTTTCTTTTTCCTTTTCATTTATTATTCCAAACATCTGTAAAGCAGTTGAAATCGGACTAGTTTGTAGACATTTTTTTCTTGTCATTTTTCTTTTCACAATCAATATTTTACATGGATACTAAATGTGCTACAATATTAATAAATCTAAAACAGACAGCAATAATTGTTCGTTTCTAGATTTGGATATTTCAGTTTCATACAGGAAACTATATACAAGTATTTACGACAGAAGAGACCATTTTTTCGTTCCCTGTTGTTAATTTTTACGACAGAAGAGACCATTTTTCGTTCCCTGTTATTAATTTTTACGACAGAACAGACCATTTTTCGTTCCCTGTTGTTAATTTTTCCTTTTTCGGGCGATAATGTTCTTTTGGTCCCTTTAAATGGTGTGTATATTTTGATTTCCACTGGAATATAACTGAAGGTTTTATTTGATATGGGCGGAAATTCGCCTTTTAAACGGCCATCTACTAACCAAGATACTTGTTGCAAGGGTTAATTTACTTACAGAGAGCGTGGAACTAACTCTACACGGGTCGTTGGATTAAATTTCTCAACTGGTAACTGTGTATCGTACTTTGAACACATTATGTTTGTAGATAAGCCATGGTATTGAATTTTTAATGAAATTAAGTATATATTAAATATGATTATTGTTAAACCTGCTTATCGTTATGCATACTAAAAATAAGTACGAGTTAAAACGCGTCATCAAATAAATAGTTTTAGCCCAAGTGAAAAGAACGAACGTGCAAAATGACGAATTTGTAAGGTTCAACCGTTCAGACAGTACGTTTAATATCACCTTTCACTAGTTCAAATAAAATCGTAGCCTTTTAAAAAAACCCAATAAATTCATGCTGAAATACATCTTTTCGCCAAAGTCCGCAGACGATATCTTACCATTTATGGCGGTAAGCACTCTTTCTTGCATTCTTTCTTACATCTGTTTTCGCATCTATTCATATTTCCACCAGGACATACTTTATGGCAGACATCACGACATACGTATTTACAGCCCTCAAGTCTCCATGTTCCCACTCCCAAAAACGAGCTGTCAGCCGTTCCAATGATTACAATGGAAACCAGCAGCAAAACTAGAAGTCTTGAATTCATTTCTAACAAACAAAACATAATCATTTTACGTCAAAACTGTTCACTAACTTTTCAAAGACCCTTAAGATGTGGACTAGTATGTGGTATATGGAGAAAGAAGTTAATCCCTATCCAAGCGTTTCGACCTCTGGAAATCGTAGACATATCTCTCAAGAACTATTTGATTGAACCAAAATTAGTCCACTAGACTCCGGAGAATTCAACTAACATAAGAAGCATTCTTTCGCCTTGACGGGTAGTGTAAATGATTCAGTACGGCGTACAAAGGCAGCGAAAATTCAGTTGTAATACAGTTTCGCCTAAAATTTGTTGAAACAATATCACTGATCGAGTTGACACATATTATACATTTTTTTTTGACAAAATTTGCGTTTGGAGTATCGATTCGTTATAAAAGATGACAGGCAACAATATACTTCATGTTAAAAAGCACTCTGTTAGAAAATACTTTAAAATAGGTTTTTTAAGACTTCTTTCCGTCCGTTTTCGTTATTCCTTCAAGGAAAAGTGGTGAATTACAGCCGAGTTTGGGTTTTGTTCCGGTTGACCAACTTTTTCGAGGAATTGCTGCCCATCTTTGTACTTGTTCGGATTTTTTGTAATCGGCCGGTAGTTCTTGAGCTGATGTCCAAGGGTCACGCACATGCACTAGACGTTCTATCAATAATAATAAAATATGGGCAATGGGAACAAAATAGTGTCTTTTTTATATACATTGACACTATTTTCTTCCCATTGCCCATATTTTATTATTATTGATAAAACGTCTAGTGCCTGAAGGTTAATTTCTAACTTGATGATGTCTTATAGAATGAATTTTGCCTCCTAGTGCCTGAGGGTCACGTTAATTTCTAACTTGATGATGTCTTATAGAATGAGTTTTGCCTCCAGATCCGGTCTCTGGTGGAAAGTTGCCTTATTGGCAATCAGACCTAGTCTCTTTTATCTTATAAAAGTGTCTTATTGGCAATCAGACCTAGTCTCTTTTATCTTATAAAGGTGGCTTATTCAAATTTGTTAGAGAAAACCATTCACTAGTGAAACAAAATAATAGAAAACAATAACCTAGGTCTGTTAGAAGGAGGAACACATTATTTGCATATTCTATTTCTCTTAAGATCTATCTTTCTCATTGAAGTAAAATTATATTTACCTTGGGATATCTTTACAGCTTAGTTCTCCACTATAATTAGTTAAATGGAAATGATACATGTAATTCCAAAATGTCACAGAATAAATATCGGATTTCCGTAATCAATATGAACGCATTAAAATAATATTTGATACTGTACAAACATGTTTTGTAGATCAAAAGTTTCTAGGAATGGTTTTTTGTTGCTTGCTTTCACATATTTCTAGAATTTTAAAATCAAGAAAATTGCCCTTACATGATTGCCAAACTTTTAGTTTATTTTGACACTTTGGTTTCATCTGTTCTGTGAATGGACCTGGATTGCTCACCTGACATTTAGGCGTATAAATGATACATTACTGCAACAAGAATATTACTGTTGAATAGAAACTGTGTGGGCAAAATTCTTGTCTTGCTGATCACTTATCCTGTTCAAAGTTTATGTCTACCTATTCTAATTTTAAAAAATTATACAGACTCTAGATTATTTTTGCCATGTTGTCCTTCGGTATCCATTGACTTTTTTAAAAGTTTTTTTTGGTTTGAAACCTTTATCTTGATACATTGCAAGGTATTTTATCTCTGCTGAAAACCTTTTAATGTAAATTACTGTTGCTGGGGTCTATGAAATCTGTTTAATGCCTTTATCAACCATGTGAAGTATTGACACAACCAGGACCAGGATATCTAAAGATATCTTTTATCTTTCAGAGAAAGTAACGCATATGTTGACTATCGACTCGTGTACCATATTAGTTGGAAGGCTCTATCTTTCAGGCAAGGGAATGAATCTGTTGACTATTGTGTACCATATTAGTTGGAAGGCTCTATCTTTCAGACAAGATAACGTATCTGTTGACTTATCGTGTACCATATTAGTTTGAAGGCTCTATCTTTCAGACAAGGGAATGAATCTGTTGACTATCGTGTACCATATTAGTTGGAAGGCTCTATCTTTCAGACAAGGTAATGTATCTGTTGACTATCGTATACCAAATTAGTTAGAAGGCTCCATCTCTCAGACAAGGTAATGTATCTGTTGACTATCGTGTACCATATTAGTTGGAAGGCTCTATCTTTCAGACAAGGGAATGTATCAGTTTACTATCGTGTACCATATTAGTTGGAAGGCTCTATCTTTCAGACAAGGGAATGTAAAACCCCAGAACAATTTAAATCTGGCATAATAACACAAGTCTGTAAAAAGGGAAAAGACGGCAGAATATTGGATAGCTATCGTGGTATTACAGTTTCCTCTGTTCTAGGAAAACTATTTGAGCATGTACTTCTAGAAAAAATTAAAGATCCAATCTCAAATGTATTATCACAACAGTTTGGTTTTACCTCTGGTCTCTCTCCCACCATGGCTGCTCTACTGATATCTGAGGCACATATGAATGCAAAAAGGATGAAGGAAATTCTCTTTTTAACAGTTTTAGATACTCAAAAAGCTTTTGACGTGGTCAACCACAGCATCCTTCTTGATAAACTCTTTCAAAAAGATATCCATCTGAAATTTGGGAAACTATATACGAAATGTACAATGACCTTACTTCAAGGGTTAATTGGAAAGGCCAACATAGTAATAGCTTTCCAGTACAACAGGGAGTCCGTCAAGGTGGTATCCTGTCCACCCACCTTTATAAAATATATATTGAAGACCTCTTAAGACAGTTAGAAGACTCAAATATTGGTTTATATCTAAGCACTAATCATGCAGGATGTCCTACGTGTGCAGACGATATCCTACTCTTATCGAACTCGGATGAAGAAATGCTCAACGTAGTAGATACATATTCAAAAGAGCACCAATATAATATCCACCCAGAAAAGAGCGTTCTCATTTAACAAAATGAAAATTCTACAAACTCCAAAAAAACATCCATATGTTCTTGGTCTCTTGGGGACAGGTCCGTTTCAGAGACAGATAAGGCCTCACATCTTGGTATTTTAAGATCAGCAAAAAATGAAAATCTAATAAATGTGAAAGACCGTATTAGTTTAGCCCGAAGAACATCCTATTCACTGATGTCAACAGGTGTACATGGCACAAATGGCTTGAATCCAAGGATTTCCTATAATATTTATAGAATTTACATATTACCCCGCCTGCTCTACAGTATTGAGGTTTTACCTCTTACCACCGGCCAAATCAAGTCAGATATGCTATCAATACATTTTGGAGCAATAGATTTAGATCTTTAAGTCAGGAGAAATCAACCCTAAATCGACTTTGTACTGACACTATCAATATAGGGGAAATACATCCAGTCTGGAAAACAGCAACAGAAACTCCAGGGGATACAAAGGAAGTCATAACAAAAGCTAGAATACTAACTGGGACCTACCTCTTACAAGCAACTAAAGCTAAATTTAATATAGGAAGTACAGACCCAATTTGCCTGCTATGCAAACTTGAGGAAGAAAACCTTCAACATTTTCTAGCTAGATGTCCAACTCTGGAAGGGGTCCGAAGAACTTTTTATGCCCCATTAAAACAGGATGTAATCAATAAAATTTGGATTGATCAATGGAAAACTAATTTTCAAAATAGGGAAACACTAAGCCAATTAATTGTTGACTGCAGAAAACTAGTGGGTTCTACATTAATATTTCCAAATGACAGTAATTTCTTGGATACGGTTGAATCAATCTCTAGGAATTTGTGTGATAAATTACATCAACAGAGGTTAACTCAGATCAATGCTCTATCATTATAAAATTTGATCATTCATCCCATGGGTTTGAACTTTTTTCAATACTTTTCAGAGTACAAAATGTGCTTACCACAGGAGGAAGTTACAGAAAGAAGAAGAAGAAGTATTGGTTGACTATCGTGTACCATATTAGTTGGAAGGCCAGTGGCGGATCCAGAGGGGGGCGTAGAGGGCGTACGCCCCCCCTTTTGCTTGCATTTTTTTTTTTTTTTTTTGGAAAATAATTAATCAGACTAGACTTCGTGAACTTTGCCATTTCCCGTGTATTTAATTTTTATGCGACAATTCTTTACTTATAAAGATATTTTTCGCTCGTATTTACTGTAATATATTATTGATTATGTCAAAGTCATGTGATTCGCTACGGTGCAGTTGACCAGTACGTCGAAAAAAACGTCACTAAGACATTTTGAAATTCAAATTACAACATTGCTTAGGCTGAGGATGACGCCTTCAAAGCAACAAAGTATTGAGCAAGAAGTTGAACGTATTGACTTCTATTTCACAATTCCACCCAGCAGAAAGTAATACTCTATTACACTCTCATGAAAAAAAAAAATCCACAGCAATATTATTTACCTACATGTTTAACCCCACACGCCCCAGCCCATTAATAACATTGCTGAATAGTGATCCCAGTCAGTAAGCTCTAGATATAGATTTTAGGTCTAAGGTACGGACCATTTGATTTGAGGGGGCAGTCTGAGATATTTTAGAGAAAAAATTCTGACCCTGATTTTTGCCTTAAACAAAAATTCTGGCCGTATCTGGATTGAAAACAATAATCTTGTCCACTTTTTTGCTATGAGAAAAAAATATTTTCAACAGAATTATTTAGCATTAAAATGAACCTGATGAATAAAAAAACTGGTGTAATTTTTTTTTTGAGGGGTTGCATATGAATCCCATATCTGACCGGAATGTCTGTTTCGCCGAACTGATATACTGAATACTTTTTTCAATGCCCGACTGCAACCTGCCTGCTGGGTGTGGCCTATATGTCACCATGTGTCGACCGTCATTCACAACTTCATTGTCATTTCCGACTCATTCTTAGCCTTTGGTTGATTTGGAACCCCTCACTTCCCTTGTTGGGTGAAACAGAGACTTTCTTTCTTCTTTTCTTCGTATAAGCTTCCTCTGTTAGGAACACCCCTCTTTTGAGGGTAATATGGATAAAAAGTCTTTAACTTTGTACACACTCCGTGAATATATATACACTTGCTAAAATCTAAAATAGACTTTAAGTTTCTAAGTTGAGTGATAATTGTCAACAGCCATTACACACTTATCAGTTTTAGTCTCGAGTTATGCATCTTGTAGCACATATCTCTTGTGAGCATTTCTAGTTCTTCTATTTTGAGCTTGCTTTCACTAAATATATATGTGAAGTTTGTACAGTCAATTATAAGGACTGTAATTTTATGTCTATCAATGAATGTCTCTTTCCACTTCATTTCTCCAATGAATTTGGTTACATAAGTTTTTATTGGGTTGAAAGTTTCTTTTCTCGTCTCACTTAATGCTGAGCAGGTAGTAAGCATATGAATAAGGTCTTCTGGTTCTTGGTTGCACATTTGACAAGTTGGAGTAATTTCATATCTGCTGAATTTATGCCGATCAGCTTGTAGTGTATACGTTCGTGTCATCATCCTACTTTTGATTATACCTTTTCGAACATCAAGAATTGTAGGTTGCAATGTGGTGTAGGAGATATGCGGCTTTCCATTTTTAATTTGGTTTATAGATAGATATTTAAGTGATGTCTTTTGGACTGTGTCAATTTGAAGAGCATTATTCCAGTAATTTGACATATTAAAATTCACTAATGTTTTCCACTTATTTTTAGTAGGCAGACTGCTTTGGAGTTCCCATATATTTGGAAGCTTGTACAATTGTAGGGTTTCCATTGCACAAAAGAAGAAGCTTTTTGGATTGTCAAAATTGATGGATGATTGGCGTTGTACAAGATCTTGAATAGTTTGGTTTTTAGCTGATAATAAAGAGTAGAGCATAGATAGTTGCCGCTTGTGAAGCTCTCCTTCAACTGGTATTGCTCCTAAGAGTAGATATATTGCTGATGTAGCTGTTCTTTGTGGCAGAGATTGAATATGTCTCAAGGTATTTTTATGACATTTCTCTAGTATTTCAATTTGTCCTTTTGTAAGTGGTAGTATTTCTAAACCATATAAAAGTCTTGGGAGAATATATGTCTTATAGATGTTATATCCTGTAATTGGGTCAACCCCATTTGTTCCATGAAGACCGGAGCTCATTAAGGAGTATTTTGTTCTTCTTGCTAATTTAATGCGGTCATCAATGTTAATTTCATTTTCTCTTTTGTTTGTTCTTTGAAGACCTAAATGTGTTGTGGCATCTGTTGGTTCTATAGTTTTTCCTTTTAATACCCAACTGTTATCTTTTTCTTGCGTATTACACTGTACGATTTTAGTT